TATTAGTCACAGAGAATATATAGCGAAAGAAAATTAGACGTAAATTGAAAATCATTAATATCAATGATTATTGGATATCATCGAATATAAAGATTTTTTTCCTCTAAAAAAGAAATCGTCTTTCGCTGAGTAACATGCGAAAAAAATTATCTTTTGCGACTCGTCAGAACCTGTTTTTTCCGAATTTAGATTAGACAATGAAACTCCAATCGAGGGGTGTGTCTCATCGTTTGGAGTTACAATCATCAGTGTGAATGCAAAAACGAAAACAATCAGTGCCGTACGAATATTTTTTTTTATTATCACTTTCAGGTCGATTATCAGGGTTGCCACAAAAATTTAATTTTTTTCCCCTGATTTCCAGACAAAATTTTAACTTTTTCCCTGACTCTAAAGAATATTTTGATTCACTGTAAAAATTATTAGATACTCAAAAAAAATTAATTTCTATTACATGTATTTACAAATTTATTTTCTTTAATTGAAAAATTATTCGAAAACATCAATAACTTCATTTTTAAATAAATATTTAATTATTATTTTTCCATTGGAATCAAGATTTTCAAAAATTTCAAATTGAAACCTTTTGATATTCAATAATAATAAATCCCTGACTTTTCCCTGATTTCTCTGACCTGTGTTAACCCTGATTATTTTATTGTATTGGTGTCAATTTTTTTTTTCTTTAACTCGCACAATAATCAAGTGAAAATAATTGAGAATGCAAGAAAACAAATTTATTTTTTTTTTAAATCGACTAACGATTGTTTCAAAAATATTCCCAAAATTCTCAAAATAGATTTTTTTGGAAGGAAATAAAATTTACAGGGCTAAATAAATAAATTGTAACTAATAAATAAATTATAATTAATAATGAAACTATAGTTATTAAATAAATGATACCTATTAAATAAATTAACAAAAATAACAACAAGAAAAAAACGAGTTACAACGGAAAAAAGTTTTTGATTGATGATAATCACTTGAGTCTAACCGTGATGCCATATTCCCCTATCCATATAAAAGTAAAGCCCCTTCCCTCGATGACAATATACAGCCTAAAGAGAGCATGCGCTAAATTCACTCCCTTCTTCAACTGAAAACCGCGTAAAGTGAATGCTGAATGCATTGCATCTACATCCAGTTGACTAAAGTGCAAAATTGAGCGTACATTAATGAGAAACTTTTTTTTTTACATTTTTAAATGCGAATTTCAAAGTAATTTTTATTATTTTTTTTTTTTGCTAACATTTCTATTTTACTTGAAATTATTGAAGAACTAATTAAAAATTAATTACTGTTGAGCGTTTATCGTTCAATGAAAGAAAAACTTTTTTCCCCCTTTTTTTTGTTACTGTATTTAATAGAATATTGAAATTATAATTATTTGCAAAATACGAGCACCTTAAAAAGAAAGAACCGATCATTAAACTTATTTTATATTATTATGTGCGGAATGTGTCATTATTTTTGTTCCAGTCACGAACCTACGCAACATATGGTGCACAACGTATATATATATATATATATATATATATACATAAACACACATAACGCTAAAAAGTTGGGTGTTGAAGAGTTACAAATAAGCATGCTGAAAATTTAAAGAGAGGCGTTTGCTTATATATTGTAATTCAAAGCGAGTGAAAGGACGGACAAAAATTTGTTCCAATATTCACATTGAAATTATTGAGAGAAGAGAATTTTTAGAATCACTTTTTAGATACTCGGACCACCGTTATGTTTGCACATTAAAAACTGAGGCGACAAAAACTTACTCAAATTTCTCTAAACAATCATCTAATCTACAGTAATTAGAGACTGATTATATTTTTCTAATTTCCGTTATCACTTCACGTGGAGGATATTCTCAGAATTTTTTTAAAAATTAACTGAATGAAATTTGTAAATTGAATCGTACAACTGACACGTTGTAATGTATTTTTATCTACAATTATTAATTTAATAATTTAAGAAAAAAGCACCTCGAATTGGGTAAATTTCAATTTCAACATTTTATAAACAAATGAATGTCTGATTTCAATTGCAGCAGATGACATTAGGTCACAACTTTTTGTTGACTTTTGCCAACTGAATGTGTGCCATTTCATTTCACTTTGTAATATACGTTTAAACATGTTTCGAAAAATATTTAAAAAGGTGCAATATCAAGGTTAAATTGAATGCTACACATTGTTACATTTTCGCCTCGTTTCTTTAATTATTCCCCTCTTATTCTCAAAAAACAACTCCTTTAATTATCTAAATTTGAGTAGAATTCTATTCGCCTGTCACTGACTCCAAAAAAGCTTTTAGAAACACCTAGAAAGATGACATAATACATTGGACTCAAACAGGTTAAAACAGGAAACTTTGTGTGCCGTGTCAAAAAACCGTCAAAGCGTTATTGTTTACCACTACATGTTACGAGGGCCTCTCCGTCAAGGTGATAAAAAATCTCTAATCCTGTAAATCTCGCGGATATTGCGCGAAAAGGAGAAAAGAGAGACGAAGTGGGGGGAGAACTCCACCCCACCTGGTCCGAACATAGCCTAACCTACAAATATCGTCGTGAAAAGTCAACGAGCAAGGAGAGCGATAGAGCGACAAGGAGAGAGAGAGAGAGAGAGGGAGTAGAAAAGAGACAGGCACATTGAAAAGAGATGGCAAAAGCAAGCAAAAGTGAGACAAACAAAGAGTAAGCAAGATAGAGAGATGATCGAAAAGAGAAACACTATATCGCAAGTGTGCAACCAACATGCGAAGCGGGCTCAAAGCGGCGTCGTGACGTCACAGGGACACGGGATTGGTGAAGGTGGAAAACACGCCACGCAACCACCTATTTTAAACAAGACAAAAGAAATGAATCTCCATCGTCCCTCGTGACGGGTGTGGTGGAATTTAAAACTCTTTGATAGCAACAAAAAAAAACACCTCTCTTCTTTCCCTTACCTTTATAAGCAATAGGAGTTGCAACTTTATCCACGGTGTTTAGCTTTCTCAAAAAGGGGATATCAATCTTTTAAAGTTGTCCCCCTTTTTCTTTGGCTGCTTTGGAACACAATTAATAAACACACGCGACTCTATCCCGAACATAAACGTCTGTTCCGAGACGTTTATAACGACGGTTTATAACGATCTGGCGCGTGGCAGAGACATTTTGTGTGTTAACCACTGCGCATCAACGCAGCCACCCATCCATGCTTCTCCTCGCATTCACGTGTCTGGGTCCCTGTCATAAGCCAATCGTAGCACGTCATTCGGCTTTATCGACCAATGAGCGAGAAGGCCTATGCAATACACTCTGGGCGTGTGATGTTATTTTTCTTCTTTCACGTTTTCTTAACAATCAATTTTAATAAGTCACTAATGTCAAATTCACTTTTAGTGAGAATCCACGTTTAATACACTTTATTATATACAATGCAACCGACGAGAATTCCGGCTCGCGCGGCGTCACTCTCGTTTATCCTTCTACTATGCATGCATGCCGCGACGTTGCCACGTCTCCGAAAACTGCGCGGTCACTGATAATTCAAATCGCACTTGCTTTCCACCAATCACAATGCAGATTACTCCATTGGATCTGACAAAATTCACCAATCAAATTGCATCTTTTCATATGGCGCACGCGCCAACTATTCTAAAATGTTATTTTTTTTTTAACTGACACACTCTCTGATGGGGGTGGTGTGGTGGCCCCCATGTAAAAGAATCACTAAATAAAAATCACGATTCTTTTTCATAATTCAGAAAATTTCCTATTCCATATAGTTTTAAATTCTAGAATTATTTTCTTCCAATAGAAAAAAAAGATTTAAATTTCATTTTTCTCGAAGGAAATGTCTCTTAATAAAAACAAGATTTAATGAAAAATCCAATTTTTATTGTTTCTTTTTTTCATAACTTCTGGTGACACAATGTATTTCAAACAAAAATATTTGGGCTTTTTTCAATACAATTACACATTTGCTTTTAATTATTATTCAATTTTTCTCTTTGAAAAATGTCAAAATATCTATGAATATTCATTAAAACATTAGAAAAAATTTCTTCAAAAAACACGAGAGAATTCTAATTGAAATTTGAAATATTTTTTATAATATTGGCGCGGATTAATTTTATATTTTTTTTTTTTTTACTTATTTCTACAAATGGAAACTACAAACACACAGAGACACACACACACGCGCGCGCACAAATAACTAACACATTTTGCAGTAACATTCGTTGTGACATTTCTTCATACTGTTAAGTTATTTAATCAATAAATATATAGTTACAAATATATATATTTACAACACGATTTTCGTTGTAAAACGCTACAAAGAAACTACAAAAAAATTTCCTACAATATTTTTTGTTTGTTTGTTTGTTAATATTTTAATAGGAAATTTAACAATTTTCAATTAGGATTCTATTGAACTATTAAAAATTTTTAAGTGCATTGTACATTTATATTAATTATTTTATTTTGTACACAAAAATTATTGTAAACATTGAGAATTTTAATTTTCACAAAGTTCTGAATTTTCAAATGAGGGAAATTTATTTATTTTTTCAAATTCAAATTTTTTACTGTAATTTTTCGTCGCATGGAACAAAAATTAATTATAAAGTTTCTGAGTGTTGAATTTTGATTTTTAAATTTTATTACAAATAATAATGTTATAATTGATGAAAATATTTAGTTTTAAAAATATTTCGTTCGGTTTTTAATTTTTATTACAAATATTTAGAACTGAAAATATTTCGTTAGGTTTTTAATTTTTATTACAATTCAATAATTTTTTAAAATATTTCGTTTGGTTTTTAATTTTATTACAAATATTTTGAATTAAAAATATTTCGTTAGGTTTTTAATTTTTATTACAAATATTTTGAATTAAAAATATTTCGTTAGGTTTTTAATTTTTATTACAAATATTTAGAATTGAAACTATTTCGTTAGGTTTTTAATTTTTGTTACAAATATTTTGAAAATATTTCGTTAGATTTTCAATTTTTATAACAATCAACAATTTACGAAAATATTTCGAATTGAACAAATTTCTTTCATTTGAACATTCAAAAATTGTGGCTCATGAATTGTAAATTGCTTACAATTTGACAATATTCTTTTTCAACTGATTTCATTAGTAGAGAAAATTTTTTTTTTTTTTAATTATTTATAGCACCATTGAAATTAACACTGAATGACAATTAACTGAATAAATATTGAAGTAATTTATTATCAATGACATTAATTAAAAACAGTAAATATTACTTCGGACCATAATATTAATTTCGAAAAATAAATGTTTATAATAAATAAATATTTATTTATAACAAATAAATGTTTATTTAAAAGAAATATTTATTTTTAAAAAATAAATGTTTATTTTAATAATAGTCAATTCAATATTTGAATAATTTCGTTCCAAGGCAATTAAAAGAATTGCTTTTTGAAACAAAATTTCCAGTTCTCTTTGTTTATTAAAAATTCACACGATAATTATATTCACGTTTATTTTTAAACATCTATAAGGAAATCGAAGCATTGTAAAGCTACTTGAAAGAATTTTTTGAGAATTCATCAGTATAATTTTAAAAGAAACTAGCTAACAAACATTTTTTTTCAACATTTTTTAGTTGTACCTAATTAGAATATTTTGAAAATTTTTTCTTTTTTTTCGAAATTAGTATATAAATATACCAATTATTCCAGCGGAAAAATATCACATTTCTCTGTATTCTCTCTGTATATAAAAAGGACTTTAAACAATCGATTAATCAACAATGGATAAAATCGATAGTGTCCTTCTCTTCATCACACAATATTTTTACTTTTTTTTCCCTACATTTTCACATACTGACAAATTTCATAAATGACTAAAAAACATTCTCTAGAAGAAAAAATATAGTTAATAACTATAAATAAAGTACTTTGAAAAAAAAATTTAACTATAAGCTTCGCTTCATTGTAATATTGGCTATCTACTCAAATTAGTGACGTACAAATGTTTAAGGTCTGTCTTTGGTGTATTTTCGAAAAGTGCAGCACGATTTTGTCCTTCTCCCTTTTTCACCCAGTGGCCGTAGACACGGAATGCACATCCATCAATTACCTGAATGGGAAAAAAAACAAAATTCTTAATTAATTTGCAAAAAAATGGAAAAATCTCAAAAAAAATTGGAAAAAACATTGAAAATTAAAATACTATTGATAATTAATTTTTTTCTCAAAAATTCGGATTGAACAAACCTTTCGTAGAACCTTGATTCGATACGGATCGTCACATGCTACACTTATAGAAAGAGGCTCCGGAGTTGTGTGCAATCTTTTAATGCGAATAACCGCTCGTACGCAAAGAATTGCCAGTTGAAATTTTTTCCTCGCATTAAATGATTTTGCCTTGAGTTCCTATATGAAAGTAAAAGTAACATGTAAAATCAATAAACATCAATATATATGTGATTTTTATCTGGGGGGAAAATTAGATTAGAAATTTATGTTTGATTTTTATCTTTTTAATGAAGCACGAAGCTTTACATTTTTTTTTAATGCTGCGAAATTTTTTTTTCTCTTTTCATTTCTGTCAATCAGTTCTTTTTTCGCTTATTTCGTACAGTATTTATTATTTATTTAAAAGGTTAGAAGATCCAGACCCCTTTTATAAAGCATAAATTAACATTAATAGGTATGTGGCACAATACAAATGAAAAACAAAATAAAAGTATTAACATTCAGGAAAAAGTTGAAAAAACGCACGTAAATGTATTAGTTTTTTTAACCCATTTGTTATAATAAGTATTATGAGAGTGTAAATGGAAAATTGTATAAAAATAATAAAAATAATGATAAAATAATAAAAACTGTAAATAAAATAATAAAAGAAGTAAAAATAAAATAATAAAAATTAACAAATAAAAAATCAAATTCAAAAATAAATAAAAGAAAACAAATAATGTGAATAATATCTACATAATACAAAATAAATATTAAACAGATAAATAAATAATTAAATAGAGTAATTAAATAAAACACCGAAATAATAAAAATTAGCAAATAAAAAAATTAAATTAGTAAATAATTTATAAGAAATAAATAATAATGTGAATAATAATATGAACAATTATAATAATAATAATAAAACAGTTATAGTAAAATAACATTAACGAAAAAAAATATAAGAAAAATGTATATTAAAAAAAAGAAGACATCTCATCTTCCGAAGAAGAATAAATTTTCAAAAATCCAATTTTTCACACTCAAAACAACATTTTTTTTTGTCGTTCAACAATTAATTAGTGATGGTAAACACGAATCGAATGTAATTAATTAATCACGATACAGATTTTTTTTAATTGCAAAGAAAATGTTTTTTGTTTCACACTTCAAATAATTATACAGACACATTGTTGTTGTTACTTTCCGAATAAAGACAAATTACAAAACAAGAAAACAATTAATTAAAATTGAAAGTTATTGGTATCAATTATAAATTTAAAATTAAAGTAATTAATTGTTATAAATTAAATAAATCAAGTAAGTTATAAATTAATTAATTAAAAACATACTTTTTAACTTTTTGAGACACAGAAGAGAAAAAAACGAAATTATCAAAGTAAAACAATAATTTACCAAAGCTAATTGAGATATCCTACTGAGACGTCTCGAATTAGAAGATAGAGAACGCTTTAAGGGAGCGATGTCTTGGTCCCATAGCTGTAATTTATATGTGTATAAAATAATTAAGCAAACTTAAAATAACTTAAAAATTTTCTTTCAATCAAGCGAGAATGCATATTTTAGAGGTAAAATTTGTTTCTTCTTCTTATTACAACAAAAAAAAGATTTTTTTTCCAGTTAGTTTCGATTGCCAGAGAAATGTTTTTTTCGAGATGTGTAATAAAGAAACGTTTTAAAAAATATTGTGCAACATATTTTTTTTGTCTTCGAACCGAACGAAAAAGTATTTACCCCATGAACATGCATTTAATGAATTTGCACTGCGAATTATTATGTAAAAAAAATATTTTCTATTTACAAGCATTTGGAGGAAAAAAATTCCTTCTTAATTTTCAGTGACAAAAATAAATAAATAAATCACTCACAACTGTGTGGAAGAACGAATGATCCAGAGCTTCCTTTATTGTTATCCTCTTCTTTGGATCGACAACTAACAATTTTCTAATTAAATCCTTTGGAGCGTCTGCAAATCAGAGAAAATTGTAATTTTCTTTCTTTCTTCTTTTTTAGTTTTTACTGATCGATTTTCTCTATTTGATAATTTAGAAAATATTATTTTTAATGATTTCAATTTATTGTTTTCTCTTTCATTTAACTTTATTATTTCTATTTCTATTTTTATTTCACTATTATTATTATATTATAATTATTATTCAACAGTAAAGAGAAGTTTATTATTCTTTATTAAAAATAGAAGTTTTAGAATTTTGTTCAAAATTAAGAAATTAGAAGTTTATTACTATTATTATTATAATGTCGTTATTATGTAAAATAAAAATATTTACCAGTTATATCGGCCCATTCTGGAGACGTGAACGAAAATTTGCCCTCCATAATATTCCTGAGCATAACCATTTGCTTTCGATGCCAAAAAGGTGGACAACCAACCAATAAAGTATACATTATTACTCCACAAGCCCATCTAAAAGTATAAAAATATCACTTTTTAATTAAAATAATATTAAATATTATGTAACTATTTTATTAAATTTTACCGTCTACAATTTAGCCTCCCGATAAATAAAATTATTAAATTTTTCTCGCAATTAAAATAAAACTTGATTCAAAATTTACTCACACATCCACTTCTTTAGTATAACCCTCAGCATTTTCGAACATATTACATTTAAGAACTTCTGGCGCTAGATATCCTGGAGTTCCGCATAAATCTAGAAAGTTACAAAATTAATTAACCCCAGGAAATAAATTTGTGAAGATTTGAAATATTTGAAAATTAAAATAATAAACAATTCTAAAATTATCGATTTCTCTAAGGTTTTGAAACTTAAAATGAATGAAATATATTTTTTGTTTCAAATTCTTTAAAAATTAATAAACTAAAATGGAAAATATAAATTAACATCTACTAAAAAAAATAAATATCTCAAGTGTAAAAAAAATTGCATTTGGTAATAAAATTCAAATAAAATTCAAATTAAAATCAAATTTAATAAAATAAAATATTTATTAAACAAAAATATTAATGAAAATTGAAAAATTTTATTCAGAAATTCTGAAAAAATGTAAAAAAAGTAATTAAAATTTTTTTAAAATAGCTGAATTCCTGAAAATAATACTAAAAAATTGAAAAATAAGGACATTTTTCAACTTTCATTAAAATAAATTTTATATTTTTCCAAGTATTTTATTTTCTCACTTTAAAAAAATTATTTTTAAACATTATTGCATTTCTTGAAGAATTGTAACTAAAAATTTGTAAAATAATTAAATTTTACAAAAACTCGTGTATTTAAATAGTTTAATTATCGTTGACTAATTTCAAAAAAAAAATAAAATTTTGAAAAATAATTAAATATTAAAAGCCGTAAAAGTATAAGAATATTTAAATGTTTATTTAAAAAAATTATTAATATATTATTTTCCTTTCCTTTCCTAAAAATTATTGAAGGTATATTCAAAATAATTGGATTCATCAGAAGAATTTTATTATTTTTTGAAAATAAGAATTCCTTTAATTTTTTTGACGAATAAATTTAAAAATTTTCATTGAAAGTAATTTAATTTTCATATAGAATTTTTTTTAATATTTGGAGAATAATTGAATGATTTTTAGAGAATTTAAAATTCTTGTTAAAATTGAATATAATCGAAATTTTTTAAAATAATTAAATTCTTTCGCGCAATTTTATATAAATTGGATTAAAAATAATTTAATTCCTACAAAGAATTTTACTATTTATAAAAATGATTGAATTCTTGCGAAGAATTGAGAAAAATTTAATTCTTTCGCTAAATTTTATTGCAAATAATTGAATTTTTGCAAAGATTTTAAATAGTAAAATTTAGAAAAATAATTAAATTTATTCAAAATATATTAAAATTTCTTTTAAGAATTGAATTCTTCGGAGGAATTCAATTAAAATTGTTTTGAAAATAATTGAATTTCTGCAAAGAGAAAAATAATTGAATTTAGAAAATAATTTAATTCTTTTGAAAAATTTTATAACGAATTAAGAAAAAAATTAAATTCTTTCGCTAAATTTTATTGGAAATAATTGGATTTTTAGACAAGACTTTACTATTTAAAAAAATAATCGAATTGTTTAGAAGGATTTATTAAAATTCTAGAAAATATTTGAATTCTTTTGTGAAATTTTATTAAAATTATGTTAAAAATTATTGAATTTTTGCAAAAAAAATTTAATATTTATAAAAATAATGGTATTATTCCGAAGAAGATTTTTATTTATATTAAAATAATTGAATTCTTGCGAAGAATTATATTAAAACTTAAATATATAAACAATAGTAATTAATTTTGCACTTAAGAAGTGATTTTTTTAAATTTTGAATTGAATTCCCTAAAATAATGTTAAAAAATTGAAAAAATAGGATTTTCCAAAAAATTTTGAACTTTCAAATGAACGAAATTTTTCTTCTGTTTAAATATTTTACAAAAATTACTATTCATGAAAGAAAAATAATTAAAATTAAATATTTACTTAGATAAGAATTAATTTTTTTAATAAAAAATAATTTATTTGCAAAAAAATACAAATTTAAAGGAGTTAAAAAAATAACATCCTTTAATTAAATGTTAAAAACTTTAGGAACATAAAATAGGAAATTTTCTTAAATTTCATTAAAATAAATTTTACATTTAAAAGAATTTAATTTTATTACTTTTAAAAATTGTGTCTTGAAATAATATTTTTAAAGATGTATATTTCAAAAAATTAAATTTTTTAAAAAAATAATTAATTTTCATTAAATTTAAAAAAGAATGTATCTAACAAGGGGGATTAAAATTTCACGAGCGTATAGTTATGCCAGCTAATAATAATAATTAATATAATTAATAATTAATAATGTAAGTCACTAACCAAAAAGTTTATCGCCAGGTTCTAAAATTCTAGCAAAACCAAAGTCCGTGATTTTGACATTTAAACTATCGTCAAGTAGAATATTTTCCGGTTTTAAATCACGATGTGCAATTCCTTGATTATGCACGTGTTGAACTCCCTCAAATACCTGTCTCATGATATAACGAGTCTTCTTTTCTGACAATGTAACAACTGACGTCAGATAATCAAATAGCTCTCCATTTTTACAAAGCTCAAATATCAAGAAAATAAAGGTATTCGATTCAAATACGTCGTGTAATTCAACTGAAAAAAAAGAAAAGAAAAACACAAATAATTTATTTCTTTGTAATATTTTAATTTCTCTTTGTTTTTATAATTAGTAGAAAGTTTTCTTAATTACTTATGAAAGGATGACCAGCAACTCTACGAAGAATATGCACCTCTTGCATTGTTGCATCTTTCATGGTGTGCAAATCTGTGCCATCATGAGGTTCGTTACTTATATCTATTATTTTCGCCGCATATTCAATACCCGTCTCTTTTTCTATGCACCTTCGGACTGTCGACGAAATTCCTCTGCAAAACATTGAAATAAAAAAAGAATTCGAAAATTACTGATAAAAATTATAAATTGTAAATCAGGGTTGCCACAAAAATTGAATTTTTTTCCCCCTGATTTCCAGACAAAATTTTCACTTTTTCCCTGATCATAAAGAATATTCTGATTCACTGTAAAAATGATTAAATGTTCAGTTATTTATAAGAATATTATAATAAAACATGAAGATATCGATCACTCCGAGTCTTTGACTCGGAGCAATCGATGCCATCATTTTTAAATTAATTAAAGGTTTTTATATTTTTTTATATTATAATATAAGAATATTGCTACTGTAACTTCTTCAAAACAATTTTCATCATTTTAATTGAATTATTATTTTCAAGAATTTTTAACTAAAATTCTTCTTTAAACAATTATTTTTAATAATTTTCGAAAAAGTTTTTTTTTTGAGAATTTTCAAATTTATTTGTTCACAATTCAATTTTACGAAATTTCGATTATTTAGAAATTCTTCAATTAAATATACTCATTAGAAAATAAATAATTGAAATAACTTTTAAAAATTTCGATTAAGCTTTTTGAAAAAAAATTAGTTCCACAGAATTTTTAATTAAAAGTATGAAAAACTCAGTTTTTCAAAGAATTTAATTTGAAACTTTTACAAAATTCAATTATTTCTATTCTATAATATATATATATAATATATATTTTATATATTATATTTCTATAATATATAAAATATATTCTATTCTATTCTATTTCTAAAAATTGCAATTATTAGTAACTTCTCCAAATTATTATCTAAAACTTTAACTGAAATTAATTTTTAAATCAATTTTTATTAGAAAATTTTACGAGAATTCAATTATTTAAATACAATTATAGATAATTTATTGAATAATTGAATTCTTATACATAATTTTATCAGCAAATTTTTAAATAATTGAATTCTTTGGACGAATTTTAATAACATTTTTAAAAATAATTACATTTTTCGAGGAATTCGATTAAACTTAAAATTAAAAATTGATATTTTGCAACGAGTTTTATTATAATTATGAAAATAATTGAATTATTGCGAAGAATTTTATAAAAAAGTTTCAAAAAATTGGAATATTATCAAAATTTTTGTTTAATAATTAAATGCTTTTAGGAAATTTTATTAAAAAAGAATATTAAAAATTATTAAATTAAGAAAAATTTTAGAAAATAATTGAAAGATTGCCATGAATTTTATTAAATTTTTTGAAAATAATTGGATTTTATTACTTTTGAAAATAATTGTATTATTCTCGTCATGAATACTATTATTTATGAAAATAATTGAATTTTGTAATGAATTTTATTAAAACTCCTGAAAATAATTGAATTTTGTCGAGGAATTTTTTATTAAAAATAATTGAATACCTGCAAAAATATTATTATTTATGAAAATAATTGAATTTTTACATAGAATTTTATTAAAGTTTTTAAAAATAATTGAACTTCTGCGAAGAATGTTATTAATTTTAAAAATAATTGAATTCTTGAGATATTGTTATTTATGAAAATAATTGAATTTTTGCACAGAATTTTATTAAAGTGTTTGAAAATAATTAAATTTTTACAAAGAATTTTATTAAAGTTTTTGAAAATAATTGAATTTCTGCGAAGAATGTTATTAATTTTGAAAATAATTGAATTCTTTCGAGAAATTTTAATATTTATGAAAATAATTGAATTTTTATAAAGTATTTTTAAAGTTTTTGAAAATAATGGAATTTCTGCGAAGAATGTTATTAATTTTGAAAGTATTTGAATTCTTGTGATAAACATTGTTATTTATGAAAATAATTGAATTTTACAATGAATTTTATAAAAATTCATGAATATACATAATTGAATTTCGGCTACGAATTTTGCTATTTATAAAGATAATTAGAATGTTGACGAGAATTTTTTTTTAAATTTTTGAAAATAATTGAATTTCTAGAAAGAATTTTAAATATTTATAAAGATACCTAGTTGAATTCTTTCGAAGAATTGTGTTTAAAATTTTTTAAATTGAAACTAATTTCAACAGAATTGAAATTAAAAATTTTCAAAAAAATAATTCATTAAATGATTTATAAGAAATAACTTTGTCAGCTCTTCAATAGAATTAAGTTATTTAAAATAAATTATTGTCAGAGATAGAAGAAAATGAAGGTTTATAAATAAATTAGAAAATTTATAAGAAATGTTTATAAATATTTAATTTTTTCCAGTACTTTTAGTAAAAGTCCCTGACTTTTCCCTGATCAATTCTACTTTCCCTCACTTTTCCCTGAATTCCCTGTTTCCCTGACCCGTGGCAACCCTGTAAATAAAAGTAAAATAAAATTTTAAAACAATAAAATAGAAAAAATTCCATAGGTAAAAACAATCATTTCGCAAAAAAAAAAAAACAGTATTTTATTCTGAAAACATTTTTAAGGTCATGAACTATAAAGTTTTTAATCGAAATTTTTTTATATTTACGTGATCGAATTAATCAACAGTAGTTGAGAAAAGAAAGTACCGCATCGATGTTGCAAATGAATACAAAATTAATCATGCGTAATCTTTAATCACAGAGCAACATTTCCTCGTCTTAATAAACAAAGACTGACGATAAAAAAGCATTTCGGAAAGATTATTATATTTTTCTTTGTTATCCTCACAATATAGACAAATAAAAATTTCAATCAATATCAAGGTTAAAATTACTATAAAGTAAATTGATTTTTAATAAAGAAAAAAATAAGCCCCTCGTTCTTCTCTCTTTATATATTAAAAAAGAAAATATAGTTTATTAATAATCCGTGTTGTTGGTCATCGTCACATTGAAATTGAAAACATGACCTCAACCGTATAATAATACTTGCGACAATCGTATATAAAATTTGTACAAAACTAAATCAAAAATTTATAGAAAATAAAAAGACATTAAAAAAAATAGAATTATACTCTAAAAGTATTTGTCAATTCCACTTGTTAATTAGTTTTTTTTTAAATACAAGCGAATGACATTGTCAAGATTGTGAATATCTTCTGAATTCTGCAATTACATAATTTTAAGGTTAGTTTCACATGCATTTACGTTTGACGCTCTAAACATGAATAGTCGTCAACGATTATTGCTTTCTAATAAAATTGCGTCTTATAAATTATATCATATGATTTATAAATAACAATTGGAATTATGTCATTATTGACTAATGATAAAATGTAAATTTACAAACCTTCCGAGAATTTCTTTAGGTTCATATTTTGCATAAAAACCCTTTGCAGCGTCTTTGTCAGGTAAAAGGTCATCGCCTTCGTCCTTCGCCATATTTTCTACTTATTCTCAAATTAATATTTTATACACTAAAATCGCTGTACACATTGGCTCATTTTTTTCTTTCGTTTTCTTATTAAAAAAGAAATTTGAAGGGAAGAGAGCACTACTGATTTTGTAAAAACGCACCTGTCACTTCTGGTGTCATCTCACGCACTAAGCACAATACTTTTGCGCATCACACACACACTAACACACAAGCAGATATTTGCTTTTAGAAGAATAATACACGGTTGTACATTTCAAACAATAGTCGAAGAGAACACATGCGTTTCAAATCATTTGGTATATGTACACACAATGCACTAGTAGCATGCTCATTGATGTCATGCACAGTAATGCATATTAGCAATCATTATACAGTTGCAGTCAGTCAAAAATTAGACACTTGCTCCATCTGGCGGACAATTGTTCTATTTCAATCTTTGTAATTACCGTAATTTGCTAATTAAAGATTTAAAGAAGTAAATTTAAATACTAGACGATTAAAAAAGGACTAGAAATCGACTAATTAAATTATTTCTATTTAATTTGTAAAATAGAAAAGAACAAGATTTTTTAAAAATAAACGAAAATTTAAATCCAGTGTTACCAACAGAAGATAGTTTTTTTTCTCTTTTTAATTGGGTGAAAGTAATTTAACAACAACAATTATTTCCACCAATGACAGTTAAGAATTAATTAAATTGTTTCATTTTGATTTTTAGGTTAGGTTAGATTCGAAAATTAAAAATATTTAATTTAAATTGTATATATCTCTTTCAATTTAATGAATTTAATTAAACTTTTCTCAATAGTTTAAATTAAATTTTGAAATTAGTTTTATTTACATAGTTTTATCTGTCTATTTAAATCAGATTTAATGGAAATAGTTTTAATTATTAATAAATAGATCTGGTGATAATAAACAATATTTTCAATGTTTACACACCGGAATTATTTTCAAAGTTTTCAAAGTTTTCAAAGAAAAAGAAGAATTCTTCCCCGAAGAAAAAATCGTTAATAATTGTAACTTTTTCTCGGTACTATTTAAGTTTTTTGTTCAAGGTCCAGTGTTTGATCTATATCCTACGCCTTGGATACCAAAGAAGTATTTCATAGCCTATCTTTTAAGTCTGTCAAATCATTTTCAAAATTTACCCTTTTCTATTACTTTTACAAAAATAAATAATGCTAAATTTCTACCGAGTGTAAATAACGATTTTTTTTGCAATATTTTAAGAACAAGTAATTGTATTTTTCAATGCAAGTAAATGTACAATTTTCTACTATTGATAAAATGGATAAAATGCAATAAAATGTCAAAAAGTCTATTTACTGTTCAGTCATTTTTATAAGAAAAAAAACTTTACAATGTATTCGAGTATAGTCAAAGAAACAGAAACAGGTGAGTTAATATCGAAAAGTATTTTTATTGAATAAATAAATAAATAAATAATGTCAATATTTTCTTTTGTCTTTAAATCAAATTTTACAAAATATTTTCTCTTTAGGAATTCCTCAATTATCAAATATACAAAAGACTTTAAACAAAAACTTACCTGAAAGACTTCAATCTTCTCAAGATGAAAAATATCCGGAAATATCGATGAAAACGTTTCTTGATTTTATGAGAACAGCCTATCAAGTAAATAATTGTTTTGATTTAAATTCACTGCTTAGTGAAAAAAGTGAAATCGATTGGAATGCTCTAGTGAAAACTGATTTGGACGTAATAACCGAAGAAACATCACCTGAGGAACAAATTACAAAAAATGATTCCCCAGAATGTGAAAATTCACAAATTTCAAAAGAAGAAATCGAATCGAAAACTTCTCCAAAATGTGAAAATCAAGTAAGTGGAAAACTGGCATTTGTAAATTCTAAATCTCATTCTTTCGATAGTAAACAAAAATTTTCTTCAAAGATAAAAACGAAATTAATTTTCTAGAATGAAGCTTCTTGTGATATACAAACAAATTCGATTGCGAATAAAACAACAAGTGAAGCAAAAGAACTGCAGCAGGAAATCGAAGAGAAAAAATTACGAAACGATGGAATGAAACTAAGAAAAAAATCCTGCGAAACTGTTGAATTTAAAGAAACATTTTTATCGAAATCGATGAAAAAAAAATTAAGCGAAGTTCTTCACGAAGGTTTTTTGGACTCTGTGCTGCCTTACATGGTGCCAAAATCTGCCTCTCAACCAGCTATTAAAAAATCCTCTGCAACAAATCACAATACAAAGAAAACTCTCTCCGCCAATAATTTGGAATCAAAAGCATCGACTTCAATTTTTAAGGACAAAGACAAGAGTCTTCTAGACAAAAAGATTAGCGAGTATAAAATATTTCCTTTATAATAAAATCAGAATTTAAAAATTAAATTCTTTCAATTTCCATTTTGACAAATTAAAAATAAATTTAATTACAATTTTTTATTTTCAAAAATTAAAAAAAAATAAAAAAAAGTAAAAATCTGAATAAATATGGGATCAGTTTTTAATAATCAGTTTTTTAATAATTTCAGTACCGAGATCGAAATTCACGTGTGTGATGAGGCAAAAAACGTGAAGAGAGATTTCCGTTGTCCGCAAAAATTATTAATTCAAAAAATGTGCTATTTCGCTGACGTGACTGCCGGGCAAAAATTAGAAGAAATGGACATATCGGTCCACTGTGATATTGTAATTTTCGATTGGCTAATGAGATGGGTAAAAAAGGATTTAATCAAAAAATCCGAATGGCCAATTCTCGAGCCGAATAACGTCATTCCCATAATGGTATCGGCTTCTTTTCTCCAAATGGATCCATTGACGGAAACTTGTCTTAATTACAGTTTTCACAATATGTCCGAAGTATTAAAGACTTCGACAGTCATGACTTGTTTAAATGACAATCTTCTCACTAGGTTTGTTTACAAATTTTACTATAATAATAAAAAAAAGTAACGCGCTCTGCAACAAGAATTTTGTTTACGGTTCTTTCATGTTTAGTAAACATTTTATTTACTTTTCTTATTACAATAATAAGTTAATAAAATAATTATTAACTAATTATGCAAATTAAATCAATTTTTCTTTAATTTCCAAATAATAATCTCAATTTTGGAATCATTTCAGATACAAAATTTAAAAAAAGGAATTATTAACTAATTAATTATTATTAATTAATGTTTTCAAAAACTTTGATAAAATTTTTCATAGAAATTCAATTATTTTAAATACAATTTAAATAAAATTTCTCAAATATGTAATTCAAATATTTTTAAAAAATTTGATAAAATTCTGAACAAGATTTCAATTATTTCTATAATTTCTAAAATTTTTCACAAAAATTCAATTATTTTAACAAATAATATAGAATTTTTCGCGCAGGAATTCAATTCTTTCCAATACAATTTATTGAAATTAAATTTCTATAAAGAATTTAATTATTTTCAATTTTTTTGATAAAAAATTCTTCAACAAAATTCAATCTTTGCAAGAATTCAATTAGTTCCATAAATAATAAAATTCTTCGTAGGATTTCAAATATTTTTAGTACAATTTTAATCAAATTTCTCAAAAAATTCGATTATTTTTAAAGAATTTGTTAAAAATACTTCGAAAACATTCTATTATTTAAAATTTTTTTTTGATAAAATTCTTTACAAAAATTCCATGTTTAGAAATAATCAATCACTCTATAAATTACTTATCTTTGAATTTAAATAATTTAATTCTTTTTTGAAAGAATTTAATTATTTTCATGTAAATAATAAAAATCTTCATAGAATTTCAATTATAAAACTTGCAATTACATTAAATTCACTAATAATTAAAAAAAAAAATTATTCTCAAAAATTTTAATAAAGTTCTTAGAAACAAGTGAAAAAAATTGAATTATATTCATAATTAATATCATTCTTTGCAGAAATTTAAATATTTTAAAGAATTTTAATAAAATTATTTGCAAAAATTTTATTATTATGAAAAATATCAATAAATTTCTTTCTTAGAAAAAAATTTAATTCAATACTTTCAGAACATTTAACTCTTTTCCTAAATAATAAAATTCTTCACAGAAATTCAATTATTTTGAAAAATTTTGATAAAATTTTTTAGAAAAATTCACATATTTTTAATAGAATTTTAATAAAATTCTTACCAAGATTTCAATTATTTTCATAATTAAAATTAATTTCTCGAAAAAATTTAATTATTTAGGAAAAAATGAAATAAAATTTCTCGAAAGAATTCAATTATTTAAAAACAATGTTAATTATAACATTCTTCGCAGAAATTCAATTTGTATTTTCAAAAAAAATTTTGATAAAACTCTTTATAGAAATTAAAATATTTTGGAAAAATTAATTATTAAATTAATCATTGCGTGAAAATTCAATTTATAATTTTTAATATTATTTTAATGAAATTTATCGCAAGAATTAACTTATTTTTAAAGATTTTAATTAATTTTTTCGCAAAAAAATAAATTATTTTAAAAAATTTTGATAAATTTCTTTATAAGAATTAAATTATTTACAGATTCAAAATTATAAACGAAATAATTAAGTAATAATATAAAAGAAATATTTTTAATTAAATACAATTTGGTTTAATTAATTTTTGGTATCTTTTAATCTTCAAATCATTAAATTAGAATTTCATTAGTTTTAAAATTCAAAACATTAAAAAGAAAGATTATCAAATCATTAAATTAGAATTTCATTAATTTTAAAATTCAAAACATTAAAAAGAAAAATTGTCAAAAAAATTAGGAAACAAAAAGAAGTAACTTTAAACTGCGAACGGATTTCCGGAATACAACGATTATTAATATAGATATTTTAATTTAATACAATAATAAGTTAATAATACAATTATTAACTTTGTTAATTATTATTGTCTACCTGAAATGAAAAACAATCTTCAGAGTATTTCACAAATTATTTCGGCCTAAAATCCAAAATTTAATTCGAAATTATTCTCTCCCCGCAGATTAGCCAATTTATTCAGCAACTCGGATCTCGAGATGATAAAAGACAAGAAAGATAAGATACAAAGTCGTTTATTTTGCAAATTGATTATATCCTTGGGAGAAGTCACACCCGATAATAAGCGAGGACACTTTAGTTCATTGGCCACATTATTCAAATGTGGAAAATGTGGCAAAAACATAGTGAGATCAATTTCCGATTTTGTTCCCTGTATTCCAAGTGCAATGCTACTTGACAGTAGAGGAAATCTACATAGCAAACACACCAGGTATATAGAAATCGAAAAACAAAAATTTACACAATTTAAATTGTAAATAAAATAATTTAAATTAAATAAAATAGTTTAAATTAATAATTAGATTCAAAAGAAAATCTAATCGAACATTCGAAAATTTCAAAATTCCAATTTTCAAGGGATCCCTCTTGGAATTTAAATGATTACATTACATTGCTTCGAAATGAATTGAAATCATGGAGAAAAGTCTATTGGCGATTGTGGGGCGATTGTCATTTTATATCGTGTCAACAATGTGAAAATTATTTTCCAATTAATCAAATGGATTGGTGCTCCTATCATCCGGAAGTGCCACAATTTTTTGTACTTGAACAACAAAGAGCTTCGCCATTTCCACTTGGTAGATATCCGTGTTGCAGTCAAAGGGCCTATAGATTTGAAGCGTTACCCAACAAAGAGGGCTGCAAATTTCGGGTATGACTTTAAATCCATAGAAATTTATATTTATCAATTTCAATATAAAACTAAATTTTATTTATAGAAATTAATTTAGCCACAAATTAAATTTTTCATTCCTTAGAGTGTAAGGAAAAATAATTCAATTTATTGAATTAATTAATAATGAAGAAAACATTTAATTACAGGAGCATATACCGCACTTGAAATCGGAGCAAGATGAAGGCACTTTGAACGTTTTTGCAAATCATCGGGACATAATAGTTATAGAGCCACCGCAATTATTTTTTCCTGAAAAAATCACAAGACTCGCAGCGCGAGATTCTTCGATTCCAGCGGGAAAATTGTCGTGTAAAGAAATCATGTGGTGGGAAGGAATCGAACTGGTGCCTCCTCGACAGAAACTAGGATTACTTGGTAAGAGAACCAAAAATAATAGTAAATAAAAATAGGCTTCGCACTCGATAATTAATTTTTAAAAAGGAGCTTCAAGACTGAAGAAAGTAGTAACAAAATGGAACTACAGAAAAATTAAATTTGACAAAAAAAAACTTGTTTAAGACGATTCACAAAAATCCCAAAAATTTGATTCTGTATTTTACTTTTTTTGTACTTTTCATAAAAACATTAATATTTTTTCTTATCCTGATGCTAATAACTTTAAATCTAAATTTTTGCAAAAAATTCAATTAAAATCAATTAAAAATTCAATTCAATTATTTTCTAAATTTTAATTTAAAATTCTTCAAAAATACAATTATGTGTAAAAATAATTTTCAATTGTAAAAGAATATAAAATTCTTTAAAATATAAAATTTATTCCAATTGAATTTGACAAAACTTCCAAATAATTTGAAATTTAATTTAATCTTTTTAAATTATTCACGGGAATTCAACTATCTTTCAAAAAAAATCTTAATTACAATTTTTCAAAACTAATTTCTTTTTATAATTCCAAAATTAAATCACATTCTAAACTTGAATAATTTTTGTAAAATAAATATTTAAATAATTATTTCTCTTTCCACAGAAATTCAAATATTTCCAGAAATTACAACTGTAATTCTTCTCAAATTCAATTATTCTTTATTAGTTAAAATGTTTACATAAAATTATTCAAAACTTTATAATTTTGCAGTAAAATAATAAATTAATAATTTTTCAAAATAAAAATTAAAATATTAAAATTAAAAAAACATATTATTACCTACAGTTTTACAATGAAAGTTTTCAAAGATTCCAATTTAAATTTTTTTAAAAATTTTATTATTTCTAAAAATTTATACTATAACGCTTCTAATATTCAATTATTATCTAACATTTTAACTACAATTCTTTTTGTAAATCAATTCGTATTAGAAAGTTTTAAGAAGATTGCAATTATTTAAATACAAAAATAAATGATTCATTGAATAATTGAATATTTTTTTTAAATTAAATTTATTGTTATAAAGAATGTTATCAAAATTTTTAAAAGTAATTGAATTCTTTCGAAGAATTTTAATAAAATTTTTAAGAATTGAATTTTTTGAATAATTCATTTAAAATTGTATTAAAAATAATTGAAAATCTACGATGAGTTTTATTATTTATGAAAATAATTGAATTCTTCAGAAGAATTTTATTGTAATTATGAAAACAATTGAATACTTGCGAAGAATTTTATTAAATTTCTGAAAATAATTGATTTTTTTTCGAAATATCTTGTGAAAAATTTAATTACTTTTTTCAAAATAATTGAATTTCTTCATTAAATATTATTAAAACTTTTTAAAATAATTTGATTTCCTGCAAAGAATTTGTTTATTTATAAAAAGAATTTAATTTTTTCGATGAATTTTATTAAAATTCTATCGAAAATAATTGAATACCTGCAAAAATTTTATTATTCATGAAAATAGTTGAATTTTTGCACAGAATTTTATTAAAGTTTTTGAAAATAATTGAATTCTTTTGAGAAAATTTAATATTTATAAAATTAATTGAATTTTTGTAAAGAATATTATTCACTTTTTTTTAATAATTGACTATTGTCGAAATATTTAATTATTTGAGAAAATAATTGAATTCTTGCCAAGGAATTTATTTTATTTTATTGAAAATAATTTCATTCTTTGAAGAAAAATAAAATTTTTTTCACTAATTTTATTAAAATTTTTAAAAATAATTTAATTCTTTTGTGGAATTTCATTAACATTATATTGAAAATAATTAAATTCCTGTAAAGAATTGAATTATTTATGAAAATAATTTCATTTCTGTAAAGAATTGTATTATTTATGAAAATAATTAAATTTCTACAAAGAATTTTATAAATTTGTTTTAAATAATTGAATTTTCGTGAAAAACTTTATTGTTTGTGAAAAATTTTTTTTAAATAATTGAATTTTTGCGAAAAATGTTACTATTTATATGAAAATAATTGAATTTTATCAAAATTTGCTTTAAATCATTAAGATCTTTTAGGAAATTTTATTAAAATAGTAGATATTAAAAATAAGTGATCTCGAAAAATTTTTGAAAATAATTAAATCGTTTCAAAGAGTTTTATTAAAATTTGTTCAATTTTGTTTCTATGAATTTTATTAAAATTTCTGAGAATAATTGTTTTATTCCCAATTATTAGTGAATTTAAAGTAATGCAAGTTTTGAAAAATAAGAAAATTGTGTCCCAAATGAAAAATAGTAGGGGAGAATGGGGAGTTATGAAGCTCAAAATCCAAATAGTAGCAAATTATAAAAAAATAAATAGTACATAATAGGCAAAGCTTGCAAATAAATTTGACGTTTTCTCAAGGGACCTAAAAAGCGAAAATTATAGTTTATGATTATAACAGCGTTAATTATTGATTAAATATTCCAAAGTCATTTCAATTTTCATCTATAAATTCAATTTTCTTTTAAGGAAAAATTTGGAGCGGTTCGGGATTTCGCAAACCTTGCGCGCCACTCGAGAAGACAATGAGTAGTAAAGCGCGACAATTGTCACAAACAACAGACGCTTCGTCACCAATTTCATCCGAAACAGAAAGTGATGACGACAATTTAACAAGTGGTTGCAAGTACAGCAGTTTCGATGACGACACACTAAGCAGCGAGGAATCGAATGTTTTACCATCGCTCAAATCGAGCCGACACAAAATAAAACCCCGTCCTGGCAAAAGGTAAGTCTTTCGAAAAATTTCCCAACAAAAAAATAAAAAAAAAATACTCATAAATATCACAGAAGCGATGGTGGTGGGTCTTGGAGTGCAAATTTACTAACTAGATACAATCAAGACAATCAGAGGGATTTCGAAGAGAAAGCCGCAGCACAAATGATAACAATGCTAACAAAGAGAATATTATTTCAAAATGGTTTAATGGCAAAAACGTATCAGCATGGAAAATTGCATGGATACTATTGGAATATTTACGCGCCCATAGGTAATTAGTATTGACACTTTTCACTCAATTAAACATTGAAAAATTCACTTTATATAAAAAAGAATATTAAAAAGAAAATCCTATCTTAAAAAAAAATATTTCCTCCCTATTAGGCGGGACCTACGTGAAATTGGAAGCAGACTTCCTCGAGCAAATACAAGCGTCAAAATCGAAAAATTCATCGCAAGTCAAGGGCACAAGAAACAAATCCGCGAAAACAAACTAGTTACCAATTTCCTTTGTTAAATTTTACATAAATAATACGTTAGATTGTTAAAAAAGTATTTAAAGAAACTGTTGCACAATTTTGTTAAATATTTGAACATTTTCGTTAATAAAATTATTCAATATTGAATTAAATTAATTCATTCATTAATTTGCCAAGAGATTTTAAATCCATTTCCCTCAAATTTATCAAGTAAACTAAAAATTAGAAACTTATTTTCGTCTAGAAAAATTATTCAATATTGAATTAAACTTTCAAACTTGTCAAATGAATTTTAAGTTCATTATTCAGGGTTTCTAAAAATTTCTCCTTATAAAATTCCATGATATCCAGGTGATAAATGATAAAATTTCCATTACACATTAGAACAAAATTTTTGTCAGTTAAATCAGGTAAATGTCATGAAACAAATTTTTTGTTAGGGAAATTAAGAAAATTGAGCCTTTTTCGACTTTTCTTTAAAATATTACAACAAAATACAACAATTTTTAGTAAAAAAAAACAACTTATTTTGATTTTTATAATGCAAAAAATAACTACAAACAAATCTTTCAAAAATTGTTTTTCAATAGTTAAAATTTTGTAAAATTTAATTGAAAATAATTAATTTATTTCAAGTATTTTGTTACAATTTGTGAAAATCAACTTTTGAAGAATTTTAATTGTAAATTTTTGAAAGTAACTGAATTATCAAAAATTTTAATAAAAAATCTTTAAAGGTAAATTTAAAAATGAAAATAAGCTTCTAATTTTTTAAAATTCAATATTTTTAATATTTCCAAAAATAATAACATTTTAGAATTATTTTTAAAATTTTGAAGAAAACAATAATGTTAAAAATTTTTAATTAAAATTCATCAAAAAATTTGTTTTTTTAAATTCTACAAAAATTCTTTTAAGAAATACAATTCTTTTCAAAAAATTAAAAAATATTAATTAATAAAATATTTTTAAAAACTAATTATTAGAATGTTTTTGCAATAATTTTTTAAGATTCAAAATTTACTTTTTGGACTTATAAAAATTTTTCAGAAATCATATTCCTGTTTATAATTAAAATTCTTCAAAAGTTTGATCATTTTTATTTACTTTTTAAATTATTTTTAAAAGATTAAAATATTTTGTTTAGAAATTTTTCAAAATTGAAAAACTGTTATTGTTAAAAAATTATTTTAAAATATTTTGAAAAAATTAACTGTAAGAATTTCTTTATTATAATTTTTTGAAAATATACCTTAATAATTTAAAAAAAAACTTAAGTCACAATTATTATAAAAAAATTGAGTTTATGTATTTTAAATAATTGAATTCTAGAAGAACTTTTGGAAAATTATTTAAATTAATTGATTCAGAGATGAAGTTTAGTTGAAAATTGTAGAAAATAATTGAATTCAGGAAGAGTTATAATATTGTAATTTTTAGAAATTATTAAAATTCATAAATTTTACTCATTTTCTGTAAACATTAATATTTTCGTGAAAAGAATTTTGCTAGGCAAAGTAATTTTAATGTCAGTAAATTGTCAGGGAAATTGATAAATTGAAACTTGTGACCACCCTGAGTAATAAAGGAGCGCGAATTTCAATCACACGGGTTTACAACAAAAACTAAAAAAATTCCATGATTTCCAAGTTTTCATGACTTATAGAAACCCTGATTATTTTAAATTCATTACCTAAAATTTTATCAGAGATTTAAAAAAAATTTTCAAAAACATACCACTAGAGTTGAGTTTTAAAAAATTTATTTTCGAATTCTGTCAACATTTCTGAATTAGAACTTCATTCTGTGAGGATACTGACTGCTGCGTAAACCGAACATTGCGGACAAATAGGTAAAAAGCATTTTCTTATCTGTATGTTTCTTAATTGCAGCGATAACTTGTTTATCAACAAGTTTCTGATCTTGCTTTCTTTGATCATTTGGTTTATATTCCTCCTTCTTTTTACTGAAAATGTCGCCCTCCTCTTTCTTCGCACGCTTCTCGCGTTTCCTCTTGAAATACTCATCATTCAGAGTATCGGGAACTTTCACATCGGACATGTCGATTCTTGTCGATGTTGCGATCACGTAGTTCTGACTTGTTCTTCTCAATGGGCAAGCGTTGATCAGGAAAGGTCCTGAAAACAAAACAAAAAACGAAAATGAATTTTACAAAAAAATGTTTATTTAAATTAGGAAAATGAATTTTAATTATTATTTTCATTTTCTTAGTGAAGGATTTGTGAATTTTTATTCAAATGCAACTTCCAATTGTCTAAATTGTGGGAAATTGAATTCTTCACTTTTCCATTGCGACAAATTTAAAATTTATTTTTTATTTCTAAAAATACGAAATTATGACTTTTTTAAAATTAAGCAAGAATCTAACGTAGTCAAAACGAAAGTTTTGACTACGTTAGATTCTTGCTTAATTTTAAAAAAGTACATTTAGGACGATTGTAAAAATTAATTTGGTAAATAAAGACTTATTGTTGATTGAGACGAGAAAAAGAGGGAATAATTGAAGGCGTGACTTACCAGTAACCAAAAGAAGTCCGCTCTTCAGTTGTTTCAAGAAAACGACTCGCTTTCCCTTATGAGGACCAGCTACAAGAATGCAAATCGTTCCGGGTTTAAGGGATGGTCTGAGGTAACGATCATGATCCCTGAAGCATTTTTTAGCGTGGTGAACCGAAACTGGATCTGAAGTAGGATAACTTGCTCTCCTCTTCTTCAACAGAACGACACGTGTTCCTCCATTCTTATCTCCGCCAATTTTCTTCTCGACGGTGGTTGGCTTTTTGGGTTTAACCTACAAAAGAGAAAATACCATTTATTTTCACTAATCGAGACCGTTTTCTCATTTTTTCCCAAAATTTGAAATTTCGCCGTAAGATTTAGAAATTCACTGTCTTTAAAAGTAAAGAAATTAAAATATGTACCTTTTGTCAAATTAATACTTTTAATGTGTCAACTTTGCAATTTTCTATAAATTTATTACTCTGAAAGTAGGTAATATTAATATGAACTTTTAAAAAGAATTTTTCTTTTCAAATATTTTCAATTTTAAAATTAATGTATTGAAAATCATCAAATTGTTGCAAAAAATTTTATCAAAAAATTTAATATCTAATAATAGAATTCCTTCGAAGAATTTTATTATTTAGGAAAACAATTACAAAAACAAAAAAAAATTATAATTACAAAAGTCCAAACAAGCACACAATTAATCGTGTTTGTTAATAGGTGATTGAAATTCAACATTTAATTATTGAATTTTATTAAAATTTTAGAAAATAATTCAATTCATTTGAAAAATTTTATAACAAATTAAAAAAAATTGAATTTTTTGTTCTAAAGAATTTCTTTGAATTTTTTTTTAAATAATGGAGTTTCTTTAAAAATTTTAATTAAAAATCTTTAAAATAATTGAATTTTATGAACAATTTCTTTCAAGTTTATAAAATAATCGTATTTATTAATAATTGAAATTAAACATTTAATTATTAACATTTTATTATTAAAATTTTTTTGAATATAATTGAATTTTTGATAATATATATAAATAATATATATATATAAATATAATTGAACTATTCAAAGAATTTATTAAAATTTAAGAAAATATTTCAATTTTTTCTCGAAAAATGTTATTAAAAATTAAATTCTTTCATGAAATGTTATTAAAATTGTCTTAAAAATAATTGGATTTTTGAAAAGCATTTTACTATTTATAAATATAATTGAATTTTTTCGAAGAATTTATAAAAATTTTAGAAAATAATTGAATGTTTTCTCGAAAAATGATATTAAACATTTTTAAAAATTGTATTCTTTCATAAAATGTTATCAAAATTGTCTGAAAAATAATTGAATTTTTGCAAAGAATTTTACTATTTATAAACGTAATTGAATAATTTATAAAAATTTTAGAAAATAATTGAATTTTTTCGAAGAATTTATCAAAATTTGAGAAAATAATTGAATTTTTTCGAAGAATTTATAAAAATAATTAAATTCTTTTAAAATATTTTATAACAAATTAATTAAAAAAATTGAATTTTTTCGTGAAATTTTTTAGAAAATAATTGAATTCTTTTGAAAAATTTTATAACGAATTAAGAATTTATAACAAATTAAGAAAAAAATTAAATTTTTTTGTGAAATTTTTTTGAAAATAAACGAATTCTTTTGAAAAATTTTATAACAAATTAAGAAAAAATTGAATTCTTTCGTGAAATATTTTCGAAAATAATTGAATTGTTTCGAAGGATTTTATTAAAATTTTATTTAAAAATAATTGAATTTTTTCAAAAAATCTTACTATTTATAAAAAATAATTTGAATTCATACAAAGAAAACAATTATTTACGAAAATAATTGAATTCTTGACCAAGTTGAAGTCCACAACGTTGATCAACGAAAAAAATTGTTTACTTAGTAAATTAATTAAAAATGTGCAGCAATATTGACACAAAAATATTTAGAAAAAAAGATTGATGTTTATATTTTGATAATCATTATTTTACAATTAAATATTAAATTAAAAATAATATTTGAAAGTATTAAATAAATTTTTTTCGTTGATAAACGTTGTGGACTTCAACTTCGTAATTCTTGCGAAGAATTTTATTTAAACGTTTGGAATTAATAAACAGGAATAATGAATTAGTAAATTATTTAATAATTAAATTATTAACTTTACAAAAGGTATTTTTAATTCGCTACTGTTAAATACGTTATTTTACAAGTTTCTATAACATTCTGTAAAAAGCTGTAAAACTACAGAATTTTTTTTACAGTGTTAAACATAAAAAAGAAACAAAGAGGACAAGAATAATAATAATAATAATAATAATAATAATTTAATAAATAAATAAAAGTAAGTACCTAATAATTAATCAGCCCTAAAATTTCTACTTACGGTTTTTGGTGTTTTCTTCTCCAAAAACTTGTATATCGCCTTCTTGTGGAACATTTTAGTTCTACTGAAGCGATAAACTCCATTTCCCAAATCGTAATTCCTAGGCCTGCCGGGTTTCTTTTTATCTCCCGGTTTAGCAGGAGTGGCTGCCGGGGCAGCTTTTGCTCCAGGTTTAACTTTCGTGTCAGCCATCTGTAACGAAAAACCATTTTCTTTTATCAAAAAAGGAAAAAATATCCCACTCCAAATTTAAACAAAGAAAAGTGAAAAATTATCACACGCGGGTTTCAATTAAATTACACTATTTATTCAATTCTATCAAAATTATAAAAAAAAACGAAAAAAAATCCAGTTTAACAGTTTGCAATTAACCTCCAAACACAATTCGACCGTAGAGGTTATGTTTAGTAAACGTTTCCACTGTGTCGCAAATTTTTGACAAAAATTTCCCGAAAATTACACACTAACGAGAAAAATAACTTCAAAACACAACACTACGTTGCAAAAATGTTAATTATAACAAAAAATTAGTGTGTAAAACTGTACAAAATGTCAATGCATTGCATTTTTGACATGCTCCACAACAAGTTCGATATCTCCGCGAGAACATTATTTATTCACAAAATATTACGTGTAAATAATAATTGAACCTTACACTATTTGTTTTTCACTGTTTTTAATAATCCAAAATTAATAAATATCGAGGATTAAATGGATAACTTTAAAATATTTACAAAGAACATTCACTTACCACAAATCACACGATCAAAAGAACTTTTCCCTGGCGATGTTTTCGGGAACTAAAAAAATCGTTCGACGTAGTGCGTATGCGCGTTTGTTTTACAACTACGCGGGAATTATTCAAATTTAAAACTGTTCTTGAAATAATTTTTAATTAACAATAGGAAGATAACTTATTATTTTTTTCTAGAAAAAAATTTTTTTTTGTGAATCTGATTTGACGCTGTATAATTTTTCCGTGACCTTGAAGTTAGTGCGTGTAATTCTAATTCCATCTAGTTTGAATCAGTTTTAGTTTTGATTATTTAACATTTTTTTATTAATGTTTGTTTACGTTCAGAATGTTGACTGATGTCTATGAAGGAAATTGAGAAATAACCGAATTGTTGCAGATATTTCAGACTATTAGGGCAAAAAGGTAAAATATTTTGTTTCAAATTGACAAATTTCTATACTTTTTTCGGTTTGTATAGTATTTTTTTCGATAAATCGTTTTTGTGGTGATCAATAACAAAAATTTAATTAATAGAGACGAGCAATAAGTATAATTAACTAATTAACGGGAAAGCAGGAATCAGGAATTAGTATCGAATTTTGAGGTTAGAAGGTGGAGGGGGAAATTCAAGTGATCAGCTGATTTTGACGGAGGGAGAACACTGGAGAAGGCAATGCTGTCATTTGTTTCGCAGACACATTGAAAGATTATTTAAATATGCGTGATACGTGGAATATAATGTGTACAGTTATAATGCATGCACACATTATGTTCAAAGTGTAATCAAAGAAATCCGAAGAATATAAGTCTGATACAACAATCAACGATACAAAACCACTGGTATAGTCAATCATCACACAATAATTAGTCTTCGCGGTAGGAGTTGGTAGGAGTTTTTGAATGCGTGGGAGTATTTAGCGAAACTCGAAGGCTACGCGATTTTCAATTAGACATCGTAGTTCATTAAAACAAATGAACAACAATATTTTTAATTCCGCTGACAATTACCAGCGTTTCAACGAGAACGTTAATCCAAATTACGATCAGGATGGTTCCAGTCCTAGTGAGTTTTATCATTTTTTCTCAAAAAAAAAAAAATAAATAAGTATTTTTAAAAATTTTCTTTCTATATAGAAAAATTTTTTTTATCCCGCATGATGCTGAAAAATTTAGTTACTATAGAAATTTTAAGTTTTTAGAGGAAAAATCGATGTATTTCACAAATAAAATAAATACCTGTAAATAATGATTTTTCACTAAGTAAAATAGAATTTAAGGTGGAGGTAGTATAGGTAAACTTTAATTAAACTAATTTAATTAGTGTATGGCAGGTAACAAATGATTAATTTTTGCCAGTTTTGGTTATCGTACAAAAATACCTTATCTATTGACGTCATTGAAATATTATTAACACGCGAATTTCACGTTTTCAGCGTAAAATAGTGTTATATTGACAAATTTCTCCCGCTCACATTTAATAATAAATCATTTATTATCTTCAACACGCTTATTTAATTTATTTTCACGATTTTCACAAACTAATATACAAACATAAGTTTACATTCCTCTGCAATATCGCAATTAGACACTAATTTCTTCGCAACTATCGGCTTTCATTTTCTTATAAAAAAAAAAAAATTCTATCTTGACTGTAAAAAATTTTATCGGGTAATGAACTTTGAAAATTTACTCAAACTTTATGGTTTCAAATAAAAAATGATTTGAAAATGTTTCCAAATTTTTTATCGAAAAAAGAAAGATTCGAATCTGCTTAAACTAATTTTTTTCTCTCCACCTATTTTTCATTATCTCATGACTAAAAAATCTTTTTTTCGGGGCGCTGATGACTATTTGGTTGCGGTTGCACTTGCACATCCTCTTTCATTTGCCTATGCCTTCCTTTCATTGTTTTTAGAATATGGATCAATGTTGTCCTTCCATTCTTCAGACAATCAAACGAGAATATCACCGCGAGGTAATAATGAAACGCCGAATGAAATGGGCCATAGAATTGGAATGGATAGATTAGGAGGTGAGACTTTGACCGAAAGTGCTGCACTTGCTAGACAAGTCATGACCATGGATACGGAAATTTACTGGGAAATGAACTATCACGAAGCTGCAATTTTTTTAGAAGTAAGTCAATTGATTTATTAATTTAAAAATTTTTATAATCATTGCTATGAGAGTTGATTGAACTTGTTGACTTCTTTAGAGAGATTTTGTGAATGAAAACAATTGTTTCGCAAAAGAAAGAAATGAATTATTCTTTTTTATTTTGTTTATTTTATTTTAATAATGAAAAGTTCATAATTATTTACAAAGTAATCTTGTAATTTTTTTTTTGTGAAATTAAATGTGATTCGCTCCGAAAAAAGGCATTTAAGAAATGTTTATTGTATTTTCTTTTTTGCAGGAAGGCAGGAACAACGAAAAATTTGATTCCCATCCAAGACATCCGGAGGATTTACCAGCGTATTTATTGGTTCATAATAATTGGTACTATGGCCTTGATTTGTTAACGTCGTTGCTTTTACTAGCCTTAGCGTTTGTTGAAGAGCCAGCAGTTCCACTTTTTAGGGTATTTATCTTCCATTATTATTATTATTATTATTATTATTATTATTATTATTATTATTATTATTATTATTATTATTATTATTATTATTATTATTATTTTGTGAATTAAAAAAATTTATATTTTCAAGAATAAACATCAATTTTTGAATGATTACAGATTCAAAATTTAAAGAATTTTAAAGAATTAAAAAATTTTCATAAATAATAAAATTCTTTAAAGGAATTCAATTATTTTGAATACAATTTTAATAAAATTTCTCAAAAGAATACAATTATTTTTAAAAATATTATTTAAATTCAAAATTATTTTCAACAATTCAATTATTATTATAAATTGTAAAATTCTTGTCAAGAATTCAATTATTTTTGTAAATAATAAAATTCGTCTGAGAAATTCAATTATTTTCAATACAATTTTAATTAAATTTCTATAGGAATAAATTCAATTATATTCAAGATAATTTTAATAAAATTTCTCTAACATTTTCAATTATTTTTAAAAATTGTCATAAAACTTTTCTAAAAAAATTCAATAATGTTCTCAAAAGTTTTTAATCAAAATTCTTTGTAAATTTCAATTATTTTCAAAATTTTCCATTAAAATTACTTTAAAAAATTACATTATTTTTACGAACTTTAATGAAATTCTTTAAAAAGAAACCGTAATTATTTACAAAAACTCTAATAAATTTAACGTTTTAGGAGCAAATTTTATGATAGAATTCTTTTCTTATGGAAATATTTTCAAAATGACTCATAACACCCAAAAAAAAAAAGAAAACTTTGTGAATCATAGAGTCATTCAAAAATATTTTTAACAATTCTTTCTAATCACAAATTCCTTGTTTTATTTTTCTCGATTTTGTATTTTTTTTCTACATCTTTATCAGAAAGCTAACAAATATAACTTTTGAAAACTTTATGCAAATTAAAAAAGAATAAAAATATTTTTCTTTTCTTACAAATAGAAGTACTTTTGTCATTATTTGCATTTTCTTTTTTTTAGTTATCGACAAACAAACACAATGTTCGAATAATTTTTGCAAAGGAAAAATAATTTTTGTTGTTCAAAATAAATTACTTTCCTAAATATTTACAATTTCTGTTTTAGTTACGAACTAAAATTTCGAGTATTTTCTTCAAATTAGACAAAAGGGAAAAAAATATTTTTTTTCTTTAATTATTTGCAAAAAGAGCAAAGATTTTGTTTGTTGATAACTTAAAAAAAATTGCAAATAATAAAAATAGTAATTTATTTAGCAGAATAAAAATTATTCGTTCTTTTTTTAATTTGCAAAAAGAGGAAAAAGTATTCAAGATTATGTTTGTCGATAACTAAAAAAGAATGCAAATAATTAGAAAAGTTAGTTCATTTTTGTAAAAAAAAAAATAATTATGGTCTACAAAATAAATTTTGACAAAAAGGGGAAAAAGGATTCAAAAATTATGTTTGTCGACAACTAAAAAAAATGCAAATATTTAGAAAAGTACTTCATTTTGTAAAAGAAAAATAATTTTCGGTCTAGAAAATAAATTGCTTTTCTAATTATTTGCATTTTTTAGTTATTGACAAACAAAAACAAATTTTTGAATACTTTTTGCCCTTTTCCGAAATCAAAGAAAGGAAAAACAATTTTTTTACTTTAAAATAAATTACTTTTCAAATTGTTTGCATTTTTTTAGTTATCGACAAACAAAACCTTTGAATACTCTTTGCCTCTTTGCCCTTTTCGCTAACAAAAAAAAAAAAAGAAAAACAATTTTTTTCCCCCTAAAATAAATTACTTTTCCATTTATTTACATTTTCTATTTTCAGTTACCTGTCTGGGCACACGGAACAATAGAGCTTTTCGCCTTAATGACAATCGGAGTAGAATTAGCGTTAAAATTAAGATGGATCGGATGGGGAATGATGTTAAAACATAAACGAACAATGTTGAAGGTAAGAAAAAAAAAATTGGAAAATAATGATCTTTGAGATTAGAAAGCTAAAGATGAGAAAAAAATAGTAAATAGATGAGATTTTTTAAGTGAAAGCTGAGGGTAAGAAAAAAAATTGAAAACAAATAATGATTTCTGAGAGAAAAGAAGACTTTAAAAAAGATAAAAGACTGTAGAGGAAACTTTTGATTTTTTTGATTCTAATTGATTTAAATTGGCAAATTTCGGAAATAACTTATTATGCAATATTGATCGGAGGTGTGCTGTCTACTTAGAGTGGGTTATATCCTCACCGGAATAATCCGGTGGAGATTAAGTCTGTTATTACGTGTGTTAAGAGCCATTGAACCACTTAGGCCGATAACGAGTGGGTGCATATATTTAATTATTATTACTGCCGAACAAAGATAGAAAACTTAAGTATGCAAATTGCAAGTGCAAATTTCTATGGGATTACATTTCCGGTTTTTACTGGTTTATTCTCATTATCGTTGTGGATGAAAAAAACATTTTTAATACTGCTTATATTAAAATGTTTTTTTTTTATTGTTTTTATTATTGAGAATTAAAGTCTTGGGGGGTAAGAGGTAAAAAAGCAAAAAAGGTAAAAAGATAAAAAGGTGAAAAAATAGGTAAAAAGTAAACTCTTTGAGATAATTTAAGGAATTTTAATTTACAGAATATTTAAAAGTTTCTATAAATATTTTTCTGTTTTTGTTTCTAGTGTATCACGTTGGCTATTATGTTTGTGGAGGCATTGACAATTTTGGTGAGGCAGTCATCGCATTTTCGAGTGACACGAGCATTGCGGCCAATTTTTCTGGTTGACACTAAATATTGCGGGGGAGTTCGACGATTTATTAGACAGATTTTATTCACTTTGCCACCAATTTTGGATATGTTGGGACTCCTTTTCTTTTTTATGACAACCTACATGGTACTAGGTTATTATATGTTTAGAGAAATGAATTCTCATTTTGCAACCCTCGAAGACAGTTTTGTCAGTCTTTTCGTATTACTAACTACGGCAAAGTAAGTTTTATTTTTATTTAATGGATTTTTCAATTATTCATGCCCATTATTTTTATTTATTTTATTAATTATTAATTTACATTTGATATTATTTTACTAAAAATTTTTCAAATAATTGGCTTCCTGTAGAGAATTTGATTATTCTTTTGAAAAGAAAAATTGAATTATTGCGAAGAATGTAATTGAATTTTTTCGATGAATTTTATTAAAATTGTATAAAAGTAATTAAATAAGGAAGTTTATATTAAAGTGTATGAAAATAATTAAATTCTTTCGAGAAGATTATTTAAAATTTCAATGAAAATTGAATTCATGCGAATAATTTTATTATTTATGAAAATAATTAATTATTTCAAAGAATTTTATTATGTTTGGAAACAATTGAATTCTCGGCAAGAAATTTATTTTATTTTATTTATGAAAAACAATTTAATTGTCTCGAAGAAAATTAAAATTCTTGCGAGGTATTTAGTTTAAATTGTATTCGAAATAATTGAATTCTTATATAGAATTATAAAAATAATTGAAAATAATTGATTTATTTTGAAGAATTTTATTTATTTATTTACTTAATATGTTTAATTTTTTTTAAATTTATTAAAATTTCATGAAAATAAGTGAATTTTTTCAATAAATTTCATTAAAAATTTAATTAAGTAGGTACATCAATAATTATTCTTGTTTATTATTTTCAAAAATTTTAATAAAATTTTTTTCGCAAGGGTTCCATTATTCTCATAAATAATAAAATTCTTTGGAAGAATTCAATTATTTTCATAAGTAATAAAATTCTTCGCAGGAATTCAATTATTTTCAATAGAATTTTAATAAAATTTATAGAACAGATTTAATTGTTTTTAAAAATTGTAATAAAATTTTTCTAAAAAATCCAATTCTCAGAAGTTTTGATAAAATTCTTCATAAAATCCGATTAACTACTTTCAAAATTTTCAATAATATTTTTTAAAAAAACTCCATTATTTTCAAAAAATTTTATAAAATTCTTCGCAAGAATTAAAAATTACTTTAATAATTAACAAAATTCTTCGCAGGAATTCAATTATTTAAAAGAATGTTAATAAAATTCTTCGCAAAAGTTAAATTATTTTCATAATTAAACAAATTCTTCGCAAGAATTCAATTATTTTTTATAAATAATCAAATTCTTTGCAGGAAATTAATTATTTTTAAATATTTTAATAATATTCAATGAAGAAATTCAAATATTTCAATAAGATTCTATAAAAAAAGTTCAATTATTTTAAAAAAATTTTGGTAAAATTCTTCGCAAGATTTTAATTATTTTCAATACAATTTAAATAAAATTTCTCTTAAGAACTCAATTATTTTCAAAAATTTCGATAAAATCCTACAAAGGAATTCAATTATTTTCAAATTTTTTTATAAATACTTCGCAATAATTCAATGATTTTTAATTCCTACATTAATTTTAAAATCAAAAACATTCAAAATGAAAAATTATTTAAAAAGTTAGGAAACAAAGAAGTAAACAAAAATTAACTTTAAATTGCGAACAGATTACCGGAATACAGAGATTATTAATTATAGATTTTTGATAAATTTTTCTTTGTTTCACGTTCATAATTGTGAAATAATTTTTTTTTTTTGCAGCTTTCCTGACGTAATGATGGAGTCATATTCGAAAAATAAATTGTACGCAATTTACTTTGTGTCGTATCTTTGTACGATGTTGTACGTCATGATGAATCTCATGCTAGCCGTGGTTAATGAAACGTTCACTGCTGCACAAAGGGATAAATTTAAAAAATTGTTCCTCCACAAGCGAAAGGCCTGTCAGCATGCGTTTAAACTTTTGGTTTCCAAGCAGAATCCAGACAGAATGAATTTCCGACAATTCGAGGGTTTGATGCGATATTACGCTCCGAAGAAATGTTGGTTCTATTTTTGCAGATAGAGAAAAAAAATTAAGAAACTGAAATTATCAACTTTTTCGTCGACGCAGAAAGAGAAGAATTTTTTTTAAGACCAAGAAGCTAATTCTTCATAAAGAGAACTTAATTATTATTTCCCTTGCATTCTAAACAAATCAAGAAAATCACTTGGGGGAAGATAATAATTACTGGAAAATTGAACCATTTTTGTTTATAATTTCGTCGACGTAAACGTTGGTAACTTGAAATAGTTTCATGAAGAATTGAAATTTCATTTAGAAATAGTTAATTAAAATTAAATATGATTTAGAGAAATTAATTTTCTATTAATTAGGAGTATTTAACTTTTAATGCTAATTAAGCTAAATTAATTATTGTATTAATTTTTTCAGTTAAATGAATTACTGTATTAATTTTTTTTAAGTTAAATGAATTACTGTATTACATTTTTTTATGTTAAATTTATTACCTGAAATTACTAGTCGATTAGTTCATGATTGTTTTAAATAAGCCTAGTAATTGTTTTAAAATTAATCTTGGAAATTAATTTTTTTTCAGCATTCAAAGACGTGATGTTGATGTTTAAATTGATGAACACTTCGGGCGTTGGTTACCTTAGTATTGAGGAATTTTTCTCTGTGTACGATGTGACAGTCCTCTCCTGGGAACCTCAATATTCAAGCACTCCTTGGTATCATACAGCGTGGAAACCTTTACAGTTTCTCTGCAAAGGGGCAAATCTAGCCATTTCGTGGAAGTATTTTGATACCTTAATTTGTAAGCAACAATTTTAAATTGACTAATTTTTTTAATTTACTATTCCATATAAATAATTAATTTATGATTACTCCTCATTGTTTTTTTATTCATTTATTCATTAATTCGTTTATTATTATTTAAAGTTTAATTATTAAAGTTTATTTAACGTGTAATTTGGAAAATGATCGGGTTTGATGTTGTAAACTTTAGTTCTATATTTTTAATTAAAATATAATTTAATTTAATTCAATTTACAGATACAGCTATCGTTGGTAATGGCATTGCAATGGTGGGCCGTTTATTAGAAATATCAGGAGATCGAATCGATTCTGCTCATAGATTCTCTGCCTATTGGGATACGTTACTCTTTGGTGGCAGTGAGTAAACTATTTATTTTAATGGTACAGTAGAACCTCGTTTAATTAAACTTTCTTCTATAATTAAATTATTTTAAATAATTTTCCGAAAGTTTTTCGAGAATTCAATTATTTAAATATAAAAATCATAATTTAATTTGTAAATTTAATTTAACATTCTCAAAAATAAAAATAGTTACTTATAAATTGTTGTAGAAAAACTCATTTTTATTTATGCAAAAGAAATATTATTATTTTCAGAAATTTCATATCACTTTTGTTCTAATTTGTTTTTAACTTTTTATACTAATTCTGATTTAAAGAATAAATTTTGTGTTACAATTTTTGCAAGAAAATTAGGAAATTATTATATTTTTTATAATTTTTTTTTTTTTTTTTTTTTAATTTTAACAGTTAACATTTTTGTTAAAAAAAAAATATTAAATTTTTGTAAATTTTATAGTCTTGAATCACAAATAATTAAATTGTTTCAACAAATTTTATTGCAAATTTAAAAATAATTAAATTCTTTCTAGGAATTTAATTACAGTTGTATTAAAAATAGTATTGAATTCCTACGTAGAATTTTATTAAAATATTTAAAAATAATTGAAAATAATTAAATTTATACACAAAATTTTATAAAAGTTTTTGAAAATAATTGCATTCTTACGAAGAATTTTTTTAATATTATGAAAATAATTTATTTCTTGCAAAAAATGTTATTAACATTTTTTAAATAATTAAATTCCTGCGAAAAATTTCGTTAATTATAAAAATAATTTCATTCTTGCGAAGAATTTTATTGAATTTATGAAAATAAGTGATTTTTTTCGAAGCATGTTACGAAAATTGAATTTTAAATAATTGAATTTTTGCGAAAAATTTAAAGTAATTGAATCCTATCGAAGAATTTTATTAAAATTTTTAAAAATAATTGAATTTCATTTATATTTTATTAAAAATAATTAAATTCCTACGAAGAATTTTATTATTTATGAAAGAATTGAATTCCTGAGAAGAATTTTATTACTTATGAAAATAATTGATTTTTTTGTGAAGAATTTTATTAACATTTTTATTTTAATAATTGAATTTCTGTGAAAAATATTATTTGTGAAAATAATTGAATTCTTGCGAAGAATTTTATAAAATTTCTTTTAAATAATTGATTTTTCGAAAAATTTTATGAAAATTGTATTTTAAATAATTGAATTTCTACCATGAATTTTATACTAAAATTTTTCATTTAATTTTCTGCTTTCCAAATAAATTTTTGGTTTCTTTACCAAATGTTAATTGATTCATATTATTTTTCTTTGTAGTTTTTGCGGCTGAAGCTCTTATCAAAGTGTTGGGTCTTGGTGTGAGAAGATATTTGAGTTCTGGATGGAATTTATTTGATTTGGGAGCATCGATTATGATTTTAGTTGCGGCAGTGATTCTCACATTATTTCCAACAGCAACATTCTTCGTCGTTTTTCGACCGTTGAGAACACTGCGACTTTTCAAAATTAAAAAACGCTATCGAGATGTTTTTGGAACATTGGTTATTTTAACGCCGTTGATGTGCTCCGCCGCAATTGTCATGCTCATTTTGTACTATTTCTTTGCAATCATCGGGATGGAATTGTTCGCCAATTATGACATGAGAAATTGTTGCAAGTGGGTCTTAATCTTGAATATTTAGTTTTTGGTGAAAATTACAAAATTATTTCTTATAATTATTATTGTCAGTAGCTTTTATTAATTAATTGAAATTAATTTTCTGTTTAGAAACACAACGGTGGAAGACTTTTACAAATATTCGGCGAACGAGACAACGAGTTTGGGATATTATTATCTCAACACATTTGACAATTTAGTGGCGAGCGGAATGACTTTATTTGAATTGACAGTTGTTAATAATTGGTTTATATTCATGAATGCTTACGCACATATTGTGGGTAATTACACGAGAGCGTATTTCATGATTTTCTACTTAATCACAATGATTGTGCTGACAATTGTGGTATCGAGTTTCCTCGAAGCTTTCCGATTCCGAATTCAATACAAGAGTCAAACATCCAAACGAGATGGTAAAAAATATTTTCCTCTGTTAATTTTCTTTAATTTATAATTTTGCTTATTTAATTTGAATCGTTTTCTTTTGCAGAGGAGAAAATGTTACACGACAAAGTTGAATTAAAATGGGAGGAATTGCAAGTGATTGTACAGGATTTACAACTCTTGGAGCAACTTCGATCTTCGCTGATAAGTGCCGTATGTCGCAATTATTATTATCGATCAAAAATTTATTTTTTTATTCCGAAAATTATAAATAATAACTATTTTCCTTTCAGGGAACAATGGCATTTATTGGATCTCGGCCTAGAACACGTGAAATTCTCCAAACAAGAATGTACACGAACGAAATATATGAATGGCTGGCGGAGGTAAAATTGGCAGAGAGTCACGATGCATCGCGAACTGTAAGTAGTTACGAGGAAATTGGCGAAAGTAGCAGGAATATTGATCCTGAACAATTAATATTAAACGGTTTAAGCAATACTCAACAAAGAAATTCGAGTAACATGCCTTTATAATTTAATTCAAAACTAGTTGATTAGTTTTAACAAGTTTTTTTTATTTTTTTTTCACGTTATTTTTTGAAAAAAGATTTTAATCTTTTCTATCCGTAGAAAAAAATTTTTTTTTTCCATGAATTTTGGAATTTTTATAGTACATTTTTAGTACAAAGTAATTTTTTTTTTAGGAGTAAAAAAGGAACTTTTAAAGTTTTTAAAGTATTTTAGCTGCAATATTTGATGGCTTTAAAGTATATTGTTATTAATTTATAATTTATTGCATTTTAATTTTTATCAGATTTTTTTTCATCATTTTCCATTTAATTTATCGTTGCAAAAATGAAATCTCTGTTTTACAAAGATTTTCCATTTCCTCTCATCAGAAACATATCAAATTTATTGCATGTTATGAAAAAAAATACATTTTAGTGTTAAATGATTTCTATTTTTTTATAATAAAAATTTTATCTATTATTTATAGTTTGTAAATAACGTAGAAATAATTAGTGGAAAACAAGTGTTGTTTTAAATGGCTTATTTTGTAAAATTGAAGTTTATTTTATTTCTTATCTAATTTCTTTTACGAATTGATAGTTTTCGAGTTTACTTACAAGTTGTGTGATATTTGTACTAAAGTTGGAAAAATGATTAAAAAAAAGAGTTTTTGTTAAATGGCGCCAAAGGCATTCAATTAGTAGATTAGATTAATAGTTTTCTTAATCATTCCATAATTAGTGTTTGTTTCTTTTATACAAAATAGAGGATTCGCACTCATCTACTAAAAAATCTACTATTTACTACTTTTTTTATGATTTCCTAGTATTTGGATACTTTTTTAGATTTGTGACACTAAAAATTAATTTTTTCTTTTATTTTTTGAGAATTTGCACTATTTTAAATCCGCAAATAGTTAGCATAAAAAAAATTACTCTCAAAAATTGTAATAAAATCACAAGAATTTAATTATTTTCAAAAATGATAAAATTCTTTGCTGAAATTAAATTATTTTTAATATCTACTATTTTAATTAAATTTATCAAAAAAATTCAATCACTTTAAAACAATTTTAATAGAATCATAGCAAAAGTTCAATTATTTTCATAATTAATAAAATTTTCACAGGATTTCAATTAGATATTTAAAATCTAATTTTCAAGAAAATTTTTTAAAAGAAATCAATTATTTAAAAAATTTTAATAAAACTCATCGAAAGAAATCAATTAAATTCTAATATTTTAACGAAATTTGTTTATTTAAGAATTTAATTATTTTTAATGCAATTTTTTATCAATTTCCTCGAAAGAATTTAATTATTTTTATAAACAATTTAATTCATCTCAAGAAATCAATTAATTTTAATAGAATTTTAATTAAATTATTCGAAATAATTCAATTATATTTTTAAATTCCAATTAAAATTCTTTGTAACAAATTCAATTATTTCCAAAAATATTAAAATTTTTCGCAAATAATAACATTCAGTAAATCAGGAATTCAATTAGTTTACAATTGTAATTAAATTCCTAGAAAGCATTTCATTATTTCCAAAATTTTGAATAGCAAATTCTTTTTTTACTACATACTTTTTTCAGAATTAGAACTTATTTTTTTTTAATTAATTATCGAGTGCGAATCCTGAAAGTATAAAAATACCAAAAACAAGTAGGTAATTTATTTCTTGAAAGTACTTTTACAGTCGAAAAACCGTTAATATTTATTTATCGTAACAATTAAATTATATTCGAAATATAATTTAATAATCAATTTCTACAGGTAAAGAAAAAAATTGTAAAATATTGCAAGCGAAAACAAATTATTTCCCATTGGAAAAAAAATATAATTTTGTTCTTGTTTTCGAGAAAAATATTTGAAATTATATTCGAAATATAATTTAATAATATTAATAATATTCAATTCTACAGGTGAATTTAAAAATCTTATTTAAAGTGAAAACAAATTATTTCCCTATTGGAAAAAAATGTAATTTTTTTCTTGTTTTTGAGAAAGACATTGGAAAATTTGTATAATTTGTTTTCATGTTTTTTATTAGAAAAAATGACAGGCAAAAAATTATTTACGTATATAAACTGATTATAAGTAGTTTATAGTACAATATGATTATAATTTTAGATTGTAATTAGTTTGTATATAATTGCACTATAAAAAAAATTACTATTGGATAATAAGAATTAAGGAAATGTTTAATACTTCGTTTCATATTTTTAAAATGATGTAGTTTATAGTAAATAATATCTATTCATGATTAATTTTTAATTAATTTAAAAAAGAATGTTAATATTTTAATTAATTTATAAAGAAATTTTTCTCTGTTTTAGTTCATTTAAAAATAAATTTTACTTTATTAAATTAATAGGTAAAATAACTTTTTACACGAATACATTCGGACAAGTGGTTTTTTAATATAAAAAATGCTCCAACGTTTCCTTGTCAACGTTAACACTTGTCCGAATGTAGTCGTGTAAAAAGTTATTTTACCTATTAATTTAATAAAATAAACTCGGACGTAAAAGTTATTTCAAAATTTTACTTTGTTTTAGTTAATTTAAAAAGAAATTTGACTCCATTTTAATTAATTTACTAATTAATTGATTGTAATTAATATTAATATCCTACAAATTAACATTATTGTAATTGTTCTGTAAAAACTGTCAAAAATAGTTGAGGATCACATCATTTTCTAAATATTTGGTTTCATTAATTTTAAGTGCATATAACATTATTTGTACTTACTGTGTTAAATCTTAATTTATTGCAATAGAATTTTCTCATATCTGTACTTTATTCTTTAAAAAAAGTGCGAATAGTATTATTTAGAAAATTTGACTTGTATCAGAATATTAAGAGCTTCCTATAAAATTTTTAATTCGTTAACAACTTCCATTCGTCTTTGTGATATTTCATAATATAGTTTCAAACATCATTTTCACTTTTAGAAAATAAATTTGTATAAAGAAATATGTATAACTAAACTAAAGAAATAACACTAATGTGATAAAAAAAAATTTCCTGAAGTAATGTAACAATAATCAAATCGTGTAAATGTAAACTTATAATACATTTTTACAATTAAAGAAAAAATAAAATTCCAAAAAAGTGTAATTATTTTTTCATGTAAGGATTAAAGTGTAAGCAATATTTATTGCTTACAAAATAAATGTACCAGTGATAAATATATTTCCCAAAGTATATTCTTAATTTGTGAACAAATTTCTTATTTCATTTTACAAATGTAAATTAAGTAATTTGTCTTTATTAATTTGTATAAAGAAATAAGTAAAATAATTTTATTTATTTAAAATAATTTAAAATTATACCATATCACCTTTTTTGTACTGTTGATAAAATGAAGAATAGGAAAAAATACTCAAGTTACTTGTGAATTTCTATTCCAGAACCTCCCAAATTAGTTAATGTGACAGTATACCCACTTGCAGTTAATTTTTGAGACAGATTTTCAATAATTTCGTTCGGAGTACTTGGAAGAAGTAGAATATAAGCGTAACCACCACCACCAGCTCCGGTCAGTTTTCCAGCGAGGCCGTAATTTTTCGCCTCCGCACAAATTGCATCCAGGGAAGGATGAGATAAATTACAGGTACTGAGAAATCCTTGATTTATTTTTATTAATGTCTGAAAATTATTTAACTAAATTTAAAATTTATAATTAATTAGAAGTTAAACTAAAATTTAATTAACTACGCCGACGAAACGCCGTATTCCATTTCTTATTATTATGAAAATTACAAGATTTTTTTTTATTTTCAAATATCAACTTTAATTTTAAAATAATTTCAGATTCAAAATTAAAAAGAAATTCACTAATTAACTAATTAATTATTATTATTATTATTTATTATTTTCTAATATATTAATCAAATTCTTCGAAAAAATTCAATTCTTTAAAAAAATTTTAACAAAATTCTGCGCGAAAATTCAATTCTTTTTTCATAAATAATATAATTCTTCACAGGAATTTATATTTAATACAATTTAAATGAAATTCCTTGAAAAAATTCCATTACTTTTAAAAAATTAAAATAAAATTCCTCGAAAGAATTCAATTATTTTTAATGAAATTTAAGCTAAATTCCTCAAAAGAATTTTAATTTTCTTAAACCAATTATATTGCTTTCAATAAATAAAATAAAAAAAAAAATTTCTTGCCAAGAATTCAATTATTTACATAAATAATAAAAATATTTCGGAGGAATTCAACTATTTTTAATACAATTTCAATAAAATTATTGAATGGAATTTTATAAAAATTTTATTAAATTTACTTGCAAGAATTCAATTATTTTCATTAATAATATCATTCTTAACAGGAATTTAATTATTTTCAATACAATTTAAATGAAATTATTCAAAAAATTCAATTGTTTTTATTTTTTAAAAATTTTCAAAAAAATTCATTATCCTAAGAATTCAATTATTTTTAATAAATAAATTTCTCAAAACAATTTTATTTTTCTTTCAAGCAATTAAATTGATTTTAATAAATAAAATAAATTTCTTTTCAAGAATTCAATTATTTTCACACCTATTTGTTAAAATTTTATTAAATTTCATTGAAAGAATTCAATTATTTTCAGAATAATATTCTTAAAAAAATTTTTTTTCTTGAAACAAAATTTTCAGAAATTTTGTTAAAATTCTTTAAAAGAATTCAATTGTTTTTAATAAATTTTTAATAAGCAAAATTAAATATGAAATGAAATTTCTGGAAAGAATTTAATTATTTTCAATAAATTTAGTGAAATGTCTTTAATATAATTTTTGGCAAAATTTCAATTATTTTCAAAAATTTTCATCAAAAATTTTCAATATCTACTATTTTAATATTTTTTAAAACAATTCAGTTATTTAAAAATATTTTAATGAAATTTGACTAAAAGATTCAATTATATTTAAAAATAATAAAAATTCAATTATTTAAAATAGAATTTACATAGAATTTTACAAAAAAATTAATTATTTAAAAGATTTTAGTAAAATTATTCAAAAGAAAGCAATTATTTTCATAAATAACACAATTTTTCATTGGGATTCAATTATTTCCAAAAATTTTAATAAAATTCTTGGCAAAATTTCAATTAATTTCAAAAATAATAAAATTCTTCGTTGAAATTCAATTATGTTCAAGAATTAACAAAAAATTGTTGTCAAAATTTTAATTATCTTTATAAATAAGCAAAATCTTCTCTTAAATTCAATTATTTTTAAAAATTACAATATTCATTATAAGGATTCAATTATTTTCACAAATAATAAAATTTTTCACTGGAATTCAAATATTTAAAAAATTTTATAAAATTCTTTAAAATAATTCAATTATCTTGATAAATAACAAAATTATTCCTAGAAATTCAGTTATGTTCAGGAATTTTAATAAAATTCTTTGCACAAATCAATTATTTTCATAACTAACAATATTCATAAAAAGAATTCAATTATTTTATGGAATTTTAATAAAATTCTTTGCAAATTTCAATTATTTTCAGAAATATAAAAATTCATTGCAGAAATTCAAATATTTTAAAAAAATTTGATAAAAATCTTTCCTAAATTTCAATTATTTTCAAACATTTTTCACAATTCAATGATTTTCAATGTCTACTAAATTCAAAAATTTTTTTTCATAAATAAAATTTTAATGAAATTCGGCGCAAGAATTCAATTATTTTCATTAATATATAATTCTTCACGAGAATTTAATTATTTTCAAATCAATTCAAATGAAATTGAAATTTTCCTTGAAAAAATTCAACAGTTTTTAAAAATTTTAATAAAAATTCTTTAAAAGAATTCAATTATTTTTATTACAATTTTAACTAAATTTTTCGAAAGAATTTTAATTTTCTTTGAAAGAAAAAATAAATAAAATAAATTTCTTGGCAAAAAATCAATTATTTTCATAAATAATAAAATTCTTTATGTGAATTCAATCATTTTTATTACAATTTTAACTAAATTTCTGGAAACAATTTTAATTTTCTTCGAAACAAGTAAAATAAAATAAATTTCTTGTCTAGAAATCAATTATTTTCATTAATAATAAAATTCTTCGGTGGAATTCAATCATTTTCAAAAATAATAAAATTCTTCGCAGAAATTCAATTATTTAAAAATTTTAGATAATAATTGAATATATTAATAGCATTATAGCATGAATTTTTAGAAATAATTGAATTTTGAAAAGGTTTTAAATTAAAATCATTAAAAATCTGAATTTTTCATACTTTTAACTAATAATTCTGTACAATTGATTTTTAATTGAATTTTTTTAAAAATTATTTGAAGTTTTTTTTCTAATATATATATTTAATTGAAGAATTTCCGAATAATAAAAATTTCGTAAAATTGAATTGTAAATAAATGTATTTGAAAATTCTTAAAGAACTTTTTCAAAAATTATTTAAAATAATTGATTCAAAGTAGAATTTAAGTTGAAAATTCTAGAAAATAATAATTTAATTGAAGTGGTGAAAACAATTTTGAAGAATTTTTATATTAACAATATTCTTATTATATAAAATAATGATTTTATCACTCAGTCATCTTTTTAATTTTTATAAAACATGAAGAAATCGATTATTCCGAGTCGAAGACTCGGAGTAATCGACTTCTTCATGTTTTATAATAATTGTCTTCTAAGTTATTGAATTGCAAATGATTTGAATTTGAAATTTTTGTAAATCTTAATTCCTATTTCAAAAACGAAATACGAAAATCCACTCACCATCAACTCATTGTAAGCCTCCAACAATAATTCATCATGAGCCTCGGGAAGTTCCTGAATTCTTCTAATAATAGTCAAAGCCTCCTTAGCAATGCCATCCATTGATTCCAATAAAGGATTAATAACCTTCGGATATTTCGTTTTCAATTGAGCGAAACTTTCCACCAAAGTTTTTGTATTCCTCGCAACTCTCGTGTCAACAACCAAAACCCTCATGACTTTAGCGCCACTAATTGGAATGAGGCACTCGCCTTTTCTGAATTCAATAATAGAACCAAAAGTACAAATTGTATTATCAATTCCCGATGGTGTTCCATGCATAATTCGCTCACATTCCAAGGCATACGACGATATTTCTCTCAATTGTGAATCGTCGAGGGAAGTTTGTAAATTTTTTTGTAGACGCGACCAATGATAGAAACAAGTAACGAGACAAACTGCAAACGATGCCGAACTCCCGAGACCAGAGCCAATTGACAATTCTGTATCCAAATTTAGATAGAATGCACTTATTGTTATTGTTTCCTTGTGTGATATTCCGATTAGAAGGTAAAACAGTGCCTCTAGACCTTGTCTTTGTGAAGGTGTTTCGCAGTTAATTTGCTCGACAAACTTTTGGACGTATTTGTAAAATTCATCGTGACCGGAAGACAATTTTATGGACGATTCACTGAAGAAGTAATCAATTATTTCTTGTACAGCTATTTCTCGGTGTAGATTTATTTTTGGCATTGATATTTCAATGGTATTTTTCCCAGGAGTTTCTTTAAAATCCAAATTTGTTCGTAGTGCCAAACTCGCAGCCACTGCCGTTTTTCCATAGACGACTGAATGCTCACCGAAAAGAATTACTTTTCCCGGCGCTGATACTTTGAATTCCGCCATTTTCTTGAATTTATTATTTTCTCCTGTATTTTTCTATTTCTTTCTTGTATTTTTATGTCTTCTATTTTTGTATTTTCGTATTTTCGTATTTTCCTTTAATTCTGTATTTTTTTATATTTTTTTTTGTATGTAAAAAAATTAATACGGTTCGTTAGAAAATTCGATGGGAAATAAATTAATATCAAATGATGTAAACTTAGAAATTATTAATCTACATTTATATGCCTCTTCTCGGGAGATTTTTCTTTTTCTACGATTCTAAAGACCGCTCCTTCTCCCATTGCTCAGGAGTTAATGTTTTTTGTGAAAAGGCATGAATATCTTTCAATTCCTCCGACAACACTGAGTTGACTAATCTGGAAATTAAAATGAACTCTCATTGAAACTGTATTTCATTAAAATTATCACTAATTACATTCGAAAACTGTAATATTGAGAATATGTTACCTGTGTCTTTGTAGTAATGGCTTTCCTTCGAATTTACTCGAAACTATTACAGCCGTAAATTTTGCCCCACAACCATCGGATTGGTCCACAACTTCCTGAAACAAATAATTAACATATTGTGTAATTTTAATTCGGTTTAACGTTCAAGGTTTTACATTAAGATATCTGTTTATTTACCTCGTTATAATTTGCATTTATTTATTGACATCATTTTAAATTTAATATGCAAGAAATTTTTTTAAAAATTTCTAACAAATAATTGTTTACAAATTTTAATTAAATTTAAAATTTATTTATTATGTGAATTAATAAGAAAAATTTCAAATTTTTTTGTTTTTCATATTTAAATTCAATTTTTGAATGATTTTAGACTCAAAATTAAAAATAAATTCAATTATTAAGTAAATAATTGTTATTATTTATTATATTCTTAAATATTAATCACATTCTTCGCAGAAATTCAATTATTTTCAAGAATTCTTTTAAAATTCTGCGCAAGAATTCAATAATTCTTCCTAGGAATTTAATTATTTTCTATACAATTTAAATGAAATGACTCGACAAAATTCAATTGTTTTTAAAAATTTTAATAAAAATTCTTAATAATAATTCACTTATTTTTAACACAATTTTAACTAAATTTCTAGAAAAAAATTTAATTTTCTTTAAAATAATTAAATTTTTTTTTAATAAATAAAATAAATTTCTTGGCAAGAATTCAATTATTTTTATTACTAATATGATCTTTTTTCACTGAATTTAATTATTATCAATAGAATTTAAATTAAATTCCTCGAAAGATTTTAATTGTTTTTAGAAATTTTAATAAAAATTCTTTATAATAATTCACTTATTTTTAACACAATTTTAACTAAATTTCTAGAAAAAAATTTAATTCTCTTTAAAATAATTAAATTTTTTTTCAATGAATACAATAAATTTCTTGACAAGAATTTAATTATTTTCATAAATAATAAAATTCTTCGGTGGAATTCTATTTTAATAAAATTCTGCGCAAGAATTAAATTATTTTCATTATTAATATAATTCTTCACGGGAATTAAATTATTTTCAATACAATAGAAATGAAATTCCTTGCAAAAATTCAACAGTTTTTAAAAATTTTAATAAAAATTCTTTAAAAGAATTCAATTATTTTTATTACAAGTTTAACTAAATTTATCGAATGAATTTTAATTTTCTTTGAAAGAAATTAAATAAAATAAATTTCTTAGCATGAAATCAATTATTTTCATAAATACCATAAAATTCTTCTCTGAAATTCAATTATTATTAAAAATTTAATTAAATTTCCTTGAAAAATTCAATTACTTAAAAAAAATTTAATTAAATTTGTAAAAAGAATTAAATTATTTTTTATACAATTTTAAATAAATTCCTCGAAAGAATTTTAATTTTCTTTGAAAAAACTGAATTTTTTTTTAATAAATGCAATAAAATAAATTTCTAGACATGAATTCAATTATTTTCATAAATAATAACATTTTCGGAAGGAATTCAATTATCTGTAAATATATTTTATTACATTTCTTTGAAAAAATTCAATTATGTTCAAAAATAAAATTCTTGACAGAATTCAATTATTTTTTTAATCATTTAGTGGAATTCTTCAAAAAAAATAAATAAATAAAAAATACTATTATTTTTAAAAATTGTAATAAAATTCGTCGAAATAATTCAATTTTTTTTTAAATTTTGTTAAATTGTTTAGAAGAATTCAATTAATTTTAGTACAATTTTTATTATTTTTCTTGCAAGAATTGAATTATTTTCAAATGTTTTTAATAGAATTTTTCGAAAAGATTAAATTTTTTTCATAAAATGTAATAAAATTCTACGCAAGAATTATATTATTTCGGAATCGAATTCATCAAAGTTAAAAAAATTCGGTTAACATTGTTTTAAATAAAAATATCTTTTAAAATTGAAAAAAACCTCTCATTAAAGCAATATTATGAAGAATAATAAAATTCCTACATTTCTCATGATTTTTAATTAAAAACAACTTAGTTTAATTAATATTTGATATTTTTTAATCTTCTAAGTATTAAATTAGAATCCCATTAATTTTAAAATTTGAAATCTTTATTCAAAGAAAAAATTATAAAAAAACAAAATTAGGAAATAATTTTATCAAATAAAAAACTAACTCCAAACGGCAAGCAGACTATCGGAATACGGCGATTATTAATTGATTTAGAAAGTATTAATTAAAATTGTAGTTTATTATACAAATTTCATAAATGAAAAAATAATTTACAATTTTATACACTCGATGGAATTTTCACAAGACGAGAATGTTTCACACAATTCATTTTTCATTCAATACATTCAAAATGTAAAAATTAAATTCTAAATAATTAGTTGAATTTTAATTTACCCGCCCTTGTTTTCATTGTAAACTGACGGTAATTAAAGTACAAACAAAAAAGAATAAAATGTCCACATGAATAAACAGACAACAATAGTGGAAACAAATCCGGATAAATTTTCGGAGGTATAACAAATTTGCAGCAAATTGTTAAAAGTACAAAACCCCCGATTGATAAATAAAAAATAATAGTTAACAAAGGTTTGATATTAATTGACATTAAATTCTCTTTTAAACTAATTTTTTCTTTTTCACTTTCCTTCTGATTTTTCGTTTTTGCTTTCTTCCCCGAAGATTTACTTTTCGTTTTTTCCTTCTTTACTTTCAAACTTTGCTCCTCATTTGTCTCATTCGAAAAATACGAATCAGTGAACCAAAGCCATGAAATTGAGACGGCGAAGAAAATCGTCAAGGCGAAAAATGCAATGAGAAGACCGTCCTTAATGATTAATGGTATCATACTAAACGACGATATTAACAGAAACCAAAAACAAGCAAACGGCTCGTATTGAAAGTACAAAGCGACCGGAATTGCCGCAAGAAGTATCGATTTCTCATGAACTTGATACGAGAAAAGAAAGAACGACAGCGAAGAATTAATTTGTGCAATGATGAATTTTTCCCTCGACGGTCGAAAGTACATATCGAAACAACTTGGCAATAGGGCAATTGTCGTGGTCACAAGACAAATTTGCGCCAATTGTATATTCTCAAACAATTCCCTCAATTTAATCACAACATTAATTGTACACCAAATATTCGCCACTTTATCCTCAAACACACCTCTTGCCAGCGGAAATAATCTCACGATAACACTGAAAAATGTCCTTCCATTCCAAACGAATGGAAACCAAACGAGAAGAAAAGTCACAATCACCGTACACGCCACGTAAAATAAATTCAACAAACACTTTGAAAACAATCGTTTATTAATCGGTGTATTCGTCCCGAGAATATAGACAAAAAACGGAAGAGCGTGATACAATTCCATTTGTTTATAATTCAACGCAAGTATAAACAAAAAAGAACCGAGATTCAAAGAATTATTCAAAATTGCCCCACAGGCGGCGACAAATGCCCCCAGGGAAACACAATTATACTGAAAGTGACCGTAGTCAATTAAAATTAAACCCGGATAGAATAGAATCACAGCCAAAAGGGAAGCACGCTCACAAAAATAGTAAACACCCCGTGATTCTTTCGATTTCCTCACGATGGTGTAAATAAAATACAAAATCCCTGGCAAAAAAGTGAGAATATCCGCCAAGAAGACAGTGAGTCGCATAAAATATTTATGATCCACTGATTCGAATCCACGTGATTTGTGTAGAGCGACATAATTTGGATCTAATTTTCCAGCTAGTTTTCCTAAAATAAAACTATGATATGCAGTCAATGGGGGATAATCTAATCCCCAATATTCAAGATTATTTTTAGTGGAATTCTTGTACCACTCCTCGACAGGAAGATTCACTGTTATCTCTTGCCAATGTCGTTGTGCTTCGTAATCACCGTACATTGGAGGTTTGCCTTCTCCACTGTAAGGATGGTAGGTGACACACCATCGTAAAATAAGAGCCGCGTTAATCACACAAAAAATTTGTATTTTTTCCTGCATTATTATTTTTTTTGTTTTTTCTATAGAATTTGCCGATCCTGTAAAAAAATACTAGGATTCATGTCACAATCTATTTAAAACAAAAAAAAATTTTGATAATTTTTATTATTTTTTAGCTGTTATTATCATCCATAAGTTCTGAGTATTCAAATTATCGGAATTTATTGACTATTTTCGAAAATTACTCAGGGTTGACACAAAAATTTAATTTCCTTTTTCCCTGATTTCCAGAAAAAATTTTGACTTTTACACTGACCCTGAAGATTATTTTGATTCACCCCAAAAATTATTAGATTTTCAAAAAAAAAATGTTGTATTACATTTATTTATGAATTTCTTTAATTGTAAAATTATTCAAAAACATCAATAACTTTCTTTTTAAATAAATATTTAATCATTACCTATATTATTTTTCTATAGAAATTAAGATTTTCAAATTCAAACCTTCTAAAATTCAATTACTTTTAAACAAATCTTAAACAAATTTAAGATGACAGAGTGATAAAATCATTATTTTATATCATCAGAATAGTGTAACTATAAATTCAAATTTTCCAAGATTTTAATTTGAACCCTTTTCAAAATTCAATTATTTCTAAAAATTCATGCTATAATTCTTTTAATATTCAATTATTGTCAAAAATTTTAACTGAAATTTATTTTTAAATCAATTTTTATTAAAAAATTCTACACGAATTCAATTATTTAAATACAAAAATTAATAATTCATTGAATAATTCAATGTTTCTTAAAATTGAATTTTTATGAAGAATTTGTATTGAAAATAATTGAATTATATAGGAAAATTTTATTAAAATTACAATTTTATTAATTAAATCGTGTAAAGAAATTTTGGTAACATTTTTTTAAATAATAGAATTTTTTAAAGAAGTTTATTTCAATTTTTTCGAAATAATTGAATTTTTCAGAACTATTTTTTTTTAATTTTCTGAATATATTTGAATTCCTTCGAGAAACTTCATTTAAAAATTAAAAATAATTGAATTGGTGCGAAGAAATTTATAAAAAATTGATAAGTAATTGAATTCCTCTGAAATTTTCATTAGTATTTTGTTTAAATAATCGAATTCTTTTGGAAAATTTTAATAAAATAGTAGATACCTATTACAAATAATTAAAATGAGGAAAATTTTTTAAAATAATTGAAATTTTGCCAAGAATTTTATTAAATTTTATGAAAATAATTGCGAATTTTGGAGAATAATTTTATTATTTTTAAAGATAATTGAAATTTTAATGAGATTTTTTTAACATAATTGAATTTATGCGAAGAAGTTTATCACTTTTGAAAATAATTGAATTTCTGTAATCAGTTGTTCTTGAAATTTCTAATAAAGTTATTTAATTTGAAGAAGAAACAAACAAATTTCGTTCGTTTGAACGTTCAGAACTTTAGGAATATTATTTTATTTACAATTGCCATTAAAGACTACTTCTTTGTAGAATTTTCATTTTCATGTTTTAATTAAGTAATTAAAATGTATTTTTACATAAGTAAGGAGTTATTTTTTAAGTTATTTATTTAATTTAAAAATAGTAAATACATACCACGTGTACCGCGTCCAGGTCTTTTATCAACTTATTTCGGATGTAATCTTCGGTATATGGCATTATTATACAAAATTAACTGTTCTTTGCCAGCAAGTGGCGTGACCCTTGGGTCTCTTGGATGAATAGAAAGATTACGGAATACTTTTCTTTAAAAACGTGTGGTTAATATATTATAAATGTTGACGGTTGACGTGGCGATAATTTTAAGGTTATCTTGCAAGTGGAAAATATTCTCTCAGTCCTTTAAGTTTAGCAGTAATGTATCAACTTTTCTTTGCAAAACCCAATTAATAACAATTAATATTGACGCTGTCAATCATTGCCTGGCACTTGACATTTAAATCCATTTAAATCATTTAAATTAAATAACATTTTTGTATTGTTATTCTATCAACAATAGACAGGGTTGAGAAGTCAAAATGAAAATCCACAGCGCACATGCGCGCGACAAAATCTTAATCCTTCAGAGACTCTCGTTATCAATTTTTGAAATGATCTAGGCTTAAGTTTTTAAAAAAGTTTTAAAAAATATTATTTATATTAATAAAAGTAATTTTTATTTTAAATAAATAAATTCTGTAATTAATAATAAAAGATTTATGTAAAAAATTAAAAACAGGGTTAAGAAATTAAAATGCAAATATTTCGTTATTTTTAAAACGTGACCGCAGTATGAACGAGGCTTAAGTTTATAAAACATTACGTTCGTTCACACCCACCAAGCACGTAACGTAAGATCGTTTCTCACACACATAAACATTTACGTAAGACGTAAATACTTTCAAAAATATACAAAATCTTTGCAAATTGTTTATATTTTGCATATTTAGTGTAAATTTGAACAAATGAGTATAATATCCTTGAGGAAACTCGTAAAAATTTATTTGCAATACAACAAAGTGGGTTGTAATTTCAAATAGGGTTATGTATTATTTATTTGCACACGTACATCTATATGCACACGATATCATGGGCAGATATACAATCTTAACATATGCATATGTGTGAAAGTTGGGTGTGTGGTGTGTGTGTGTGAACAACGTCAACGACACGACTGTGGGGCCGTCAAATTGCGTCAGATGAACATGGCGTTCTTTAGGTTATTGCCGTGAGTGTTGCTTAATTTTTTCGCTAAATGCAGATCATTGGTGTGTTCTGCGGGACGACGCAGAACTCCGTGTCGATGGGGAGGCGACCCTTCGACGGCTTGGGCCGTAAACCCAGGACCTAGAGGAAAACCCCGAGTGTTAAAAGTATACACACCCTGACGCGGTATTAACACTGTTTTGGGTGACATTTTTTTTCTTATCAAAGACTTTTTTTGGTTTTCCCCCCCTTGTGTTTATTGCAAAGACCAGTGTGATTTCGTGGACCTAATTAATAATTTGGAAAATTTTTTGATAATGCAAATGCCGGTATTTTGGAACCAGTGATTTTTTAAATAGCCACAGGGTATCACAGGGCACCACAGGGTGAAAGTAGTGGTGGTGGTAACCAATAAGTGATACTTAATTCATCCCCGCACAATTTGTTTCGATTGTTTTTTTTTTGCAAAGTTATTTCGATTGTTATTGTTTTTCTTTTTTGACATTTTTTTAGGGCGTCGGCTCTTTAAAGGCGGGAAAAATTCGATAAAACATGTTTATATGATTGTAAAAGATGTACGTGGAGACGGTGGTTGGTATTTGAAATTCGTGTGGTGGTGGTGAAACCCTCCCTGGAGCAAAAGTGACACATGTCAGTGCCATTGACTTATGTTTACGATTCTTGTGAGACAAGTCGCCAGGGGAAAACAAATAAAGCCGAAGCTGACAAAGAGATTTGTAAATTAAAATACACAAGAAAGAGAGGTGAGAAGAGGGTCGGTGCCATATGCCGCCAGCCGGGCTATCGGCAAGAGGCTTGTCTATCTTGATGGACCACGGACAACCGGACGCTCGTCATCGGAGCGAGCGGTTATTACTTTATTCAGAGAATGGCTGCTCTCAACCCCTTAATCCAAATACGGCCACACTTTCCCCCAGGTATCAACACATCAGTAGAGTCACCACACAATTTAGGTAAATAGTTTTTATCAAATTCCTCGATTCATTCTTTTTCGTAATTAAAAACACTAAATATTTTGTATCTCGGTGACAATTTACTTTTGTCCCGAAAATTATAGTAAACAGAAGTGAAAAAGAAAAGAAAACAATATGTGGATTTTTTTTATACAATAAATTTTCAGATTAGATAAGAAAGTAATTTAGTAATGTATTGAATTACGATTTCTCCTTTTATAATTATGTATTTATTTACATTTAAATAATTCAATGACAAGTGAAATTTTGAATCCTTTTCCAATTTTCTCTTAATAAACAAAAGTCAATGTTTCCTTTTATTAAAGTTTAATGAGTGAAATCGAAGACCCTTCTGGAAAATACTATAATAGTACCTTTTTTTTATAAGTTAGGTGTTTTTCAGTATTAGCTTTAGATTAGATAAGGAAATAATAAATAATACTTTAACGGAAAAATCATTCTCTCGTATAATTATATTTATTCAGTTTTAAAATCTAAAAATTCAATTCATTTTCATGAATTTATCATTTTTTTGAAAAATATAGATTGGAAGAAAATTTTTTTTACCAGTGTTTTATAGGCAATGGGAAATAAATTTTATTTTTACTATTACTGTAAAATTAAAATTAATTGCCATTTGAGAAAAGAAATAAATTATTGCAGTTTATAATTAATGTTTTTTGAACTCAATGTTAATAAATTCGTGAAACTGGTTTATTTTCAAAGTTTAGAATATTGAGAAAATGATGTGATATGAAAAAAAAGTGATTTTCATTTTTGCAATGAGAATAATTGTTTTAATTGTCTCTTTTTTTAGCAAAAACTACTCATACGGTCGTACTCCGAGCACTATGTCAGATAGCAGTGTATCCGACACACACAGCGGTGGAACAGCAAGAACAATTTCACAACAAACTAGTCCTTCCCATGGCACGCATTCCTCCTCTCAATCTCGACAGGACAACAGTACGACTCTCTTTACTGCCCAGTTTGATTACGTCGCACAGGGAGAGGACGAGTTGTCATTGCAACGAGGAGAAACTGTCGAGGTAAACATTATTTGCATATTAAATTAATCGCTTTTTTTTGGGAAAAGTTTACTCTTCATTTTTTATTTTAAATTCACGATTGCCATAGATAGCAGAGAAATCAGGGAAAAGTTAGGGATTTTTATTAGAAGTAATGCAAAAAATTAAATTTTTAGAATTATAAATTATTTAATGAATAATTTTACTACAATATTTCAAAATTAATTGGATTTTAAGAGTTGTGTCTACAAATTTCATAACTAAATAAATGTCAAAAGGTTTCAATTTAAAATTTTAGAGAATTTGAATTTTAAAAATGAATTTAATTAGAATTTTAAAGAAATTAGTTTTTGAAAAATTTTAATAATTCAATTTCTATTTAAATTACAGTTGAATTTTTAAAATTATATTTAACTATATATTTTAAAAGTCTTAACCCAATTCTTCGAAAGATTTCAATTATCTTGATAAATAACACAATTCTTCCTAGAATTTTAATTATTTTAAGGAATTTTAATAAAATTCTTTGCCGAAGTTCAATTATTTTCATAAATTATAATATTCATTATAAGAATTCAATTTATTTATTTCAAATTATTCCTAGTAATTCACTTATTTTTAAGAATTTTAATAAAATTCTTCGCAAAATTCAATTATTTTCATAAATAACAATAACAATTTGTATTAATACTCTTGAATTTAAATTTAAAATTTAATTGAATTTAAACAATATTTTTAAAAATAATTGTATTCTTTCGAGAAATTTTATTAAAATTGTATTGAAAATAATTGAATTCTTCCGAAGCATTTTATTATTTATATAAACAATTGAATTCCTTTGAAGAATTTTCTTATTTATGGAAATATTTTAATTCTTGCGAAAAATTTTCTTATTTATGAAAATAATTGAATTCTTGAGAAGGATTTTTCAATTCATAAAAATAATTGAATTATTTCAAAGAATTTTATCTGAATTTTTGAAGGAATTTTATTAAAAATTTTGAAAATCAAATTTAATTAATATTTTTTAAAATAATTGTATTCTTTCCAGAAATTGTATTAAAATTCTATTGAAAAATAATTCAATTATTTTAAGGAATTTTAATAAAATTCTTTGCAAAATTCAATTGTTGTCAAAAATATTAAAATTCTCCGCAGAAATTCAATTATTTTTAAGAAATTTGATAAAAATCTTGGTTAAATTTCAATTGTTTTCAAAAATTTTTCACAATTCAATGATTTTCAATGTCTACTATACTCATAAAATTTGTTGAGTTTGATTTAAATATATTCATAAAATTTACCAAAAGAATGTAGGAGAAGTTACAAATGATTGCAGAAATTAAATTATTATTTTCATAAATAATAAAATTCTTCGCAGAAATTCTATTATTTTCAAAAATTTTAACAAAATTCGGCGCAAGAATTCAATTATTTTCATTAATAATATAATTCTTCACGGGGATTCAATTATTTTCAATACAATTTAAATGAAATTTTTTGAAAGTATTCAACAGTTTTTAAAAATTTTAATAAAAATTCTTTAAAAGAATTCAATAATTTTCTATTACAATTTTAACTTAATTTCTCGAAAGAATTTTAATTTTCTTTGAAACAAATAAAATAAAATAAATTTCTTGGCAAGAAATCAATTATTTTCATAAATAATAAAATTCGTCTCTAAAATTCAATTATTTTTATTAATAATATTATAATTTTTCAATGGAATTAAATTATTTTCAATACAATTTAAATTAAATTCCTCGAAAGATTTTAATTGTTTTTAAAAATTCTAATAAAAATTCTTTATGTAAATTAAATTACTTTTATTACAATTTTAACTAAATTTTCTGGAAAGAATTTTAATTTTCTTTAATACAAGTAGAATAAAATACATTTTCTTGGCAAGAAATCAATTATTTTTATTAATAATCTATTAATTATTAAAAATAATTGATTTAAAGAAAATTTTATCTAAAAATTCTAGAAAATAATAATTAAATTGAAATGATGAAAATAATTTTGAAAAAATTACAGTAATACTATTTTTATTATATAATATATTGATTTTATCACTCGGACATCTTGAATTGTTATAAAATATAAAGAATTATATTCTTATAAGTTATTGAATTTCAAAAGATTTTAATTTGAATTTTTTGAAAATCGTAATTTTTATGGAAAAATAATAATGATTAAATATTTATTTAAAAAAGAATTATCGATGTTTTGGAATAATTTTAGAATTAATGAAATTCGTAAATGTCTGGAAATCAAGGAAAAGTCAGGGAAAAACAAAACTACATTTTTATGGCAACCCTGAAATTCTATTCAAATTTTTTTTAAATTCAAAATATTTTCAAGTTTCTACAGAGTTTTCGGATTATTCTGCTCACGATTTAAACAAAATTAATACCATTTTTTTAATAAGTCTTACGTAATCGTGAACATGGATTCGAAAGTGGTACAGTAACTGAAAGTATTAAAAAAAATCCATTTCGATAATTTCTCACATTGTGAAAAAAATAGATTTCTGCATTAAAATTCTAAAAAATCCGAATATAAAGTAAAATTTTCTATTTGGTTTTTTTTTTTTGGTTTTTTTTTATTTGCCTATTTTTACCTTAAATAAAATAAAAATTCAGAAAAGTAGAGATAAATTTCAAAAGGGAGATTTTAATTTTTCAAATTCAAATGAAGAATAATTTTTCTAGACCTTTCTTAAATTTTTAATGCAATCACTTCCTAGTACTGCGACAAAATACAGAGAAGTAAGTTTAATAGTAAAAGGAGCATTTATTCTAATTTATGTAAATAAACGTATGTTTCACAGTATCCTTTTCACGACTAATGTAAAATTATCTATGCATCTAGTAAATAATATGCCTACACAATCTAGCTGCAGAATGCATAAGAAAATACTTCATAGAAATTTTAAGACAATCTTAAATCTCTCGATATTTTTCTAATATTTATTTATTTATAAACTGGTTCATTAATAAACCTCATAGAAGTCAGAGGGAAATTTAAATACATTTACATTTATTATTAAACATTAAAACAAAATTTCGCCTTTAATTTGAAATATTAATTACTCTCAAAATTAAGACGAATTTATTAATTCTTGAAATTTTATGAATTAGAATAAATTTGATTAATTTATGAAATTTGTTTTATGAATTGAGATGAATTTATTAATTCATGAAATTAATTTTATGAATCGAGATGAATTTATTAATTCAGCAAATTAATTTTATGAATTGAGATAAATTTATTAATTCAGAGAGTTAATTTTACGAAAGAAAAAGTGATTTTCAGAGAGAGAAATCAATTTTATGAAAATGAATATAAGAGTTTAATGAAATTTGAATTATTCTAGGTCTTATCCAAGGATTCAAAGATTTCTGGTGATGAAGGCTGGTGGACTGGGAAGATCCGGGGAAAAGTTGGCATTTTCCCGGCAAATTTTGTCATTGAAGCGGAAGTAATCGAAAGGGTATCATCGGTGATCGATAATGTTCATCCTGTTGAAATTGATTTCGAAGAATTGCAACTGGAAGAGGTGATAGGAGTCGGTGGATTTGGAAAAGTTTACAGGTCAGTAGAATGGAAGAAATGAACAATTTCGTAATTATATAAATAGAATTTTTGATTTACTCTCTTTTAATACTTCTTCTCTTTTCTAAATTTTCAGAGGATTTTGGCAGAAACATGAAGTTGCTGTTAAAGCGGCGCGCCAAGATCCAGATGAAGAGCCTAGTGTTACATTGGAGAATGTACGACAGGAGGCGAAACTTTTTTGGCTCCTTAAGCACGAGAATATTGTGCAGCTCGAGGGAGTTTGTTTAAAAATGCCAAACATGTGTCTTGTTATGGAATATGCTCGCGGTGGTAGTCTCAATAGGGTTCTTAGCGGTAGGAAGATCAGGCCAGATGTACTTGTCGATTGGGCAATTCAAATTGCTCGAGGAATGGACTATCTTCATAATAAAGCTCCAATTAGTCTTATTCACAGAGATTTGAAAAGTTCCAATGGTAATTATTTTCCGATTCATTTTTTAACAATTTTTTACAAATAATTTGAATAATTAAGCATTAAGATTAAAGTTGACGATCATTTCGAGTCGAGGTGTAATAGTTTGCTTTTTTATTTTTTTTTCCATCGTCTTGACTCGAAGTGATCATTAATTTAATTTTTTTTATTATATTGACGACCGAGTGATAAAATTATTTATTTATATAAAAATTAAATTGGAATTATTTTGCTAAACGTGTGCAATGTTTTACTTTTCTAGTGTTACTTAGTGAACCGATAGAGAACGACGATCTTCAATATAAAACATTAAAAATAACGGATTTTGGATTGGCAAGAGAAGTTTACAAAACAACTCGTATGTCGGCAGCTGGCACTTATGCTTGGATGGCACCAGAAGTTATCAAAAAAAGTACATTCAGTAAAGCAAGCGACGTTTGGAGGTATATTTAATTAATTAATATCTTAATTACCTAGTCAATTAAAATAATATAAATTACTTTTTACTCTTTTCACTCTTTTTAAAAATTTTTAAAATTCGTCTCGATTTTTCGGCATTTTGGATTAATTACTTAATTTTTTTCTTTCTTTTTTCAGTTACGGTGTTCTTTTGTGGGAACTTTTAACTGGAGAAACGCCATACAAAGGCATAGATGCCTTAGCAGTTGCTTACGGAGTTGCTGTGAATAAACTTACCTTGCCAATACCCTCAACTTGCCCACAACCATGGAGATTTCTCATGGAAGGTAAATAATAAAAAATAGTTTTTAAATTTTAATAAAATTTGGTTGACAAACAAACGTTTTGTTTGTCGTTCTTTAAATTATTATCTGTTGCTTATTTGTTTTTTTTTACTTAAATCAACTGGAAAAACTTTTTTTTCGACTGGGATATTTTCGACATTTCTTTCAAAAATTGCGACAAAATACGTCGTTTTTAATATACAATACAACCTATTTCGATTTTTTTAGTAAAAAAAGATAGTCAAATCATTCAAAAAAAAATATTTTTGAATAATATTTTTAAGATAATTGAATCCTCAAAATATACAATTAAAAAGCTTTGAAATCATTTAAATTTTGGACAATTTCATTTTTGAAAATCAAATTTTGAAGAATTTTAATTGCAAATTTTGAAAACAATTGATTTCATAAAACTTTAATGAAAATTACCTAACTTTAATAAATTCTATTAAAATATTGTTTAAAAAAGTAATTCTTCGGATTTTTTTTCATTATAATTGTTTAAAAATCTATTTTTAATATTTTTAATTACATATTTTCGAAAATTCTAATATCAATTTTTTTTTAAGTTTTAATTGAAATTCTTAAAAAAAATTAATTAATTTTTTAAATTATCAAAATTTTTTTTAAGAAATTCTATTATTTTGGAAAACTTTATTAAAATAGTTTTAAGAAGCTAATTCTTAGGATTTTTTATAATAATTTTTAAATATTCAATTATCTTCAAAAAATAATGAATTAAAAATTTGTTTAAATTCAATTATTTTCAAATAAGTTTACTAAATTTATTATTTTACAAAAATTATTTTGAAATATTATTAAAAAACTGTTTTTTAAGAATTGTTTTAATTATGTTTTAAAAATCAATTTTTAAAATATATTATTTTATTTTAATTGCTGTGAAGATGATAATAATAATAATAATTAAATATTTATTCCAAAAATAATGTATGTTTTGAATAATTCTATTTAAAATTCTGTGAAATTTTAATTCAATTTCTTATAAATACTTGAATTTTTATAAAAATGTTATTAAAGAATTATTAAATTAATTCAAATTTTTTTAAAATGAATTAAAAATAATTGAATTTGTTAAATAATTTTATTAGAGACTTTAAACAAATCAAATTTTCATAGAATTTTAATTTAACGCAGTGTAAATAATTATAAAAAGGGTCCAAATGAAATCTAAAATTGTTTAATTTTGATAGATTTACAATTAAACTATTTATTAATTATTTAATTCTAAAAAGTTTTAAGTTTACTAAATTTCAATTATTTATAAATTTTGCAATGAAATGCAATTGAAAAATTTATTATCTTACAAAAATTATTTTAAAATATTATTGCAAAACTATTTTTTAAGAATTTTTTTGATTGTTTTAAAAATCAATTTTCTTAATATACTTTCAATTACTTATTCTCAATAATTCAGTATTATTCCCAAAATCCCAATACCTTTTTTTTAAAATAAAATCAAGTAAAGTCACAGTTACGATTATTATAGAAAATAAAATTTTTATTAAATAACTGAATTCTCGAAGATTTTTTGAAAAATGATTAAAAATAATTGATTTAGAGAAGAATTTTAGTTCAAAATTTTAGAAAATAATTGATTTTCAGAAGATTTGAAATTGAAATTTTAATTTAAAAATTTTAATTCTTGTGAAAAAATTAGTAATAAGTATTTAAATATTTATCAAAGGTGGAAGAAAAAGTTTAATTATTTAAATATTTATTGAACGAAATATTTGAATAATTGAATTTCATATTTTAATATCATAGAATTGAATTTAGAAATTTGCGAAATAGAAAATTAAATTTTTTCGACAACACTGAATAAAATAAACGGCTTTTTCGCCTTTTTTTTGTAACTTTAACCGATCAAAGCGACTTTTTTTACGCTTTAAAGTCGATACGAGCTTTTTTTTGTCATTATGGTTTTTAAATAACAATTTTGGAAAATGAATTTTGCAGCCTGCTGGTCGTCAGACAGCCACTGTAGACCAGGTTTCGTAGAAATTTTACTAGCATTGGATGATGTTAGAAGTGCTTTTGCTGCCACACCCCACGAATCATTTCACACGATGCAAGACGATTGGAGACTTGAGATTGAAGAAGTTCTTCATGGATTGCGCATGAAAGAAAAGGTACTTATTGCTAGTAATTACCAGAATTATTATAATTATTAATTATGCGAATTACATCTTATTCTATACATACCAATCACAATAAAAATTATTTTGAGTATAGTATAGAATAAAAATTCTACACAAAGTGTAGAGAAACTTCTTTTCACACTTTATGGAATATAATATTTGCAAGAGTTTTTCTTTTTTTAAAACTTGTTTCAAATTATCGGTAACATTTTAAATTTTGTCAAATGCTATTCAAAAGGAATGTCGCTCCTTAGAAGAGGTAAGACCCTCTTTCTCTTTTTCATGTCAATGTAGTATTTTTTTTTGTTACACTAAACTTTGTTTAGTATTTATTTATAGAATTAGTAATTTTTTTTGTTAAGATTCTCTTCATGTTTGAAAAATATTTTGTTTTTCATTTAGGAATTGCGCTGCAGGGAAGAAGAGTTAACCAAGGCACAAGTGCAACAGAGACAGCATGAGGAAAATTTAAGGCAACGAGAACAGGAATTAGCTGAGAGGGAAATCGATCTCTTGGAACGGGAGTTAATCGTTATGATTATCCAACAAACTACCCCGACTCCCAACAAGAGGCGGGGTAAATTCAAGAAATCGAAATTGAAACTCAATAAAAAAGAACCTGGGAGCAATATTAGTGCACCGTCTGGTAATTTTTTAAATTAATTAATAATAATTTATTTTGTATATTTAAATATTAATAAATAGGTTTTTTGTTTCAGATTTTCGACATACAATCACCGTGCAACATACGGCTCTAGATAGAGGGAAAAATAGAAATCCTTCCAGGCCGAATAGTCCGCCTGGTTCGCCGAGTATTCCTCGACTCCGAGCAATAGCATGTAAGTTACAAAAATACTATTCTCCTTATCACCAACAAGAAAAAACCAATGGCTACGTTTACAAGTTTCAATTATTATTTTAAGCGTTTGTTAAAATCATTCATTATTCTAACACAAAAAGTCTTGACTTTTAAGAAATTTAAACGACTTCTTCTAAATATTGCAACCAAATACAATTTTTTTGGCGTAAAATGCAAATTATTTTGATTTCCATAATGTAGGAAATAACAATAGTCAAATCTTTTAAAATAATTAATTTTTTAAAAATAATTAAACTACATTAAGCCATAGGTCGGAAAAATCAGGGAATTTTATTAAAAGAATTGGAAAAATATTAAATTATTAGATTTCATAAGATAATTTTGATTTTTGTGTTTCTTTTTGGTTTACATTAAAAACTTTGAAATTATTACGAATTACAATACAAAAACTTCTATTATTCTTATTTCTGACAATAATTTATTTTAAATAACTTAATTTTTGAAGAACTATAATAAAATTATTAATTATCAATAATTTAATGAATAATTTTACTTAAATATATTTAAAAAGTAATTGAATTTTAAAAAGAGTTGCGTTTAAAATTTTCATAAATAAGTAAATATCAAAAGGTTTCAATTTGAAATTTTAGAGAAATTGAATTTTGAATGAATTTAATTAAAATTCTAAAAAAATTAGTTTTAATTGAAAAATTTTAATAATTAAATTTTTTTAAAAAAATTAGTTGAGTTTTTAAAATTCTATTTAATTATTTTAAAAGTTTCAACGCAATTCTGCGAAAGAATTCAATTATCTTGATAAATAAATAAACTCTTCCTAGAAATTTAATTGTTTTAAGAAATTTTAATAAAATTCTTTTCAAATATTAATTATTTTCATAAATAACAATATTCATAATAAGAATTAAATTTCTTTCTAAACTATTAAAATTCTTCGCAAGAATTCAATTATTTTCACAAATAATAAAATTTTTCGCTGCAATTCAATTATTTAAAAAATTTAATAAAGTACTTCGAAAGAGTTAAATTATTTTGATAATTAATATAATTATTCCTAGAAATTCAATTATTTTCAGGAATTTAAAAAAAATTCTTTGCAAAATTCAATTATTTTCAGGAATTTTAATAAAATTCTTTGCAAAATTCAATAATTTCAATTATTTTCAAAAATTTTTCGCAATTCAATGATTTTCAATATCTACTATATTCATAAAATTTACCTAAAGAATTCAATATTTAAAAAAAATTTGATAAAATTCTACGAAAACATTTAATCATATTTAAAAATATTAAGAATTACACAGGAATTCAATTATTTAAAATAGAATTTTTCCAAAGAAATCAATTATTTAAAAAGTTTTTATCAAATTCTTCGCAAGAATTCAATTACTTTCATAAATAATAAAATTCTTCTGATGGATTAAATTGTTTTCATAAACAATAAAATTGTTTTTAAAGAATTCAATTATTTTTAATACAATTTTAAATAAATACTTTGAAAAATGCAATTATACATAAAAATTTTATTGAAATTCGTTGGAAAGAATTTAATTTTAAGAATCGTTCGATAAATTATTTATTTTTGTATATAAATAATTCAATTCTCGTAGAATCGTCTAATAAAAATTGGTTTAATAATGAATTTCAGTTAAAGTTTTAGATAATAATTGAATATTAGAAGAATATTTTTGCATGAATTTTTGGAAATAATTGAAATTTTGAAAAAGTTTTAAATTCAAATCTTTGAAAATCTGAATTTTTCAAACTTTTAATTAACAATTCTGTGGAACTAATTGATTTGAAAAATTTTAATTCTAGTGAATGTTCTGGGAAATATAAAATGAAATTTTTGTGATGACACTAAATAAAATAACGCCTTTTAAAAATTTTTTTTTTAAATCTTTAATCGTCTAAAGCGACTTTTTTGCGCCTTAAAATCGATCCGAGGCCTTTACTACTCGGTCTTTAAAGTTAATAATTATAATCTATTGCAATAATAATAATAATTGAATATTGCATTTGCAAATAATTTGTACATTGACTTGTAGACGTAGTCAGTGTTTAATGTAGACAGCCATAAGTAGAAAAAAATGTAGCAAAATTAATTAGAACTTTAAAAAAAATATGTTTTATTTTCTTTATTATAAATTTAAGTTTGAAATTAATTGCTTTAAGTTTAAATTACAATTAACAAAATTATATAATTATAATCGAGACATTTTTTTCCTCCTCAAATGGTAAAATGTTTTAATTATTTTTTTTTAATTTGAGGAATAAAAAATAATTGTTCTTTGATATTAGATTTAAAAATATTATTAATTGTAATTTATTGTTTAATTTATAAATGTATAATTAAGCAGAATGAAATTTAGAAATTTCAAATAAAAAATCTATTCGTGGATTAAAGTTTCTCAAAATTCCTCGCTACATATTTGATGACCTATGGCTGTCTATTCAACACTCACTGAGCATTATGGAATTGTTACTTTTGACACCTTGAAAGACGTGTTGTTCGTGCTTAGTAGATTCGTTTGAATTTGAAAATGTCTATCTACACTCTACTAGCATGGTGTGAAAAGTCCAATGTTACCTTTTTTTTTCTCTTCATCTCAACAAATTTTGTTTTTATTATTTTGTTGCTTTCACTAAATTTTTTGTTGAATTCATATATTTTTCTGAAAGTTGTATATTTTTAAACAAAATATATTTAGTTATTGTTTTATTTTTATTTATTTACTTTATTATTTTTTTTTTTTTGCTGAAAATCATTGTCGACAACGAGCTAAAATGATGTGCAACTCAAGACGACAGTGTGTGCAGCAAAAGTAGGTAGTAAAAGTACAGTAGCAAGTAGTGTTTTGGAATTTTTTTTTTGTTGTTTCCCCTATAGTACCAGCCGATGGAGTTAAGGGTAAGACCTGGGGACCATCAACACTTCATCAACGTGAACGCGGTGCAATAATCTCCCAGCCACCAAATCCCGCATCACCAGGTGGGAAAAGATGGTCGCGCTCCGCACCAGATCTTGAAAAGACTCCACTACGTACTGCGTTGCTTGCAAACGCGCATCGCTCGCCACTTCTTCAGGAAATAGGTAACCCCATCTCAAAAAAATTGTATTCCTCCGCAAATAATTTAATTGACGATCAAGCGACAGCTTGTGACATTCCACAACAACAATATCAACAATATTCCGAATTTGGAATCGAGTCAAATAATGACGATATTGAAGAAACAACAACGACAACAATAGATTTTGATTTATCGAATTCACGTGAATGCGAGAATAAAGAATTTAATCGCTCAACGAGACATTCCTCAGGTATAATAAAAAATTCACGCGATGATTCGACAAAATTTGTACATAGCGTTGCATCGACTCTCGTTGGCACTGCGAAACGAGTGAAAAAACGTGATCGAAGTAAATCAAAGGAATCAAAGAGACGTGATAGTTCTGAATCGCGACTCAGTTCGCTCGCTGAATTTTTCCGTTCGCCATCAGGTTCACGAAAGGGTTCATTGAATTCACATAGTGTCGAGAGAAAGAGTTCGATAACTGTTCGTGTTAATGATGTTGACGGTTTGGAATCGAGTCCGGAAAATTCAATTGGAATGAAACGTTGTCATAAATCACGTCTTTCGAAAAGTCCCCTGAGAATGTTCAGTAAAATGAGAGCGTGGGGTAGTAAGGATACATTAGACGATAAAGTTTCCGCAAAAGTTGAATACAGCGTTCTCGAGGACAGTAATAGTAGTAGTACTTTTTCAAGAAATGAAAATTTCGATATTGACATTTCTTCTTCGTCAACGCCACGTTTCCTGGCTGCGAATTCGCGGGAAGGCGTTGATTTTGAATGTCTTGAGGCCGCGCTCTGTAATCTCGATGACGATCATTCAAACGATAGTTTCAAATCGAAAAATTCTCTCACATTTTGTTTTGATAAGAAATTAAATACCGATCAACGTACATTACATCATTCGAGTACGTGGTCGAATTATGAGGAATTTCAAATTAGTCACAATTCTGAAAGTAAAGCGCTATTGAGTCCAAAATTTAAAAGCACGGATAATTTAACTGATTATGAGAGGATCGCGAGGCCTGAGAATAATCAGGAGTTTGAACGGCGGCAAAAGTCAGAGCCGACAAATTTTAATTGCGAAATAATTAGTGATTCGTTAAATTTTCCACGTCGTAGTTCCGAGGGTAGTAATTCGACTTCTCCACATTTTCAAAATACACAGAGATTCTTTCGTACGAACAAGAAATAAAAAGTGTTTGTGTGCGTGTGTGAAAGAGAGAGAGAGAGAGAGGAATCGCGTATATTTGATTAAAAAAAATATCTTGAAAAATATCTTGAAAAAGATCTTGAAGAGTATCTTGAAAATGATCTTAAAAAGGATCTTAAAAAACATTTTGAAGAAACTTTTGAATAAGATCTTGAAAAATATTTTGAAAAATATCTCGAAAAATATCTAGAAAAATAATTGCACGATGAAATGTTTTTTTTTTATTTTGAGAGTTTGATAGTTTGTAACGAATGAACGTTTGTTCATAGCAGGCCTTTCCGAGGAAAACATCCACTCCACTCGTAAGTGATTTCGATGGAGATTAGTATACGTAAATAAAGAGTAATGTTTATTGTAGACATTTTTTTTCTCATTTTTTTTTAATTAGATCAAATTTTGATCTCGATCAATCATTACATTTACAAGTCTCACAACTGGCTTTATTTTTTGTCCGCAGACAGAATTTTCAAATAAGGGACGAGAGATCAGTAAAAATTTTTGAATGGAAAATTTAGGATCAGAGTTATAAATTTTCTTTATATTTTTTTATTATTATTTTTATCCTTTTTTATTATTTTTTAAAAATTATTTTTCAAAAATAAATTACAAGAAAAAAATATTATGAAATATTTTTTATTTTTTTATTATTAAATGTTTATTATAAAATATTTTTATTACAAACGATTATTGAAAAAATGTTTAAATTGGTCAATTACTCTTTTTTTTTTTGAATTTATGACTTTTTAGATTGTCAGTCTCAAGATAAATATTTTATTTTTAATTATTTATCTAATTTGGAAACATTATTTGAAAAATTTTGTTTATTTAACCATTTTTGTGTTCAATATTAAAGAATTTGATTTTCAATACCTGTTTGATATTAAATTGTTTTGATGAATTAAAAATTTTCTTGTTAAAAGAAAAATAAAATTTTATGAACATTATATTTCGGTTTGAAGAAACAATTTTTTGAGTATTTTTAAATTTTCTTGTGAAAATGAAATGGAAATTTTATGAAAATTACATTTCGGTTCGAAGACGCAATTTTTTTTATAAATTTTAAATTTTCTTGTGAAAATAAAATTAAAATTCTATTATATAAAAATTTTTCTTTCTTTCTCTTTGAATCGAAATATAATTTTCATGAAATTTCGATTTCACTTTCATGAGAAAATAAAAAATTTACCAAAAGAAATCGAATTTTCGAATCGTAATATAATTTTTCATAAAATTTTTATTTTATTTTACACAAGAAAATTTAAAATTTATAAAAAAATTGACTTTTCGAATCGAAATATAATTTTTACGAGAAAATTTTAAATTCATAAAAAAATTATCTCTTTGATCCGAAATATAATGTTCATAAAATTTTTTATTAAAATAAAATTAAAATTTTGTTTTGTGATAATTACATTTTCATTTAAAGAAAAAATATTTTTCATAAATTTTAAATTTTCTTGTAAAAAAAAAAATGCAAATTTTATGAAAATTATATTTTGATTCAAAGAAACAATTTTTTTTAATGAGTTTTAAATTCTCTTGGGAAAATAAAATAATTTTATGAAAATTATATTTCGATTCGGAGAGATAATTTTATTTATGAATTTTAAATTTTCTCTTGAAAATAAGAAGAAAATTTTTAGAAAATTATATTTCGATTACTTAGAAACAATTTTGTTTATGAATTTCAAATCTTGTTAAAATATAAATTGAAATTTTACGAAAATTATATTTCGAGACAAAGAAACAATTTTTTTGTTGTGAATTTTAAATTTTCTTGTGAAAACTTTATAAAAATTATATGAATTTCGATTCGAGGAGAAAACGAATTTTTAAATGCGACAGAATTGTTCGAAACGTTATTGTTTGATTGAATTTTATTTTATTTTTTTTAGCTTTTATATTTTTTTTAATCTTTAGAGAAAATATATTTTCAATTTGAAATGTAAATTAAATGAATTATTTATATTTGTAAAAATTTTTTTAATCATAAAATTAGATTAATAAATTCTTTTTATGAAATAAATTTCAAAACTTTTTATTTATAAATACTATTTAGAAAAAAAATTTTATTTTAAAAGTTAAAACTCGTATATTTTGTAGAATAAAAAACTATTTCTGCAATTAAAATACTAAATTCAAAGCTTTAATTCTAGTAAAGTTGATTAAAATCAAACGAATTATGAATTCTCATTCTATAAAATATTTTCTTTCTTAATTTTTTTATTATTTTTATTATTTTTATTTATTTTTATTTATTTTTTAAAATTTGTTCTTTTATTTTTTCTTTGTTTCATTTTTTTTAGTTTTATTTTTTAAAATACATTTGCTGATATTTAATATTTTGTATATTTCTTAAGGACTAAGTTAAAATTATATTTTGCGCATAATTTATTTGTAAATAGATAGTAAGTAGACTAATGAATTTTTAATTATAAAAATCGATGTGATTGCTGATTTCCAGTTATTTCCTTCAAGGAAAATAAAAATTAAGATAATTTGTTTCTTTAGTGAGAGCAAAAAAAAACTTAGATTCTAATTTATTAAATTACCAGCTGTGAGACTTGTGATTATTAATTTCGCTTTTTCAGTGATAAAATTCTTTTTTTCCTTTTTTTTGACTTTGATAGAATTTACAGGATAGATTTTGACAATATCAGTTCTTACTGTGTGATTAGTATTAATGCATGCCTGTATTGTATATTCTCGATATGTGTTTCATTTTTCCCCTTTTTTATATAAATATTTAGACAGCACCGACATTTGAAAAATGCACCTAATTTATTTCAAAGAAAAAAAAATTGTCGCTATAAAAGATTTTCCATTTTCTTTTATGCAAAATTTACAACATTTTTTCACTCTCGTTTTTTCTCAACCGAATGAAAGTGAATTAAAAAAAACAAAAAAAAAAGACAGTAAAATTGCGTAATGAATAATTTGTTTTGGGTACATTATGTACTGGAAATAATAATAAAATTCGATAAGGGACCAAAACAAGCTGCCATATAGGTCAATATTTTTTAATTTAAAAAGAAGAAAAAATTGGTGCAGTGATTAACGGAATGATAAAAGTTGAAAAAATGAAAGAAAAAAAGAAAAGTAATTTTAAAAATTAATTTAAGACTCTTTTAAAACTGTTAAAAATTATTTTTTAACTATTCTAATGGAGAAACTGAGAAGCTCCCAAAGTTTGACTGAACAAGTAGCAAACAAACAAAAACAAAAAAAAAAAGACAAAAATGCAAGCTCAATTTTCCTGGTGTTGGTTCTTTTCCATAATTACGTAAAGGATACATAACACTCTAACAGAGCTAACAGTCCGCTAATAAATCTGATAAAAATATCAAAAACGCTTTAAATCCATTGTATTTAAAATCCTGGAGCGATATTTCCACTAAGAAATAATTTTTTCAGATGTTAACGATGACAAAATTTGTTTTTAATCAGGTTATTAATTGCAGAAGCTTTCGATGTCAAAATACTCTAATTTTTACACTCGATTTCTTTACAGTTCAACTTTTTTTTTAATTCTTGAATTTATTTTCGTTTTTTTGAAATTCTAATTACTGATTTTATTTTCAATTTTAATTCTTGAATTTATTTTCATTTTTTTTATTTTAATTGATGAATTTATTTTTATTTTTGTAATTTTAATTCCTGAATTTATTTTCCATTTTTAATTTTAATTCTTGAATTTATTTTAATTTTCTTTATTTTAATTGATAAATTTATTTTAATTTTTAATTATTGAATTTTAATTCTTGAATATATTTCCCTTTTTCAATTTTAATTCTTGAATTAATTTTAATTTTTTGAATTTTAATTCTTCGATTTTATTTCCACTTTTTTAAATTTTAATTATCAAATTCATATTTTCCTTCTTTTTAATATTTAATTTTTTTCTAAATTTCATTTTTCACAAAATAGATTTTAATTAATTGTGTTTTATGAAATATTTTTGTTTCTATGTAAATTGTAATTTTCAATTGAGAGTAAAATGTGCAGAAAATAAATTTTGACGATGAAAGATTCTGACGAAAATGACCTTATTGAAAATAATTACCAAACAATTGGAAATATGTTTCAAATTTAATTATTTAATCTAAATAATTATAATTATTTAAATTATTAGAATTTATTGAATTGAATACGTTCAAATTTTCAAAATTAATTTTTTTAACCGATTTTCTTCAATGTGGTCTTGAAATTTGAATAAATTATGATATTATTATATAAATAATTTAATATTTCGATAATATTAAATAGTCGACCAATTTTTCTTACTACATTTAGATTTAGATTATTGTGGTTTTATTTTTTGTTGAAGAAAAAGAGAAAATGTAACTGGAAATTTAGAGCGAAATTTTTCTACTTATTATTATTTGTAGTGATTCACCTTTTAAATTATTGAAGAAAAGAAATTTTTATTTTTACGAATATAGCATATCGAACACAGCACATACCTGTAATTAGAAATAGTTTTTTTTCAATAAAACCTTTTTGAGTTGGACACATTGATTTTGTTTTTTAGATTTCTGTCCTTTTAACGCTCGGCATCAACTACTCAGAATTTTACAAATTTTTAATTATTCTTTTTTTTGTTGTTAATTTTAATGATCTTTTTACTAAAATTTATTTTTGACAAATTTTCTGAATTTTTCGGATTAGAAGCAAAAAAAAAAAAATGTAATTTAACAAAAAAAACGTGAAATTATTTGTCAATAATAATGAATAAATAATTTGACAAAAATGAAATAATTTAAAAAAAACCGAAATATCGAGAGAAAATTATTTTCTGAAATATTTTTACCGGAAAAGAAGCGTATTTCGAAGAAGAAAATAATACGACTAATTTTAGTGACTAAAATTATAATAAGTTGATTAATTTAATTTATTAAATTGCAATTTATTTTTGGGGTACGTCGACTGTCGAGCGTAAAAAAATTACCTTGCATGCGATAGAATAGATAAATTTCCAATAGTTGTTGGTTTTCCCTATGGTTTTGGACACTTCCTCTGTAATTCCTTTTTTTCCCCAAAATTCTCTCTTCTGTGATTTCTTCTTTTCTGTTATTTAATTTTTTTTCCTGTTTATTTTAGTTTCAAATTTTTTTTTTAGCTATTTTATTATTTAATTTAGAGGAATGCTTGTGTATAATTAATGAACTTTGCACTCAATATTGTATTTAAATTATACTTTCTTTTCTTATTCTAGGTGCTTCTGTTAGTGTTTGGAAATTTCTATTTGACTCTATATTTTATTTCTGTCGAATGTCACTAACTGTAAAATTATTTAAAAAATTTAGTTGAATATTTTTTTATTTCACATTTTTTCGAAATCTTGTTTCGTATTTCAATGTTCTGTGGATTTTTTAACTACTATCAAAAATGTCGGTGAAATTATTTAATTATTTAGTGAATGACACTCGATATTAAAGACGACAATAAAATAAATAAATTAAATGAAACGTTATTTAAATTATGTCTGAAAATATATTTTAATAACGTTTTAATCTGTATTTATTGTCGTCTTAATAAAAAAATAACAGAGGTGTCAATCGAATTATTTAATTCGAAAAAAATTATTAAATAATGACTGATTAAAAGTGACTAATTATTGTCGATACTAAACTTTGTGTCGTTTTTTAACTCACTATATTTCAGAGTTAACAAAAATTGTTTTTCTAGAGTAATCGATTTTTATGGTTTGTTATTGAGTATTTTGCATGAACTTTTTTTTAGCATAGATTAATATCCTTTTTGCGGATATTTATTCTTTTGTAAAGGCAACTTTTTTTATATACTAATATGAAAATTGCAATTGACCCTTCTCACATTAATTTTCTTTCTTGTCTATTTATGAGTTTCCCTTTAAAAAAATATGTCACGTTATTCACTTCCTTTGCATCTGATAATATACATTTATAATCAAGAATATAATTTTTATTTTGAGAAAAAAAAATCAAGAATATAGTCAATTTGCTAGATCGAAAAAACAATTTCCCTTCCGATGGACAGGTAAGATGAATTTTTCAATAAATAAATTTCATTGTTATCGATAAAATTTTTCATTCTAGATAATAAAAGAAAATAATAATAGAAATTGTGGCACTAGTTTTTGTTTTAAATTTTGCATGCAACGAATTTTATTAATTTTTATTATACATAATAATAATAAACGATTGTAATTTTTATAAAACATCGCTTTTAAGTAGATATAGATTTTTTTTCTTGATCATATTTTTTTTTCTAGTTGAGAAATTGTTTGTTACTTTTATTATTATTGATAATTCATGAATCATTGCTTTTTGCTCGTTGAAAAAGAGTATAAACCATTTTTTGATATTTTTGCTTTCTGTTCAAAATGCAAATACTTATTGTTTTTGTTTTTAGATTATTCAGGAGTGCAACCGGATTTATCGGGTGAATGGATGTCAACGGATTATCCAGTGAAGCCGGGTTTAACGGGACCTTATATTATGCCAATGCCAATACCATTGCCCACATTGTATAATGGTGACAATAAGAGGCCAAAATTGAATATTATTGAATTGGCACTTTATAATGTGGCAGCATTACTTGGATGGACAGCGGCTGGCTATGATATTCGAATGTCAAATATTCCTCCGATTCATCCACGTTTACAGCAAAATTTAAATGACGAGGAGGAATCGTCGAGATGGTGGTTTCCTGCCGAGAGTGGTTCTAATCGAAATTCTGGTTATTTGGGTCCTGAGTATGAATTTAGTTCGACTAGTGGTTATCCTCATAATACTTATCATGGGCCTGCACGACATTACAGGTATTTTTCTTCATTTCATTTTCCTCTTTACATTTTTTTTTATTTTTTTATTTTTAGATTAATTTTTAGATTTTTATTAAAAATTTGACAAAATACAATTTAAGAAATATTAAATTAAATATTAACAAAAATAAAATAAAAAAATTATTATGAGATTCTTATTCTTTTTTTAACATTTTGGAAAGAATTTTTTTTTTTGAAAAAACTTTTTAAAAGAAATTTTTTGAAAATCTTTTTGGACATTTTCAGACCGTATTTGAGTAACATGGGAGGAATAGCGCCAGGATTGTCGCCGGCAATGTTGTCTGATAAGCCATTAAGATTTACGGATTCTCCTCAACACTATACGAATAGCACAGGTTCGAATGCACCAACACCAAGTCCGAGGAGAAAAAGTTCTAGTACAAGTAATGAGGAGACGTATTCTTCGGAAGTTGCGAGGATTGAGCGAACACCAACGGCTTATATGGGAGGAAATCTTTTGCCAGATTATGGACAGCAAATGTATCCTCTTGTCGCACAGGACTACTATCGTTCGTCGGACACTGGATATTATCCTCCTTCGGAATATCAGTAAGTTTCATTTTTCTTTTGGGTTGCCACAGATCAGAAAAATCGGGGATAATAAAATTCATCAGGGAAATTCATAAAAAGTACTGAAAAAAATATCAAATTTTTAGAATTACTACAAAAATTTTTCTAGAATTTTTATAGTAATTCTAAAAAAGTTTCGAAAAAAAGTTTTGAAATTTTTCGAAAGAATTTAATTATTTTCAAAAGTTTTCATAACATTCCTAATGAGAATTCTGCTATTTTTAGTATAATTTTATTTTAATTCCTCGAAAGAATTTAATTATTTTCAAAAATTTTATTTTAACTCTTTACAGACATTCAATTATTTTCAATACAATTTTAATAAAATTTGTCTAAAGAATTCAATTATTTTCCTAAATAATAAAATTTCTCGAAATAATTAAATTATTTTCAAAAATTTTAATAAAATTCTTCGCCGCAATTCAATTTTTTTTCGAAAATTCAATTAAATTCTATCTAAGAATTGAATTAGTTAATTTATAAATAATAAAATTTCTTAAAAGAAATTCCATTATTTTGAAAAATTTTAGTGATATTCTTTGCAAAAATCGATTATTTTCACAAATATAATTAAATTCTTTGCAGAAATTCAATATATTAAATTATTTTGAGAATATAATTTCAATTAAACTTCTCAGAAGAATTCAATTTTTTTCAAAAATCTTAATAAAATTTTTTGAAACAATTCAATTATTTTCAATATTAAATTTCTCGAAAGAATTCAATTATTTTGAATTACAATTTTTTAAAATTATTATTTCAAATTTTATATAAATTCTTCGCAAGAATTTCAATTATTTTCATTATTTTCATTAATATAATAAAATTCTTCGTAGTAATTCAATTGTTTTGGAATATTTCAATTAAATTCTATTTTCCATGTAAGAATTCATTTATTTTTATAAATTAATAATAAAATTCACGAAAAAATGCCATTATTTTCAAAAATTTTAATGATATTTTTTGCTAGAATTCAATTATTTTCATAAATAATAAAATTCTTCGCAGTAATTCAATTTTTTTTCGAAAATTTCAATTAAATTCTAAACAAGAATTCAATTATTTTATTAAATAATAAAAATTCTCGAATAAATTCCATTATTTTCTAACAATTATAATGACATTGTTGGCAAAAATTTAATTATTTCCATAAATAATAAAATTCTTGGCAGAAATTTAATTATTTTTAAAAAATTGTGATGCAATTGTTTTGAATACAATTTTAATTAAATTCCTTGAAAGAAACTCATTTTTTTTAGAAACAATGAAATTATTTTCAACGATCTTAATAAAATTTTTTGTAACTATTATATTATTTTCAAAAATTTAAATTAAATTTATATTATAGAATTCAATTGTTTTTAAAAATTGTATTAAAATTCTTGTAAAATTTCTTGTAATTCAATTATTTTCAAGAATTTTAATAAAATTTTCTTTAAGAATAAAATTATTTTGGATTCCAAATTATAAAAATTATAACATTTTTATTTTTCATTAAAAAAATTAGATTTCTGGGTAGTTTTAATTAAATTATTTACAGATACTTAAATTAAAAGAAAAGGTTCATTAAGGATATGAAATTTTTTGAAATTGAACTGAAAATAATTAAATTTGTTAAAGAATTTCAATAGAGATTTTAGAAAAATCGAATTTTCAAAGAATTTAAATTTTATAATTGGTGAATAATTGAATTTTTCATTCAAAATGTATTTATATTCATTAGCGTTTCAAAAAACATTAAATACTCCAAATTGAATCTAAAATAATGACAACTAAAATTTTTATTAATTAGTTGATTTAACGATAAATGTGATTTGTTTCAAAAGCTTAAATTTTGGACAATTTTATTTAATTGTTTTAAAATATTTCCGTTCTATTTTTTTTTAAATTAATTGAATTTTCATAAACATGAAATTGAAAAATTGTTAAATAATTGAAATTTTCTGGAAGTTTTTAAAAAATAATTTACTTTTGTCGGAGAATTTAAAAAAATTTTATTGGAATTTTTAAAAGTAATTTAGAATATGTAGTTCTTTGCCGTTACTAATTTTATTTTAAAAATAAAGTTTTAATTCCAGTTTTCATTTCTAAAAATTATCTTTTTTCATAAAAAAAGTAATAAGCCCGTTTATATACTAAATAAATAAATCAATTTTTTGTGACAACCCTGATTCTATTTTATTATTATTTTTTTTAAGTGAAATATCAGGGAAAAAATCGAAATTCTATTTGAATATCAGTGGAAAACCAAATAAATTTTTTTTGTCAACTCTGACTCTATTTTAATATTTATTATTTTTTTTTTTAAAGTGTAAATTCGAAATGTATAAATATATAAAAAATTCTTTTCAGCGACAGAATGCTGGAGTGTTCGGACTTCCCGCACGCCTATGACAATCCCAGCAGCATAAGTAGTTCGGCAAGACCAAGTCCTCGATTGCCATCCTACACTCATCATCGTACCTCGTCAAATGTCTCGAATGCGAGTACATCCAGCCAAAGTAATGTAAATCCAACATTTCGTCTTGAGGACGAATCAGATTATTCTCTATATTCACCGAATCATTACTATCGACACAGTAATGTTTCGAGTATTACAAATTATAATAGTCCAAATCTATTGAATCACGATTATGGCTTTCAATATTTATCGAGGCAAAATTCCCATGAATCGAGCACGAATTCAGGTGAACGACCGGCTAATTTGGAAGTTGTCTCAAGATTAAGATCGAGTTTAAAACGATCCAATTATTCATATAATTCGCCAAATAAGACTGCAAGTAAAAATAATTCCGGCTCGGGAACACCGACAAATCCAACGCCACCAGATTCATTGACATCAGAGGATTCAAGTTATGTGTCGGCAAAAGATAGTCAAATATCAATAGGAGGACGAGTACGCTTTTCGCCCGTCAAATTCGATAGAGATAGAGATAGTATTTCACGTGAACATCGAGAAACAATATTAGATATTCCTGTTCATGGACAAAGTCAGGATATAACAATTCCATTGCAAGCGAATCGTAGAATAAGTCGTAATCGAAAACCTAGTATTTCTGAATTGGAGAGGGAATTCTTGTCATAGCACTGGCTTATCTAAAGGTATGAAATGCATTTTTACCAATTTTATTTTCATCACATTTTATTTACTGGAATTTCAGTAATTTTAGAGAATAGAGAAAAGAAACCTGAAATATTATAGTGATTTTACCTATGCGCCTTCAAATTTTTCAATATCTCTTTTAATGAAATTAGAAATCTAATATTGCTGAAATTCCCCTTTTTGCGCTCAAATCCGAGAGAATTGAAAGCCAAATTCACTGCCATTCGTAAAAATTTCTTCTTATATTTCTTGCTTTCTTTTCTGCAAGTATTTCTCAAAAATAAATGAACATTATCTACTTCTGGCAATCAATACAAAATGAGCTTAAAATTTGAAAAAATAGTTTAAACATTTGAAAAATGTTTAATATTGAAAATTGTTTAAATTTGAAATTTATTTAAAACACACGATTATTATTTTATTTCGTAACATTCCAAAAATAAGGTCAAGAAAGAAAAAATTCCGAACTAGTGCATTTCTCGTGCCATGACTTCATTTTTCTTTTACTTCTCATATTTTTCAACAACGAAACGACATTCCCGTAGATTCCGTGAAGAAAAACTTTAATCATTCTTCTTCTTCTTCTTCTTTTTTTTCTGAAAGAGAATGATAGCTGTGTTTTTAAAGTACTTATCGTTGGTTTCTAGACTTAATGGAAATTCTTTCTTTTTTTCATCTTCAAATCGAACTGAAAATAAGTCTCGATTTTGGACTGACTTTTCAATATTATAATAATAATAAAATATTGAGACAGAAACGTTGTTAAATTGCAAATTTCACGTTTTGTTTCTTCTGCAAAACTGATGTTGTACAGTAGATTGAATTGAATTCTAGGAGACACTTAAAAATCAATTTTAGATGTTCTCGATTCCACACGTCTTTTTTTTTTTGGTTTGTATCGATTTAGATTGTTATCGACTGAAATCGAGTATTTTTATTTTGCAAAAAGGAAATTTCTTTTCGTGATTAGGTTTTTTAGAAATTTTTTCCGTAAAATTTGCTAAGAAAATTTCCATACTTAGGAAATGGGGAATTTTAAAAGTTGAATTAAAATAAATTACCTAATTAAATTAAAAAATCAGTTAAACTGAATTTAAATCAAATTAGAATTATTAGAAATAGGTTTTTTAAAAATCTATCTTTAAACAGTTAAAAGGCCTCGAATAGAACGATTTTTTCCGACTATTTTTAAAACAGTCGACTTTTTTCGACTTATTTTCAAAAAATGCGACTTTTTCGACTACCTTTCAAATATTGCAGCAAAATACAATTTTTCTTTTTATAAAAAATGTATCTAATTTCAATTTTGTAAAAAATAAATTTAGTGTTAAAAATAACTATATTTAAATACTTCAAAAAATTATTTTTAAAAAATTTTTTTTGTGATAAGCAAATTTTTGAAATGAAACAATTAAAATGTTTATAAAAAATTCAAATTTTTAAAAAATTTTATAGAAAATAATTGATTTTTTTAAAAGTATTTTATGAAAATTTGTTAATAATCAAGTTTTGGGGAAATTGAATTGTAAAATTTGGAATAAATTCAATTCTCTGAGAAATTTTAATGAAAAGTCTTCAAATGAAAATTTCATGAAAATAAAAATCAATGGAAATGGAAATTTTTACATTTCAATTATTTTTAATTAAAATTCTTTATTAAATCTATTAGTTTTTCAAATCTTCCAAAAAAAACTGCAAAAAAATAATTAGATTACGATTTTTTTAAAAATCTAGTTTTTTAGAATCACTGTTAAAATTTGAAAGGAAAAAATTAATTATCAAACTTTTTAATAAAAATTCCTCATAAAATTGATTAGCTTTTAATCTTTTCTAAAAATTCTTTTGACAAACTCAATTATTAAATTTTTTAAATTTATGAACATCTTATCTCTAACAACTCATTACAATTATTTTTAGAAAAGTCTGATTTCTTAGAATTATTATGAAAATTAAAAATATTTAAAAAAAACAAACAAATTATTTGTAAAATTATAATTTTCTTAAAATTCAATTATCTTCTTATAAAATTTTAAAACATCAATTTCTTTTGACTTTTTACTAAAGTTTCTCAAGAATCATGTATTTTTATATTTATCATTAAAATTCTTCCAAAAGTTGATTATTTTATTTATATTTTCTCAAAATTCTTTTCAAATATTCAATTATTTAAAAAAAAAAATGTACTAAATTTCAATTATTTGGAAATTTTTTAATCATATTGAAAAATAACTTATTTTTAAAAAATAACCATGAAGAGTTTTAGTTACAGAATTATTTTTTAATTTAAATACCTAGTAAAATAATATAAATATTATAAATAAATAATAATTGAACAATTTCTGAAAAATATTAAAAATAATTGATTTAGAGAAGAATTTTAGTTAATAATTCTAGAAAATAATTGAATTGAAGGATTCCACTTGTAATTTTAAGAAATAATTCAGGAGGTTTGGAACTGAAATTAAAAAATTTTTAATTGTCGTAGAAAAAAAAGAAGTATTTAAATATTTAGCAAAATTATTGAAGTTTTGAATAATTAAATGTGGAAATTTTCTCATCCACCTTAAAGTCGATCCGAGGCCTGATTTATCAATTTTTTTTTTTTTTTTGTTATTTATTAATTTCTTTCAACTTTTGAAAAATATTTTCATAAACTTTTTGTAATTATAATTAATAATATTTATAATTATTCAACAAAACAAGAACTTTGTTCATAATTTTATTCACCAAAAAAAATTCTTTTTGGAAAATAAAAAATACTTTGTCAGAGAATATTGAAAGTCGACAACATCTATCTCGCCGAGCAGCTTTTTTCGAATGAGATGCGTACCTTTACATAAAATATAATAACAAGTTTTTAGAGAATAGATTTTAATGTTGTATATATGCGTATAAAGACAAACCACTGTGTTTCGAAATTAGTATCTAAGACTCTTTACATTCCCAGTGAATTAATTGATTTTTCAATAATTAATTATGTTCCAAAAGCGTTGAAAAAAAAAATTCTCATTTCACGCCTTTAGGAGAATTTCCTGATGAATTTCGAAATTTTCTCCGCATTAGTAAAAAAAAAAACAATACCGAGAGGGTAAATCAAACTATACCGAAATCAAAAATTTTCGTTTTCCATTTTTTTATAATTATTTATATTATAAAACGAAAAAAAAATGAAGGAAAATTTTCAAGTTTGCCATATATAATTTTCGATTTGCATTTTTTTTTTCTTCTAAATAATCATCAGTATTGTAAAGTGGACCATAATTGTACATATTAGTCGAAATGGTCTTCAATTTGGCGTATATATAATAGAATATTATATATGAATTTCAACTTTTGTTCCTCAACGTCACTTAAAATGTACTTACTCATTCTTTATAATATAAGTACTTATATTTTTGTTTTTCTTTTATTTTCTTATTTATATTGTATTTATTTGTCGTCTTAGAGGCCCCAAGTTTTTTTATAAACAATTGTAAAAGTTTCATCGATTCATTCCTGCGATTGTTCAATAATATTATAGATTTTTTGTTTTGTTTGCCGAATACTCTTCGATAAAGAGTGATTTATATTTCATAGTGCGTGTAAAAATCAACAGAATAATAATTATGGAAATGTAAACCCTAATTGCTAATTTTTGTTATTGTTAAAACAATTTGTGTAAACAAATTGTTTTAACAAATCGATCGTTTTTCAGTTTACGATTCTTTTCAAGAAAAGCCTCATGGAAATTCTGCGAAAAATAATTTTTTTTAGTTTTAAATTTCTTAAAAAAAAAAATTTGGTATAGAAAATACAAAAAGAGGCAAAAGAGATTTAATATTTGTATTTTTTGATTGGGTTTACCTTTCTGAACCAGACAAAGATATTCTGTGGTGCTAGTATCACGTACTTAAGTCTAGGTGACGAGAAAAAAAAAATTCAAAATGCTTCCAAGACTATTTGAAGATCGTCTTAAAAGAAAGATAAAAAAAAAATTGTTTAATTATTAGTAGTAACCATTACTAATTGTTAATAGTAATAATTTAATTATTCTGTAAACAATACTCAGCAGTTATGGGCTAAGTACGGAATGTGTAATGGCGCATCAGTGCCGACAGTGCTAGTCTAAGCTATATTTATTTTATAAATATAAAAAAAAGTATATATATATATATATATATTAAAAAAAAACAAAACATAATTTGATTACGTTAACATAGTGCGAGTCTAGTTTTGCAATTGATTTTAACACCTATTTGGACAAATCAATGACAAAATGAACGAATGAATAATATTTAGGGAATAAAAAAAAAGAAAAATGTAATCAACACTATTTGCAAAAAAAAAAAAAAAAAAAAATTTTACTGGATAAAGTGTAACATTGTTTCATATATAGGTATTCGCTTTAACATATCCACATAACAATTTCAGAATAATGAAAGAAAAAAAAACACTTTTTTTTCGAGTATTTATATATTGATGTATTTTTTACGATTTTTGACCAAATGTGAAGATAGGTGTTGAATCTACGAAAAAATTATGTGATTCTCTCAGACATTTATATAATAATATTGAGAGTGTATTTGTAAAAAAAAGGAACGAAAAAGCTTTTAAATTGAGACACCAAACACAAAAGGTGATTGAATTTTTAATACGATTCAATTTTTTCTACACTTTAATTAAACTAAAACTAAATTAATTCAATTAATTAAATTAATTAAATTTTTTCACAATTGATTTATCGTTTTTCTATATTTAATTCTTTTTTGCCTATTTAATAAAGAGGCTAATTTAAAATTTGCAATTAACATTCAATTAATTAAATTAATTAAATTTATTAATTGCGACTATTGCGATTAATATTAAATTAAGCAAACAAAAATTTTTTTGTGATTAAATTTTAAAAATTCAAAAAAAATCTTTTGTGTTGTATAATTTTTTGGATGTGGAATAATGTGATGTATTCGTTTTTTATTATTATTGCATATTAGTCATTATTAGGAATGTAAAATGAAGATAAGGTGAATTTTTGGTTTATTGAAACCCTAGTCATCTAGTATTTTAAGTTTATGATTTTATTAACGTCCTCCAATTTTGATATGAAAATTATTTTCGATCATCAATTATTATTACCAACATTTGTAATATGTGTAATGGTCAAAAATAATTTTTACAGTATTTTAAGATTTTTTTTGTACCTTTTAAGTACCTAATCTAAAAAAATCATTTTGGTTGAAATTGGAAAATATTTATGGAATTTTCTTTGTAACTGTATACAAAGAAAAAAAATGCAATTTTTTTACACCAGTGCAATTAATTTTGTCTCACACGATTTCACATCCAATATTTACGAATTTTCTGCAATTTTTTTTTTAATGTAATCGAAAATTCAAATTAAAAGTGTAATTTGAAGCGTTTAGATTTTTTAAAATTGAGAGAAAACGAGAAAAAATGCGTTTGACATTTAAATGTGAGTCGATTTTTTAAAGTATTTTTATTGAAATTAATTTTTATAATATGTAATTAATTTATATTAATTGTAAATTAAACTTTGAATTCAATACAACATATTGTAATTGAAATGCACTGAAGAAAATTTGTTTTAAAATTCAGTGATTTGAATAAATAATTTAATAATACAATTAATATAAATTAAAACAAACACGCACGGATATTTCGACTTTTTGGACTTTTTTCAACTCATTTTTAAAAAATGCGACTTTTTCTACATATCTACGAAATATTGCAACAAAATTTTACTTTTTTGGTATAAAAAATTCAAATTACTTCGATTTTTATAGTGTCAAAAACATCTGTAGTAAAATATTTCAAATATTTTTGATTAATTTTTCTATAAGATATATTAATTAAATTTTCAAAAAATATAATTTAAAAGTTTTTAAATAATTGGAAATTTGTAAAATTATCTTGAAAATAATTGATTTTTGTTATTATTTACTGTTTAAATTATTAATTTTTAAATTTATTTATTATTTTTTTCATTAAATTGTTCGAAAATCAAGTTTTGGGAATTTTTAATTACAAAATTTGAAAATAATTGAAATCTCAAAAGTTTTAATAAAAAATCCTCAAATGGAAATTTAAAAATAAAAATCAATTAAAATTAAGTTAAAGAATTCAATTATTTTCAATATTATCAATTTCATATTTTCGATAATTCAATTATTTACAAAAAATGATTACATTCTTATTTTTTTTTAAATCTAATTTTTCAGAATCATTATTAAAATTAAAAAAAAATTTTAATTGAAATTCTTCATGAAATTTATTAGTTTTTTAATTCATTTCAAAAATTCAATTATTGTCAAAAAATATCACTAAATTCCAATTATTTAGAAATTTTTCAATTATATATCATTAAAAAATCAATTATCATTAAAAAATTATTCAAAAATATTTTGAAAAAACTAATTTTAAGAATTTTTTAATTATAATTTTTTAAAAATTCAATTATTTTAAATATTTTACATTACATATTTCCGAATTTTTATTAAAAATTTTGAAGAAAATAATCATTTTCTAAATTTTAAATTAAAATTCTTAAAAATATTAATTTATTTTTTAAATTGTCAAAAAATTCTTTTAAGAAATTCTATTATTTGTGAAAAATAACATTATAATTACCTACAAAAAAGAAAATTGAAATTTTTAAAAAATTGTGAATTGGAATTTTTCAAAATTTTAATTGTAATTTCATATTTCTAAAAATTTACTTTTATAACTTTAAAGGCAAATCATGAGTTACAATTATTGTAAAAATTGAACTTTTGTATTTAAATAATTGAATTATCGGAAAACATTCGAAAAATTATTAAAAATAATGGAAATTATTAAGAAATAGTTGAAATTATTAAAAAATAATTGAAATTATTAAAAATAATTGAAATAGAGAAGAAGTTTAGTTAAAAATTCTTTGAAAATAATTGAATTTCGGAAAACTTTCGGAAAATTATTCAAAATAGTTGAAATTATTCAAAATAATTGAAATTATTAAAAATAATGGAATTAGAGAAGAAGTTTAGTTAGAAAATCTTCGAAAACAATTGAATTTCAGAAAAATTACAGTTGTAATTTTTAGAAATCATTAAATTGAAATTAAAGAATTTTAAATCCTGTGAAAATTAAATAATTTTTTTTATTTAACAAAATTATTTTATTTTCAAATAATTGAATTTATAAGTCAGTGAAAGGTAAAAAAATACAAAATAAAATTTTCGTGACAATACTGAATGAAATAAACAATTTTTTCGATTTTTTTTTTGCGCCTTCAAGTCCATCCGAGGTTTGAAATTGTAAATTAAATTTTAATCGAAACACTTTGTTGATTAAAATTCACTGAAAAATTATAATAAATAATTTAATAAATACAATGAATTAAAGTAAAAAAATAAAATAAAATAAACGAAATATTTTGAAAAAAATGACTCGCATTTAAATTGAGGATTTTCGTCGACAGTATTTTGTAAAGTAATAAATGCGATTAAAAAGGAAAAATTTAATCCGCAAGTAAGCATCATCATTAAGAAATGAGAAATATCTTTATAAGATATTGTATAGCCGTGTATTCACAGACAAACAGTCGAATTAATTAAGGAATCAAATTTATAATGACTCATTAGGCTTAAGAATTAATATTAAGCTGCTAAGTGCAATGTGTTCCGTGTATTAAAAAAAAAAAAAAAATGAAATGTGACTGCTTTGGCATGCGCCTTAAAAAAAACATTGTGATGCAGGGCCGACAGCTTACCAAAATATTTAAATTTTAAATTCCCCCAACCGAATTGATTTAAAATAAAAAAAAATTTCCTAAAATAAAATATTTTCCCTTTTTTTGAAAAATAGAAAATAATTTTCCCCCTTAGCACGGGTTGGCCTTGTCAGTGTGTCTGTGAACACGATAAGTACGTGATGAATTTTTATTATAAATGAAAAGAGAAAACATAACAAAAAAATGAAACTAGTGTTTCTATTTTAACGTGCGTAGAATGTTTTTTTTCATTTTCGTCTCAATTTTTCTTGAAAGAAAAAAATTAAAATAATATGATGACAGAAAATAAAACGTTGATTCGCGCTGTCTGACCTGCACGAAAAAATTCATGTATTTTTTCAAGTATTGTACATTAAACTATAAATAATTAATTATACAAAGTATAAATAGTATCGGAAATTATATGAATATATAAATATAAATGAATAAAAATCATTATTGTAACATTGTAGACTACGCGTTATTAATAAACAATTTCGAATACACATAATTAAAAGAAGACCAATTATTGTAAGCAAGAAAAAAATTATTATTATATTATAAATTATAAATATTTAAAATAATATAATTGATCTTTTTTGTGGGGAAAGAGGAAAATTTTTATTTATTTCATAGTTTCGTTAAAAATAATTAGTATTAGTTACCTCGTGAAGAAATAATTTAAACTCAAAAAGAAATTAAAAGAATTTTTAATACGAAAAAATAAACAAAGAAAACATTTGCAAACGTTTGCAAATGTTTTTTTGTTTATTTTTAAATTTTTTCTGCGACTAAATTTACGAAAGAAAAATTTTGGTAATAATGGCGACTGATGAATGCAAATGTAATGAATCGACCATTGTTGAAGGAATTTTTGGCGAAATACTTTCAGGTATGAAAAATTGTTTTCGTTTTTATTTTTTTTTTAAATGGAAAATTAACAAAAGTTGACAATTTTGTTAACCTTTTGTTAATTTTCGACATTTCGATACAATTTTCGATTTTAATTTAATGTTTGGAATTTTTTTCTAGGAAGCACGACGAAAGTTTCTGTAAAATCGTCAGTGGATGATCAATTTGATGTGGAGGGTTTGTCGACCGGTGGAGGTGATCAATCGGTATATGGAGCAGTAAAAATTAAATCTTACACAATGACAAATTCGAATCGAATGGAAGTTGTATTAATTTCCTGGGGTGCTTCTATTGTATCTTTGAAATGTCCAGACAAATTCGGCAGATCTGAAGATATTGTTCTCGGATTTGATCACATAGAAAGTATGTTGCGGATTTTTTTTTAATTCAATAATATTTAAATAATTATAATTTCTTTATTAATATTATTTAGAATTTAATTATTAATTATTAATTTTTATTATTATGCGAATTTCAAATTTTTTTATTTTCAAATAACAACTTCAAGTTTTGAATTCAAAATTTAAAAAAATCACTTATTAACTTCTTGTAATTATTATTGATTATTTTTAAAAATTGAATTCAAATTCTTCGCAAGAATTAAATTATTTTTTTAAATAATAAAATTCTTTGCAGGAATTCAATTAATTTCTAAAATCTAAATAAATCCTTCGAATCAATTCAATAATTATGTATTTTTATAAATAGTAAAATTCTTCGCAAGAATTCAATTATTTTTATAAATATTAAAATTCTTTGCAGGAATTCAATTATTTTTATTCCAATTTAAATAAAATGAAACGAAAGAATTTAATTATTATCAAAAATTTTACATAAAATTCACTTTCAACAAGAATTTAAAATTCTCTAAAAATTATTCAATTATTCTCGAAATATTTTTGAAAATTCTATATGATAATTAAATTACTTTCAATGTAATTTTTAAAAATATCCGTCAAAAGAATTGAAAGAATTCAATTATTTTCAATACAATTTTAATAAAATTTCACGAGAGGATTCAATTAAATTTTCTCCAATTTTTAATAAAATTTTTCGAAATAATTCAATTATTTTCTAAAATTCTAATAAATTCTTAAAAATAATTCAATTATTTTTATAAATAGTACAATTCTTTACAGAAATTAAATTCTTTTCGAAACAATTTTAATAGAATTCCTCTAAAGAATTTAATTAATACAAATATTTACATGAAATTCATTTATTTCCTAAAATTTTAATAAATTCTTCAAAACAAATCAATTATTTTTCTAATTAGTAAAATTCTTCGCAAGAATTAAATTATTTTTATAAATAAAAAAAAAAAAATTCTTCTCGTGAATTTAATTATTCTCAATACAATTTTAAATAAATTTCTCGAAATGGGTAATTTAAATTTTGTTTGAAACAATTAAATTATTTTCAACCATTTTATTAAAATTCCTCGCAAGACGTACTTTATTTTCCATCAATAATAAAATTTCTCGTAAGAATTCAATTATTTTTAAAAATTTTATTAAAATTCTTTACAAGATTTCAAATTTTTTCATTAATAATAACATTTCTCAAAAGATTTTAATTATTTTCAAAAAATTTATTAAAATTGTTTTCAAGAATTCAATTATTTGAATAAATAATAAAATTCTTCGAAGAAAATCAATTATTTCCTTAAATAATAAAATTCTTCGAAGGAATTCAATTATTTCCTTAAATAATAAAATACGTCGCAGGAATTCAATTATTTTCCAAATATTTTGATTCAATTCTTTCCAATAATTCAATTATTTTCAAAATTTTTTTTTAAATTCTCGTCCAAATTTCAATTATTTTCATAGATAATAAAATTTTTTCCAGGAATTTATCTATTTTCCAAATTTTTAATTAAATTCTTTTAAACAATTCAATTATTTTCATATATAATAAAATTTTATGCAAAAATTCAATTATTTTCAATAAAATTTTGTCTAACTATTCAATTATGTTAAGAAAATTTCACAAAAGTCTTCATAAGAATTTAATTATTTTTAATAAAATTTTAATTAAATTCCTCGAATGAGTTCAATTATATTGGAAAAATTTGATATAATTCTTTATAATTTATAATTTATAATTTTTTTTTTTTAAATAATTGAATTATTATTCAATTATTTAAAAAAAAAATGAATTCCTTGAAAGAATTCAAATTTTTTACGAAACATTTAAAATATTTTCAAAAATTGTAATAAAATTCTTCGCAGCAATTCAATTATTTTTATACATAAATACTAAAATTGTTCGAGAAAATTCAATTGTTTTAATAAATAATACAATTCTCCGGAGGAATTTAATTATTTTCAATTCAATTTCAATTCAATTTCGCGAAAGAAATCAATTATTTTTAAAAATGTTTTATAAATTCTCCGAATGAATTTAATTATGTTCAAAAATTTGTATACAATTCTTTATATGAATTTAATTATTTATTATTTTGTATTAATTATAATTCATTTACTAGTATTTATAATTTACTTTTTTTCAATTAAGACTACATTGATCCGGTGATTAATCAGTACATTGGATGCATTCTTGGAAGATATTGCAACCGAATAAAAGACGGTTCATTTATTATCGGTGGAAAAATGTACCAGTTATCTAAAAATGACGAAAATAAACATCATCTTCATGGAGGGGTAATGATTATACTATTTTTTTTTTTTTACAAACTATTAACGATTATAATATTTAAAACAATTAAAATAATTAAAATAATTGATCAATAATTTTAGTTTCTTTAATGATTAGCGATTTCAATAATTTTCTATTGACTAGTTAATAAAAAATAAAATATTTATTAATTTGTTTTTTTTCTTAATTTAGGTAAATGGATTTGGTCGTCAATTGTGGAATTCTCAAATTGATGGTTGCAGTGTTATTATGAGTTATTTAAGTGACGATTTCGAAGAGGGTTATCCAGGAGCTCTTTTAGTCACTGTTCGATTCAAATTAAGATTCGACAACAAATTGGAAATTTCTATTCGTGCAACAACAACGAAACCAACAATTGTCAATTTGTCGTATTCTCCGTATTTTAATCTCGCTGGCCACGTGAGTAATTTATGATTTCAAAGTTCTGATTTATCAAATGAACAAAATTCATTTATTTCTTCTTCAAATTAAAATTTTTTACATTCATTTTTTGTCACGTACTAAAAAAAAATTAATTATTTAGTTTCTAAATGTTAAATTTGAGTTTTCATTTTTATTGCAATCAGTAATTTTTGAAATGTCTGTAAGAAAAAATATTTAATTCATTTGAACGTTCGAAACTTTTGTTGTTCATGAATAATTTAATTAGAAATTTATTTCATAAACAATGAATTTATTTGAATAATTTTGTAAATTCATATTTATAAAATAAAAGACTAGTTTTAAAAATAATAATTATTACTATTATTACTATAATTAAAATACTATCGTCACTATTATAATTAATAAAGAATTAGTCAATTTTAAATTAACTAAGAAAATTATTAATTCGAATTCCATAAATAGGATGCTGGAGTTTTTGAATTAGAGAATCACAAAATATCATTAAATTGCGATCGCTGGACGTTCGCCGATTTTTCGGATCCTGTGCCTTCAGGTGCCGTACGAGGAGTCGGTGGAACTATTATGGATCTTCGAATTTCTCAACTTTTGGGAAATGTTATGTATAAGGTAAAAATCACTAATGGCGATTCGTAAAACATACTAATGGTAATTTGTCAAAGTTACCAACGATAATTTAATTTTTATCGTTTTAATTTTAATTAAATTTAATTTTTTTAATTTATTTTAATTTTTTAACTTAATTCGACACTATTTATAGGTTCCTGCTGGTCAAGGATATGATCATAATTTCTGCGTTCTTAAAAGCCAATCTGGTACTTCATTTGTCGCTAGAGCTTTGCATGAAAAAACTGGACGGTAAATAAATTTTTTTATTTTATTTCTAGTTATTGATAGCAAAAAAAATTAAAATCTCTTTTACCTTACAATTCACAACAGGGTTTTAGAAATTTATTCCAACCAACAAGGAGTTCAATTTAATACAGGTGGTCGTCTGCCTCCTTATTCATTTGAGGAAAAATCTTCTGATTCCAATTTTTTGCAGTCAAGAAAGGTATATAATGGTGAACCTAAAGATAATAGTTGCTTAGAAAAATTTATTTCGTTATTTATTTTAAATTACGAATAGTATAATAAAAATAATATATTATAAATAGTAAACAATAACAATAATATATCATTAATTATTACAATAAAAGTAATAAATTATTAACTATTATTAATTTTAATTATTAATATTGTAATAATTTATAATATATTATTTAATATTTTTAAATTTATTTTTAATTTATTTTTAATTTATATTAATTCATAATTCATTTTAGGAGAGTATAAATTCTATAAAAGCAATGAGTGAAGTAAAAAGTGCAGAATTCGGAGAATACATAGATTCAGAGAATGATTCGGTGGTGGAAAAAATAATTCAAATGGAAATTGAGGACGATAAAATGTCTTTAATTAATAATCTTGAATTTATACCAGGCAAGAATGGAGCTCGTTATAAAAAATTTTGTGCTTTCAGTATTCAACCACAAAATTATCCCAATGCTGTGAATGTCGTAAGAAAATTTTTTTAACCTTTACAGTTTGGTTTTAGAAATAATAAGTATTGAATATTTTTCCTCATTTGACATTTGCTTTTATGAATATTTTACAGTGTCATTTTCCTTGTTCTGTTCTTCGGCCCGGGCAAGAATACAGTAACGACATTATATACAAATTTGGAGTGCAACTAGCAAATTATATGTAATTTCATCATAATTAACAAGTAAGTGAAACAATAAACTCGGGTGCGAGAAATTTTCTCAAAAAAAAAATACTAACTTTTTGCATTTCTGTCAAATGGAGATTCGATCTTTTATATTTTTTGTGTTTTGGTCTTATTTTTTGTTTTGGATATTTCACAAGATGGAGATTCGAAGTTTAGAAGAATTTTATGCTCCTGTTATTTACCTGAATTAATAAGTATTTTAATAACAATTAATAAAGTAAAAACAATTTAAAGTATAAAGTGAACCTAACCTCAAAATGTATATGCAAATGTCACATATCCCGTATTTGACTTAACCCCACTAAGTTGAGTTCAGGTCTTTAAAAAACTATAATTTTTGACTCACTTTCATTGTTATAAATTAAATTTTTAAATAACTGAAGTATTAAATTTAAATTAGATTCGCGCTGAATAGTTTTTATCGATTTTATTTTTGTACTAATTTTCTATTTGAGCTTCAAAACGACTTTTTGTCCAACTTTTCTTTTTTGTCCATAAAGTATAATCAAAACATGTGAATAGACCTTAAGTAATACCCGCGCTTTCGGGCTGGAAGGACTTCCGGTCAAAACATAACCTGTAAAAAGTGTAAAAAGTTGAGCCGAGTCAGTATACATGAATGTAGTGAAATCCAGTGAAATTTGAGTGTTTTTATTGCAAAAGAAAATTAATATTACTGTGTCGTAATTTTATTAAAGAAATTGACATTCCAAAAGCTGATTCTTTCTAATAAGTGTTCAAGGTAAAGTAAATGACTATTATTATTTTGTATATGTCGAAAAATATTTTGTATCCTCTTGTAGTTAGTGTGAAAAGAGAATTGATGACCTCACACTTTTTGTTCTATATCCTTATTGTATAGCAAAAATAATAATGAATAGTCACGAAAAGAATTTAGTTGTGCATTTTATACCTAACTGTATTTAAAAAAGGTCAATTATTCTGTATCTTATTTGTTTTTGTTACAAAAAAAAGAGGTTGTAAACGTACAAATATTGACCGGCCGGCAGGTAAATTCTTTAAGATTTTTAAACAATTTTTAGTAGTTTATTAAAAATGTTGCAAAAATTGCAACACTAATGATTTTTCAATAAATTTTAAATTCATTTCAATGCAATCAAGCATTTAAACACTGGAAAATTGTGTCAGTTTAGGGCGACAAAAATTATGATAATTAAATGAAAAAGTATTCTATATTATTATTAATTAAATTAATATTATTATTATTATTATTATTAATTAATTAAAATTTTAATTTTTTTTTATTTTTATTTCAGCAAGTTATTTATGAAAATATTCGTTGATAAAATACAGTACTAAGATCATTTGAACGTTCAGAATTTTTTAACTTCTTTTTTATATATTTTTATGGCAATATTGTTGTGCTATCTTTGAGTAAAATACTTATTGAACATTTTTTTCTTTGATCAACTTTGTGGACTTCAACTTGGTAGTAAATTTGTAATAGTCTTTTTTTTTCTTCTGCCATGAAATTAATTATCATTTTTAAATATTCTGTTAGTGACAAGAAATTAATTGAAAAACATTTGAAAATATTGTTATTTACGTGAAACTAATTAAAAAAGCATTTTAGAAAAATTTCTATGAATTAAAACGGAAAATGGATAAATTGGATAAAAGAAGGTATTTAAAATAAATTCACAACAAAATTTAACCCTTTGCATAGAATTAATTTATTAGGACGGTTCATTATTTATAGAAATGATCAATTTGTTTTAAAAAGTACATAGACATAATTATTGAAGTTGAAAATTCCAAAAATGCATCATGAACAAATTTTTTTTTTTTATTCTTTTTTCCCAGAAATTTATTTGAAATTCGTTTATACAATATAGAAATTGAATGCGACGCAATGGAGATCTAAAATGTCTGGGCAAATACAAACTATATGTTAAAATATACAATATACCAACAGACATTTTTTTTTGCTTTCACAATTTATTTTTTTCAAATATTCGAAACAAGCTAAATTGTGTTATTATATATAGAATTTCAACAGCAGAATTTTTCTGCACGTCGAGTTATATATGGTACACAAAAGGCTTTCCTACACCCAATTGTATGAATATCTTTCATTTTTTTTTTATTTATTTCGTAGCATATTAATATAATAATAATAATAATTAGTTTTTATTTTTTTTCCGCATATATACGTTATATTTTTTTTATTTTTCCTTTTATATCAACTAATCACTTCATTTTATTTACATGTGTGTGTGTGTGTGTAATATTTATAGAAAATTATACTACCTACATCAATATATACATAAAAAGGCAAATGTGAAATACCTGAACGATTTTCATCTGTTTTTTTTTTCATTTCAGTTTTTATTATTAAAAAAATATGTATATTTGTTCATTTTCTTTCTTTTTTTTTAATCGCAATATTAAATAGTATTTGATTAGTATTGTATAAGAAGTACAAGTTACAGCAAAAATTTTTATTCACAATGTTTGCAATTAGTTTCTAGTCTTATTTTACATTACGTAACGTTAGTATCTTGCCTGAGGTGTACCTATTATTTTCCATAATATAGTACTGTTTGAAAAACCAGAGAGAGAAAAAAAAGAATTAAATCTTAATTAAAAGTATGTAGGTATAGAATTTCAATTAACGTTCTCAGGCAATAACTCAAGCATTTGCCTTTTATTAAACAAAAACATTGTTTAGAAATTATTCAAATCTTATGTAAAACGTAATTTTTAATTTTCTGAAATTTTGAAATTTTATTTTGACAAATTTTTTATTTTATTTTTCATTTTTTTACTTTGCAATTTTACGCATTAAATATTGGAATAATTTCTATTCATTTTTCGATAAATATTTTTTCCATTCAAAATTCTTATGCAAATTCAGATTTTTGTAATCTTAACACTGGTTTATTTGAAAAAAAAGGTAGAAACAAAAACTTTTACCTTGATTTCATTTTTCTTAATTAAATCACATTTTTGAATGAAATGAATTGAATTGAATTTTATATTAAACAGATAGTAATTTTTTTTTAATACAACGATTATATTTTATGCAAATTTCTTTAGTCGCAATTAAAGTTTTTTTTAAATTTCTATTATAGTAATCACATTTTAATGCATTTGTTGCATGCGCAGAAAGATTTTCGCCAATTGCATTGAAACGTGAAACTTCTTTTTTTATTCCGGTTTCATTTTTATTCTTTCACCTCCAAGAGCTGGGCTCCTGAGAATTGAGGATGTTATTTTCTTAGAAAATATACACCTTCAAGATAAATCACTATGAGTACACAGTCTAGGCACAAGGCAGGAAGAAGAGTTTTACAATTTTCAGGAGGGGGGAAAATTCGAAAGCGAAAAAGGGGTAAATACTAAACATTTCTGATTCATGTCAGATATTCCATTCTACTTTTTATAATTATAATAATGATAATTATACATTTACATTTTTAGACGATTTAATTTAATCGATAAAAAGGAAACTTTTATTCTCTCTCTCTCAGAAAGCAATCTGAAAAGAATCGAAATAAAAGTCTGAATAAGAAAAATCTTTTCTTTTTTTTATTCTCGTGGTTTTGTACTCTTCCTCCTGGTTACCGTAAACATTAAAAAACCACGTGATTATAATTATTATTTAGCAAAGTCCTTTTTTTTGGGCTAGTTCGAAACTAAATGATAATAGGACTCATCGTTGTCTCTCGCGTGTAATATTTGTCACCGCAAACACTTGACGAGATAATAAAAGCGAAGCTTTTTCGTTTATTTATTTATTTTTTTTTTTACTTTTTCGTTAAAGAGTTATTTTATTTCTTAAAAAATAAATGTCCCCTCTCTCTCACTCTGTGTGTGCAATGTTTAACGAAACTGATGACACCGCGAATTCTCAAGTTTTGCTGAATAATAGCGTCTCTTGAACTTCTCCTGATTTATCAATCTCATTTTTTGAGAATTATTTCTTCAATACTTTCACTCTTTACGCTCATCGGGTTTTGATTTTGGATCCATCGTTGACGAGCGGGAATGATAGGGATTGGTTTGATTTCTTCGCACCAAAAGTACATTTCCATCTGCTGTTTGCTGCAATGTGAACTCGTGGGGATTGTACGGATTGCCATCCGGGTCACGGAGAGACTGAAAGAAAATTAGTTTTTGTTAATATTTTAATTCATCACTCGGTCTCGCAATTTTTTTTTATCAACGGATCTTAAATTCTTTTTGTTTGGCGTGAATATTTAATTTTTAATTTAATATTTGACTTTTAATTTAATTTTTTAATTTAGATTTTTAATGTAATATTTAATTTAGACTTTTAATTTAATATTTAATTTAGACTTTTAATTTAATATTTAATTTAGACTTTTAATTTAATATTAATATATATTTGTCCTGACGGAGAAATTATTGCTGTTATTTATCAATAAAAATACAAACCTGGAAAACGTGACGATAGAGTTGGCTGAATTTCTCTTTAACTCGCTGTCGCTCAACGAGCATGTAATCGCGTTCCTTGATGAGCCTCATTTTACGGTCACGCATTTCTTTAACTTGATCGGCGAGACTGATGATTTGATCGAGTTTACGTTTGCGACAATTTTGTGCCGCGACCTTGTTCTTGCCTCTTCTTCGAATATCGCGAATCAACGAGAGTTGCGCTTCGCTAAGATCATATTTACTGAGGCGCTCGTTAAATTCGTCCATTGGCAAGTTGATGATGTCGTGCACAGCAATTGGTACATTCAATGATCGGGCTCTCTTTTCGTCGCGGGTCAAATGCTCGTCTTCATTCTTTCGTGCTGAAATTACAAAAAAAATTCTACAATTATTTTCTCTTTCTTATAATTTTTAATTTTATTTTTGAATTTTGAAAAGGAAATAAACAAATAAATATTATAAATAAAATAAACAAAATTCTGAACGCTCGAAATTTTGAGAAGATAACAAAAAATTCAATTACAATTTGGAAAAAGTTTTTCTTTTTCCAAATTTGTAATTGAATTTTTAGATAGAATTTTTTTTTATTTGAATTACCTTTCTTATCGCGGGACAAAGGACGTTGTAGGGATCCGGAACTTTCAGCTGGAAGATGATACGTGTGATTGTGATGAATGTGCTCAATCGCTGATCGTCCTGTAAACGAAAAATAGTCCAATGTAATTATTTTGAAATTAAATAACGTAGTGATTTCATATTTAATTAATAATCTATATTAATATTTTTGATTTTTAACTTTTTTTTAATAATTTTTCTTTTTAAATATTTTTAATTTTAAAATTAATGTATTGAAAATCATCAAGTTGTTGCAAAGAATTTTATTAAAAAATTTGATTATAATAGAATTCTTTGAAAGAATTTTATTTTTTAGAAAAATAATTTAATTCTCGCTAAGAATTTTGTTAAAATTTTCGAAAATTCTAATTAAATTTTTTTTTTGAAGAATTTCTTTGAATTTTTAATTAAAATATTTAAAAGTAATTGAATTTTATGAACAATTTCTTTCAAGTTTTTAAAATAATTGTGTTTGTTAAAATTGAAAATAAACATTTAATTATTGAATTTTATTAAAATTCAAGAAAGTAATTCAATTCTTTTGAAAAATTTTATAACATTGAAAGAAAAAAATTGAATTCTTTCCTGAAATTTTTTTGAAAATAATTGAATTTTTGTAACAAATTTTACTATTTATAAATATAATTGAATTGTTTCGAAGGATTTATAAAAATTTTCGAAAATAATTGAATTTTTTCGAAGAAAAAATAAATTGAATTCTTTCATGAAATGTTTTTAAAATTGTATTAAAAATTATTGAATTTTTGCGAAGAATTTTACTATTTTATAAATAAAATTGAATTTTTTAGAATAATTTATTAAAATTTTATAAAATAATTGAATTTTTTCGAAAAATGTTATTAAAATTGAATTCTTGCGTGCAATTTCTTTTTTTTTTTGAAAATAATTGAATTTTTGTAACGAATTTTACTATTTATAAATATAATTGAATTTTTTTGAAAGATTTATTAAAATTTTATTAAATAATTGATTTTTTCGAAAAATATTATTAAAAATTAAAGAAAACTGATTTTTTTTCATGAAATTTTATTAAAATTGTATTAAAAATAATTAAATTTTTGCAAAAAGATTTTATAACGAATTAAGGAAAAATATGAATTCTTTCGTGAAATTTTGTTTAAAAGTAATTGAATTTTTGCAAAAAATGTCAATATTCATAAAAATAATTGAATTCTTGTGAAGAATTTTATTAAAATTTTTGAAATTAATAAACAAGAATAATTAATTAGTAAATTAGTTAATCATTGAATTTTTTTAAAGTTTGAAATTGAAATTATTCAAATATTCTTATTTGAAAATAAAAAAAATATGTAATTTGCATAATATAATAATAAATCGAATATCAAGTTCCACGCGCGTAACATTTGCTAGTATTAATATTAATTATTATTTACAACAATATTTGTTGATAATTTTTTACAAACATAATTGTTGATAATTGTTTAGAATAATAATTTCTTTTTGTACTTTTAATTTTTTTTTTATAGGAACAATTTTAGAAATATTAATTAAGGAATGAAAATTTGTTATTTTTTTTTGTTCTGATTTTTGTAATTACCTGTTTGATGCCGTGTGAAGTCCACACTACAACTGTATTTAATTTCAGCTTGAGGACCAGCAGCACCTTCGATTGGTCCAGAGTAAGCATTTCCCGGTGCACCAGCAGCAATTGTCTGAGAATCGTACTCATATTTCATTGGAGTTGTCGGATGAGCCGTGGCACTAAGAGGTGATCCTGATTGCAAAAAAATTATTTCCGTAAGTTAATTTGCTACTGATTTAATTTTAATTATTTTCAATTGACAAAATTCGTTCTCGATTTCGAAAACTAATTTCCATTGAGAAATCCAGATTCTTTTTTCCAAAACTGAATGTTTAAAGAAACGAAATTGTTAAAGATTTTAAATATACACTAACCAGTTCCTTGTTCCTGGAAGTATCGTTTAGCAAACATTTGATGCTTCTTTTGTGGAGCCATGCTTCGATCAGCTTGGCAACGTGGTGAAGTTCCGCTTCTTCCGTAACTGCAATCGTATGGCATGTGATATTTGCTGGAAAGAAAAAATTTTTTCATTGAAAAACAATATTTCAGATGAAGATGGAAGATATTTTTTTTCGAAATTTACACAAATTTGCGACATCTACATTTTTTTTTTTGGCACAAATTTGAGAAAAAGTGGGAAAAATTACCTGGCATAATCCATGGAATAATGAGAATCCGCTTGAGTGTGGCTGGAATTTGATCCGGTTTCCATCCACTCGCCATCTGAAACGGATCCAACTCGTTCGCTTCCCATGCTGCTGACAGCACTATCACTGGATGCATCCATTCTTTCGTCAGTGACGCAGGGTAATGTTGTCACTCCACCCGATGGTGGTGCACCAGCTGCTTGCACTCCGGGCAATGCAGCAGCTCCAGTCGGTCCAGAGGCATTGCTGCTATTGTTATCCAACATTCGCATGGTGTACATGCCTAGAAACAGAAACAATATTTTTCATTAGAACACATTTTCTTCTTACGAAACAAATTTCGAAAAAATCTCTTAATTTTTTAATTTAATCATTTTCTTAATTTGAATTCATTTATTACTTAATTAATCTCTCTCTTTTTCTCACTCTCTCTCTTAATCTTCTCTAAATTTTCTCTTAATTCAAAAAATTAATTATTATTTCAAAAGCAGAAACAGTATTTTGAACATTAAAATAAAAATTCTATTATTTTTTAAATTCTTTTCTTAATTTTAATTACTTTTTATTTTTGCCAAAATTGTAGAAAATGTTATTAAGATATTCAAGTGAAGCTATAAAAATTAAATTCTCCAGTTGAAAATGTTATCGATTTTTAAGTCAAGTTATTAAATTAAATTATCGACTCAGGAAATTGAGAGTGCGAGACGATTTAGCTGTTGCAAAATTCGTCAACGTTTTTCTAAACAAACGCTTTTGATTTCAATTACATAAAAGTATTCATATTTTAAAATAAACAGTATTATATTTGCAGTCGCGAATTACACCAGAGGATATTTTGAAGTCACTTCATTTGTTATCCAAACAATAAAATTTTAAACGTAAACAATTTATTAAAATTTCTCTCATGCAAGAGGTAAAATCTCAAGTAATGTACATCATTCCTTAATTGCGTCATTTTTAACACTGTTTTATTAAAATGTTACAAAGAAAATTAATTTTTTTTTCTTTTAATTAAATACTAATAAAATTGATTCAGTTTTCGCGGAAATTCTTATTTTATGGTATAATTCGAATTTTATTAATTTTATTAACTTTATTAATTAATATTAATTGATTTCATTATCTTTATTAACTAATTTTTGTGACGATATTAACTAATTTAATTTGTCAATTCAATTTTTCGACTATTAATTAATTGAATTTTGAAAATTTAATTTTTCGACTTTCTTCACTAAGAGAGAAATTTAATTTTTTTGACTTTATTAACTAATTTTCTAACTCTATCAACTAATTTGATTAACTATTGTGAAATTTCTTTATGTTCATGTTATCAATTCTAAAAAAATATGTGAAATACATATTTACTGACTTGACATTCCGAGAAATAGTCAACAACGTAAATTGTTGGATCGTACGTGACTGAATTCAGGTTCCGATTGTATTTTTATAATTTATTTTTCGAACTTTGTCAGCTGCAGCCAATATTGTTTTGATACTTTTTACTAATCGTTAACATTCTCTACAAGTGGCAATTTAATATTTTTTATTAGTTTTGCGCCGAAATTTTCTATTTCCAAAATGGAATGCGACCATTAATATCAATTCAGATTACTTGCTTCTGATTTATAAAAAATTATTTTCATTATTATAATTACTTTAATTAGTGTAACTATTATAATTAGAATTATTATTATTATCACTATTATTATTATTATTATTATTATTATTATTATTATTATTATTATTATTATTATTATTATTATTATTATTATTATTATTATTATTATTATTATCTTTATTATTTTAATTTTAAGAAAACCATTAGATTTTGGAGTATTTTCTACTACGACTTCATTTGTCGCTATTTTAATTTTTAACTTTCGGATTTTCAAAATTAATTCTAAGAGGGAATTTATTTCAGATTCAAAGGAATAATTTATATAAATTTGCTGGTCCTGGAATCGAGGAATAATACTAAGGAATAAAAGAGAAGGAAAAAAATTGTTATCACTTTCGGCGAAAGGAAAAGAACATTCGATGTTATTAAGCGAATTAAATTATTATTTCTCAAATATAAGACACAAATTATTATTAGTATTTCCTTATCATTCGATTACTAATATTAATTTTCGCTAATTCTAATTATTGTTTTAATTGCTCAAGTGATAATAATAAACGATAATAACAATTGACAATAATAAACAGTGAAAATAAAAAAAAACAAAAGATAATGATAATAAAAAGTAGTAAAAGAAAAGGAAGAAAAAAAATATATTAATAATAATAATAATAATAATAGAAATAATAAAATAATAATATTAATAGAAATAATAATAATAGTAATAATAATAAAAGAAATAATAATAGCAATGATAATAATAACAGAAGTAAATTTAAGATTTGCAAAGATTGTCTTGATAATCATAACACAGAGATGCTGTTTCTTTAAAACTTCGATGCTGTAACAATTCATATGTGATTTTTAATTAGCAAGCTATTTTCGTTGATATTATGGACAAAAGGAGTCGATAAGGCTAATTGCACTTTCGATTGACCTCGTTGTCGAGAACGATGGCCATTGCAAATGGTATATAGCAATCTATATATATATATATATATACATACATATATATTAAATGGTTGTGTTAAAATTTTTTTTCGTGAGTCAGCATGACTTTCCGTTTGACGATGTGATAACGTTATCGTTAAATGAAGCGCGTTAACTACGTTTAGGATTGGACTTTTAACGTATATCTTAAATTTATTCGCAGATAAGTTAAAGAAAAGAAAAGAAAAAAAAGTGAGAGAGCATTCTTGGACACGTATACAACAATTCGAGTGTACTATATTTACTCTTTAAAGAGTAATAATTGTTCTCTAAAGAATGATTTTCATTGTAAATTTTTTCATCTAAATTTAACGAATTTTCTTTTTTTTCATACTTTTAGTATTTTTTTCTCTACTTTGCTGTACTTTTCGATACTTTTTTCCTATTTTTCTCTCTTTTTTCTATTTTTACTCAATTTTTTCTCTACTTTTCCCCCTTTTCTGTTTTTTCCCCATTTTTTTCTCTTTTTCTCTATTTCTTTTTTTCCCTATTTTTTTCTCTTTTTCTTTATTTTTTCTTTTCTTTTCTCTATTTTTTCACTACTGTTTTTTTCTATTACTCTTGTTTTTTTCTCCCCCCTGATAAAAATATCATCATCATCAATATCAATATCACGATTTGTTATCAAAAGGAATTTCATGTTATTAAATAAGAGAAAAATATTTACAAAGTAGAGAGAAACTTTAATTTTTCATCAAAACAAAACGTCACTGTTTGTGTGTTTATCTCGCTTTATATTGTAAGATTTGAATTATATGCAAAAAAAAAATGCGAAATTATTTAATTTATATTTAATATTTATGTTTATCAGGTTTCTCTCTCTATATATACACGCACGCATCGGCAGATAGTTTGGAATGAAGAAAAAGCAACAACCATCAATTATGTTTTCGCGTTTCTCGGTCGTAAGTCAGGGTCGACAAATACGTCGCCAGCAGAATGCAACACGAGCAATGTGTGAATTAGAAATTTTAGATGACTTCGCATTTTATTTTGTCCTTTCGGACAAGCACGAGTGAAACACAAGGGATAGAGAGAAAGAGAGAGAGAGAGAGAGATAAAAAAAAATTGCCTATGGGAATTTGTCAGCCTTGTGGAAAAGAAAAAAGGAAAAGGAGACATTCGCACTTCTGAGCTTTTTTGAAATCGAGAATCTTCTGTTTTTAAAAATTTTTACTCTATTTTTTATTTCTGTCTAAGTTTTATTTTATTTTGTCCTATTTCTAATTTTTATTTTTTATTTTCATTTCGTATTGTTTTCTTTATTTAATTTTAAATCTACCTTTTATTTTTCGTTTTTACTCTTGTTTTCTATTTTTTACTTTTTATTCTATTTTCCATTTTTATTTTCTATTTTATTTTTTATTTTTACTTCTATTTGTTTTTGTCACTTTTCACATACTTGGTATGTATACGATGACCCCCATGGTCTCCATTCGAGTCCCCTTCACAAAAAATTGCACTCAAGTCTTTAAAACAAAAATGTTTCTTTTCAATACTATTTTCGTTTTCTTCGTTTTTCCCTCCGAAACGTCAATTTGGCTCAATTTCGAGAATTTTGGCAGTGTAATAGATGCTGTAATGAGTGTAGCAATGCATATGAATAAAAGAACAAGTCAAAGCCTTTTCAGGCACCACCGAGGCGTTTAGCACCTCCAGTTTGTCAGATATTTCCTTTCTCTTTTTTTTCCTTTATTTTCACAATAATAATAGTTGTGCACCGGCATATCATACACGACGCCGGTGTGAGTATAACACTTATTATTCACCACTTGATGATAGACACGTTTAGTAATCGAAATAGCCACTTATCCAATAAATTAAAGAGTCACTTCAATTGTATATAATATAGGGTCGAAGACATTGTTTATTGAACTGAATCCTCACTCACTTGTTTTTTTTTTTTTTTTTTTTTTGTCTTGACTGTAATAATTACAATATATGCTAAACTAAATGTATACGATTGAAATATTTAATTATAAATTTATAAATAAATTTTCTTTTTGTTGCAGTGTACACACTTTTTGGCATTGATAAAATTCCGACTACTCATTCTCACGTTTATTTTAACGACATTTGACAAGGAATATTAAATAAAGCATCACAGGTTCATTACACCTTTTGCGAGGCGATAACGAAAATTGTAAATCGAGATGATTTAAACATAGATTTCTGAGAGGGAATTTTGTGTCACATCTTTCGTCATTTGCAGACGTGTCTGATAAATTATTTATTGAGGAGAAAAAAATTCTGTCTCGTATTTTCACCATTTTTGGGTATTTTTTCTTCTTGTGATTTTTTTCAATTCCAAAAAGTTTCTGAATTTAATTAAATTTTTCTTTATTTATTTAATCTTTTTATTTATTTAAACAATTTATTTGTTTTAGTTTTTTTATTAATTTTATCTGTTCAATTAATTTTATTTTTAATTCAACTGTCACGTGCTGTTTTTTGAATTCGAAAATTCTTCGGGACTGGAAAATAATTATTAATCGACTACTAATTAATAATTAATAATTAATGAAGTTTCGGAAACATTTTTATCGTCTTCGATTTTTTTAAGAAAATAAAAAATAAATAAATAAAATTGAAATCAAAAACACAGAAAATAAAGTTGAAATTGAATTTTTTAAAAATAAAATTTAAAAGCATTTAGAGGCAACAATTTTTTTCTCCTCATTAAAAAAAGAATCATTGAGTAATTCATACATTTCACTAAATATTTCCGCGAATTCGCGATACACTCGAATCTTGTAACATATTCACCGAGCGCGATTTAAACATAACTGAAGTGTAATCCAGATAGACAAGGCTAACTCGCGTGGGGCGTAACCATTTGACTCAAGAGGCTAGCGAGTTAACTCACACTTTTCCTGTTTTATTGGACGATTGCAAACTTACTGAGCAACTCGTTTTATTATGCTATTATGCATATCAGCATTCTACAGTCACACATTTTTTCTCAACAGTAATCACTTTTTTCTTTTTTCTTCTCTTTTTGTTTCATTATTATTATTGTACCGCAATCGTACAAATTTCCCATGAAGTTATTACATGAAACAGCCAATTTTTTTCTCGTATTTTCCATTTTTGCATTCTTCAAATTCTTTTTCTCTATTTTCCATCGAGTCTGAATTTTGTAATTTCGTTTCAAAATTCCATGAAAACAAGTTTTAAAAATTTTTTTTAATTAAAACAAATTTGTTTCAAACAGTTTTTATGAAAACTATTTCTTTTTCGCTAAAAATCTCGAGAGAAAACTAATTTTCGTCTCTAACGTCATTCGGCTCAAAAAGAAACTTAAAATAGAGAAAAAATATGAACAAAAAAAAAATTATCTTGAGAATTTTGCTTAACGCCGAAATAATTTATCCAAGATTTCGATTTATATATATTTATCTAATATCGGACTTTTGTATCTTTAAACTGAAAAATAAATGGAAAATTTATACAAAATGGGAGATAAAAAATAATTATGAATACTAAATTGTTTGACAATTTTAAAAAGAGTTCTTTTTCGCGAATAATTTTTTTTCTCTCTCCTGATCTCTAAATTCCACAATAAATGTAGTTCAGCTTTGCAATTTATCAAAGTCAAGAGGAATTAAAAAAAAAGCGCGAGAGTTTTCTTCGAGACAATTTATGACAAGAGTTTATGAAAATAGTTGACGAAGAAGAAAAAAATACGATTTTTGTTTTTCACAAATCTATTAAATTTTTATAATAATAATAATTAATAATAATAGTAATAATAATATTAATGAAAAGAAATAAAAAAATGATTCTAATTGGAAAAATGAATAAATACAAGTAAAATTTTATTTGATTCGTCTTATCAGGTGATAAATGTTTGGTATCAAATTATCATTCGAATTATACATATATATATATTTATAAAAAATACTATATTATCTGGAGACAAATTTAATTTTACGAAATATCTTTTTTTAGAAAGTGGAAAATTTTTAAAAAGTTGTTTTAGAAACAAAAAAAATGTAAATGTTTACAGAAAATTAAAATTCTTTCCTTTCTGTTATTATTTTTCTTACTTTTCTTATTGAGAAAATAATTATGAGAATAAAAGTCAAAATTCGCAAATAAATAAGTAACAAAAAAAAGGAATTAAAAAAATAAATCAGATGTTATTCTATCTGTGATGTAATTTTTTCTTTTTTTTATCATTTTTTGGAAATTTCGATTATGGGAAATTATCTTCACATGACAAATCATCTAATCTCAGAAAAACACGTGCATGTCAAATGTATTTTTTTTGTCACATCTCTTATCAAATTAAGACTATACTCGTCTCGCATTATCTTGAAATAACAAATTATTTTTATAATTTGCACATATTTTGTATTTATAAATAAATAGTTTACCTAAAAGGCAAATATTTACTAAATACAAAAATTAGAATCGCGAGAAAAAACTTCGAAATACTTGTAAATTCTTAATTTATTAATAATTTATTTAATATTTTAGGGAAATTCTTTTCATCGATTTTTAATTTATTATTAATTTTTTTCCTTCATTCATTTATTTAATATTATTTTGGGGAATTCCCTTTTTTTGTCATCGACTTTTAATTAATTATTAATTTCTTTCTTTCCTTCATTCATTTGATAATTTTTGAAATTTTTTTGTCCTTCATTTTTAATTTATTATTTAATTTCATTCAATATTCAATATTTTTGAGAATTTTTTTTCTAAGAATAAATTTAAGTTAGAAAAAAATTTGTTTTATACTTATTTTAATCATCGAAAAATTATTTATTCAATTAAAATGATTCTTGTACTTTTATGTATCATAAATTTTCTGAAATTATTTTTTGTCTTTACAGATATTTCTTTGACAAACATGGCCTCTGTCGATGAGTTAAAAACTCTTTTATTAATACTTCAAGAGGATGTCGAGGATGCGAAATTGGGAATGAAGCAAATAGTTGAAGAAATTATTAGCCTAAAAGTATCGGAGGAAAAGCAATTAAAATTAATGGAAAACTACGAGAAGAATCAAAAAATTCTGGAAGAAAGAAACGCAAATTTGGAAGAAAGATTGAAAAATCTTCAAGATAAAATAGAAACTGGAATGACTCAAGGTAAAAGTTTGTAAATATTTCTTTACTTAGTTCTTCTCTTGCAAATTTTGATTATTTTGAGCGGGATAAATTTTTTTCCAATAATTAACAAAAATGTCACTAATGTTCTGAACGAAAATTTATTTACTTATTTATTTATAGTGAACGAAAAAATATAATTTATCTACTTTTTCCTTAAATTCAATTTTTATTTTTGAATTATTTTTTTTATTATTAATATTATTATTATAGAATTATTATTTATTATTATTATTTGTTATTTTTATTTTTAAATTGATTCTAAATGTTTAATTTCGATTTTGGCTTTTATAGATATCAGTAATTTTTGAAAATGTTTAATTTGACAAAAAATTTATTTGAACTTTAATTCTTTCAAATATTTATTTTTTTTAATAAAAAAAATTGTCGCCTCGCCAATAATAATGAAGATTTCCAAAACAATTATCTCAATATTAAATTATTGTGGAAAGCTCATTTCTGCTTTCAGGAGGATGAATCAATTTTGTTCTATTATTACAGTCCACCAACGAGTGTAGTATAAGGAGAGACTGAGTCACTCTGAATATATATACAACTTGAGCACGTGCATGTATACATAAGAGTTGTTTCTTACACGTACAATCACGTTTCATATCATCATATCAGTCTCCACTGATAGTTTCATTTTCTCACCTCAATCGCTTTTTCCTTTTTGTCTCTACTCATATATTCCCTTTGTCTCTATTATGCTAATTTATTCTTCTCATTTACAAATTTCGTCTTCCTTTTTTTCTTCTTCATGTTAAGTGCTTTAGAATAAATGTTTTATGCACCGAGTAATTACTGACGAGAGGAAAAAAAAAATTTCAATTTCTTGTTTTCTATTGCAGAATTCGCCTGCAATATTGCAATTGTGAAAATTGTTCAAGAAAAATTAAATTAATTATGAAACGGTTAAAAAAGAAGATTAATTGTAAATAATGTGACATTTTGTGTTGATAAGAGAGTGAATTTAAAAAGTCGAGTCATTGTTACATAGAAGAAATCGATCGATATGTAATATACTTATTGTTTATTTGATTTTTTTGGCAATTCTTGATATTTAAGAATTTATTTTCATTTCTCGTTTGGTCAGTTCTCGATTTGTTTCCTTTTCGACAAAAGTGTTGACCAAACGAAAGATAAACGAAAAGAAATTTTTTTCTAATAAAATTATTTCATGGGAGTAATTTTTATTTCGAAAAAGAATATTGTTTAGTAAATTTTTCTTGCGCTTTAAAGGAAATTGTCACTTTTTTCTCTCGTTAATTAATTTTTTTTTGTCGATCAAAACAAAATCAAATTTTTTGTCTACCAAATAAGAAATGTTATTGGAAATAATTTTCACTGTGAAAAAGGATTGTTTAGTTAATTTTTGCACAAATTTAATAGAAATTGTTATTTTTTTTCTCTCGTTAATTAATTTTTTTTGCGAATAATACAAAATCAATTTTTTTTCTACAAAAAAGAAATATTATTGGAAATAATTTTCACTTTGAAAAAGAATCGTTTAGTAATTTTTTTTTGTCCGCAAATTTAGAAGAAAAAAAGGAATTCGAAATTATTTCTCCCTCGTCTTGTCAACAATGTTATAAAGATTATTGACATTCAGACGCGCATTAAAGTCTAGGTCTCACCGTTGATCCGATTGAATGTCGATATATCGAGTCCCATTTTTCCAGTTTTCGATTCTAAAAAATTCTTCTCTATGTAAACATATGTTGTCACTGATGAAGTTTAGTAACACGTGACTTTTTGTTTTTTAAAAGAGTCCTTGCAAATTTGAAAAACTAATGTCTATTCATTCCTGCGCACTTTATTTAATGTCTTCGAGGCTATATTCTCTATATATGTACGTATATAAAATATATATATATATTAATGTTGAGCTCACCGCACTTTTTAATTGCGTATGTATATGATTAACGATAATAATTCATAGGAAAATTGTCGAGTCACACATTTAATGAATATTTAATAGGAATTTTTTTTTTATTTTGTTTTGATGTTTTAGTCGAGTTTAACTCAGTTCGATCATTGCACCAATTTCTTCAATGGTGAGGTCAATGAAGCTCGTTAAATATCTTCCTTTTTGCATAGCAATCAACACTGAATTAATGAGAATTTGCATTTGGAATTAAAATTTCCGATTTATTCTTCTGTGCACCTTTTTGAAAAATTTCGCAGACCAAAAAGAAAGAAAGAAAAAGTTATTGGTGTAATAAATTTCAGAAGTAGCAAAAATTTATTTTTTAGAATATTGTTAAATTTTCTTTTAGTGATTAAATTTTATTATTATTAATAATTGTAATTAGTATAATTATAAATTAGTACAATTATAATTATTGTAATAATTACAATAATGTCGAGTTAAAAATTGATAAAAGTTGAATTTCTTTCTTTTTCGTAAACGATTTTTTTCCAGAAGTAAAATTTCGATTTCTTTCTTTTTTTTAATTAAATTATTGAAAGTCGTGTTAAAACCTGCCGGTCTATAAGACAATCGAATGTAAACTGACTTTATCCAGCATGAAGAATCACATTACAAAACTTCATGACACCGCGATACTAGAAACTGGTCCTATCTCTGTACCGTCCATGGCCGTGACGGAACTGCATTTTTTCCTGTTCTTATTCTTTTTTTCTGCTTTGTATATAATACAAATACACTCATACTTTTACACATAGAACTTTTGAAATGCATATTATATCGATAACACTTTGACGATAGCTCACGAAGAGGAGAGAAAAAATTTTTCATACGAGAATTCGACTTTGATTTTCGCAAAATTATACTAATTAAGTGGAATATTTTAAATTCAGACGATTTAATTACATTTAAAACTAATTAACTAATTAATTATGTTTACGATCGCGATAATAATTAAAAAAATTAAAATTCTGTACGTAAAGTGAAAAAATGGATTTTCCTTTTCGAAACAAAATTTACCAAGTGCTTGAAAAATTAGCAAAAAATGTGTTTTCTTTGTTACCGTCAAAGAATCGCAGGTAAATTTTTAAACAGAATTTAAAGAAACTCGAAATAATCCCCTTTTGGTTTAATAAGAGTAATAAAAAAGAAATTTTCAAAGTCGTTGAAATCTATTTTAAGGAACATAAAATGGCCCCAAAAGTGTCGAGCTAAGGATTAAGACCATAAATATTGAAATAAAATAGAAAGAAAAAAAATAAAAACATCTCAAATTTCGCTTTTGAAATGGTTACCATCATGTGTTGCTTTTAAAAAGATAATTTTGTGTTTTTACAAAATAGAAAGAGAAAAATAAATAAAAACAATAAATTGCAAATAAACTAAAATTTATAATTTTAATAATTACAAGAAATTACAAATTGCTGACAGTTTTTTTAAATTTTAATTTAATAATAAAAAATGAACTAAATTTCTTTTTTGTTAAACCAAAGTTAATTAATTATTAAATTAAATAAAAATAAATAAAAATAAAATAAAAAAAAAAGTATTAATCAAAAATTAACTAAAGTTTTTTTTCCTGAACCAAAATTCACCAATTATTAATAAATAGAAATTAAAAAATATTTATCTTTGTAAAGAACAGTAAATGCGGCAAAAAAGATGATTCATTTTCGAGGCGTAAGCGACAAAGTGTCTAGTTTGCGCACAATTATTGCAAAATATCTTGATATGACTGAATTTGTAACCTTCTGGTCCGTTATCTTAAACATTCTTAAGCTCATAATGACACAGATGCTGTACGAATGCTGGTAACCAATACGTTTTTTCTAATATTCTTTAAAATTTGAAAAGAAAATAGAACTTGAAAACATTTTTCAATTTCTATACACTTCTCCTTTGACCCTAAATATATTCAAGCTTAGAAATATTTTTTTCCGCTTTTATTACCGCTGAAGAAAAATCCCACATGGGAAAAGGTTTTACGATCTCTTTTCGATTTTAAATATTTTCCCAAACTTGAGTTGTAAAATAATTTTTTTTTCTAGACTATTTGTTATGAGAACAGATTAAAAATTACAAATATCTATTTCATTTATTAATAATCTACAATATTAATTACAGGTGGAATGAGAAACAGAAATAATGACGGATCTGGGCGAAATTTCTCAGGCAGGAGTCGTAACGACGATGATGGAATAAAATCGAACAATAGGTAAAAAATATAATTTATAAATAACTTTCTTTGACCATTTTAATCGTTTAACAATAAACTAATATTGTTTGTGAACAATTCCGGGAAAATTCAATAAATTAATGAAAATAACAATATTCATTTTTAATATTCGCTTTTTGTTGAAACCGATTTTTTAATTATTTTTTCATTAAAACCGTTTTTGTTATTAAAATATAATATTTATTTTTGTTCAATTAAAATACTTTGGAAAATTAAAATTTGTATTTTTAAAAAATTTACCAAATCTTTAGTGAATAAATTTAAATAAAGATTTACTTTTATGATAATAATTTGAATAAAAATAGAAATTTTTGTTAACTTAAGTCAATTACTGATTTATTTACAAAAGAAACTTTTTATTTATGTGGCAATTTTTTGTAGCTTTGGAGATGATGATGACGATGGATGTAGAACCAAGAATGACCGGTGAGAAAATAAATCAATTTAATTTCCCTCGTACTAAATTCATTTTATTATTATTATATTTTTTATAATTTATTTCGATTTTGAAACATTTCAATATTATTGATGTTTTTTTTCCTATTTTTGAACACTGATCAACTAAATTTAAAAACTAAATTAAAATTACCAAATTAACGAATTGAAAAAATTTTAAGAGCTAGAGAAACAAACTTTATATTTCCTGTGACTGAAAAAAAATTTTCTTTGCAGTTACGGACAAAACGGAAGAAGAAACAATCGCGGGGGAGGTTCGAGAAGAAGCGATGGCGACGGCGTCGAAGATCGTCCAAGCAGAGGAGGACGTGGTGGCCGAAGAGACCGAGAAGACAAACGTAGTTTAGACGATGACGCCAGTGGAGGAAAGGAATACGTCAACAAAGAAATTTACATTCCCCCAATGCCAGAGCAAGACGAGAAAAAAATATATTCCAAAAAAATAACTGCCGGTAAAAATTTCCAAAAAGACATCAAGGAAATAAAAATAATAGAAATAAACAATGTCGAGCCGCCCATAGAAAGTTTCGATGACGCCAATCTTCATCAACATTTGATAAAAAATATCAAGAAATGCGACTACGATTCGCCATCTGCGATTCAAAAATACGCAATACCGACTATTATCCAAGGTTTCGATCTAATGGCATGCGCTCAAACTGGTTCGGGAAAAACTGCAGCTTTCGTTCTGCCGATTGTTCACAAACTACTCTCAGAACCGAGGGATTTGGTACTTGGAGAACATTGCGAACCACAATGTATGGTAGTTGCGCCAACACGCGAACTCGCAGTTCAAATTGCCGATGAATTCAGAAAATTCGCCAATCAATCGATTCTGAAAATCGAAACTGCCTATGGAGGAACTGCCGTCGGTTATCAAGCGAAATTACTTCTAAACGGATGTCACATTCTCGTTGGTACCGAGGGAAGAATTAACGATTTCATCAATAGGGGACGAATAAAACTCTACTCGATTCGATTCATCGTTTTGGACGAAGCTGACAGAATGCTAGACACCGGTTTCATACCGGCCGTGGAAAGAATTATGGATCACGAAACAATGGTTTCGAAAGAACAACGACAGACACTCATGTTCTCTGCCACATTTCCAAATGCAATCCGAAAACTCGCGGCTAAATTTCTCAAAGACGATTACGCGTTCATTGCTCTTGGTATAATCGGTGCTGCGAACACAGACATCGATCAGACATTCTACGAAGTCAGTGGAAGGGAAAAAAAGCCGAAACTCCTGGAAATTTTGAAACGTGAAAAGGAGAATAATTCTCTAACCGGAACTATTGTTTTCGTCGAGACAAAAATGACTGCCGATTTTCTGGCTAGTTATTTGTTGCAAAAGCAATTTTCGACAACGAGTATACATGGCGATAGAACGCAAAGTCAACGGGAGAAGGCTATTGATGATATTAAGAATAGAAGTATTGATGTTTTAGTTGCAACGAATGTTGGCGCTCGAGGATTAGATATTCAGGGGATAAATCACGTTATTCAGTTTGATTTGAATAATGATATTGATTTTTATGTTCATCGAATTGGACGTACTGGACGTGTGGGAAATAAGGGGCGAGCGACGTCGTTCTACAATCATGAGAAAGACAGTCCATTAGCGGAAGCGCTTGTGAAAATTTTGAGACAAGCCGGACAACCTGTTCCTGATTTTCTTGGAGGTTCTGGTCGTGGCTATCAACCGGGTCGAACAGAAAACACCAAAGTTCGGGATTTACATGAGGTTAATTTTCAAATATTCTGAATTAGTTTTTCTTAGAATTTAATTCTGAAAAATTATTTTGGAAATTCAATTTTACTAAATATTTACAAAAATATTATTAACTTCAAATAATTAATTGTCAGAAAATTTTATCAAAAATACTGGAAAAATTCATTGAATTCATAGAATTTTCAAAATAAATATTAAAATAATTAAATTGTGAATATTTAATAACATTTTATTAACTTTCTTTTCAGGAAGGAAATAATTCGCGAGCGTTTGATGCCGATCGTGCTGAACCAGAGGAAGAGTGGTGAAATGAATTAATGATTCCTGATATCGAAAATTTTGTAAATATCAGCATTACGTTTGTTGAAAGATAAAAAAAAGTATTTTTTTGGAATACTTTTTTAAATTTTCTTTCGTTAAAATAGTATTACACTCTACGAGTTAAAAATTTGTAAAAATTTTAAAATTATTCTCGACTAGAGATTTATTAATCTCAAGTAATTATTAAATTCATTGTAAAAAAATTGTCAAATCAAAACTAGGGATTTAGAAAACAAAATCGTTTTCAAGTATTAAAAAAAAATTAATAAAAGTTTAGTAGCGACTCAAAAATTATTTCTAAATATCTTCTTGTTTTGATTTTATAATTTTTTCCCACAGTAGTTACCAAGCTTTAGATATAGAAAAAAAATTCAATGTCGTCATAGTACAATAGTTCTAAAATTACAATAGTAAATTATTAAACTCTATAATGAGTTTAATATTTTTTAAATTTTTGATCAAAATATTAAACTCTAGAATTTATGTTCCCAAAGTTCTGAATTTTCAAATGAACGAAATTTATTTCTTCTTCAAATATAAATTTTTTGCAATAATTTTTTGTCTCGTATAAAGAAAATAATTTAAACTCAAAGTTACCAAATGTTAAATTTAGGTTTTTTAATTTTAATTGCAATCAATATTTATAATAATATTTTGTTTATTCGAATGTTCAAAATTTACGGATCATGGAATTTTTTTTTTGCACGTAAATATTTAAAAAAAAATTGTAATTACATTCTCCCCTCAGAGAAAATAAGCAATGCATGAAATAGTAAAGTTTTTAGAAATTAACGCATTTTCTACAATAGAACTGAAAAAAACAAAAAACAAATTGATAATAATAATAATGTTAACAAAATATGTAAGCTACGAAATAATGTTAAATATTTTTTATACAGTTTCTTTTGCAATAAAAAGAGAATCAAAATTTTGTCTTTTTACTGTAGTGAATAGCATTTTTATAAAATTTGTATTTATGAATTGAAAATTTATTTTATTTTTGTATTTATGAATTTAAAAGTATTTTTTGAATTTAAAAAAAAAATCATATTTCGCTAATTTTCATTGTCTTTTCAAATATTCTACAAAGAAATTAAAATTTCATTTCATTTTCTGAAAGACTTTCCGAAATTGTAATTGTAAACTAATTTTTTTTTCTCATAAACAGACTTTTCTTTTTTTTTGTTAACAAATTTATGTGATTTTATATTTTCAAGACAAAATGCAGATAAATGATCAATTTACGAAAAAATGGAAAAATAACATGATCGCGATTTCTAGGTTATGTCAAACCTACCCGAATTTAAATTTCAAAAGATTAAAAATACCCTTCAGTTTTAATTAATAACTGTGTGATTAAAAATAAAAATATCTATTAAAGCTTTCCACCAATAGTGACAAAGAAATAATATATAAAATTAGTAATATTTATAAATTGAATAAATTTCTCACGTTCGCCAGTTTTTCAAATTTTCTTCAACTCGTTCTGCGCATGTGCACAAAATCGATACATTCTCTGGCGGCAATTTTCTACCACCTGAAGTTGGATTCAAATTCAAGCACAATTTCAATTTTCTCATTTCCCTCGATTCCTTGATCCAAAATTAATCACCTTTGATTTTATTCGCTTAATTACCATCGAAAGAATATTATAATTATCATATTTTTATTATTTTCATTCTTATTTTTACGAGAAATATCGAAAATTAATTTCTGCACGTGCTGGCTGCAGGGCAACCTGTTCAAGAACGGCGCACCAAGCGTTTTGGCGTCGCTCGCGCAGGCCACGTGACTCTTCTCCTTAATTGAAAGCCAATGAGATTTCTTTTTCTCAACCACCCCCTTTCTTCTCCGAGGCTTGATCAACTTGTGCCTCATTCTCATCATACCACACTTTGCGTCCTAAGAAGCCGGTTCACTTTCAGAATCGCAACTTTTGTTCACAAAGATAGTAATTCATTAAAATTGCTTTTTAATTTTAACTATTAATAGTGCTTTCAATTCAAGAATCTCGATCAGCATTCAATTTTCCTGAAAAAAGTGAGCGACGAGCATTAAAAGCAGGTAAGCCTTTTTTCTTTTAAAACTTGTATGCACGTGCTGAGAATTTTTTAGAATCATTTTTCGATTGTATTTTCACTATTTCTCTTATTCAATCTTAATTTTTTATAATAAATATCGATTGCTTTTGTTTTTTATCTAATTTTCTCGAATTTTCTTCCATTTTTAGTTGATTTTCTTTTTTTTTTCGTCGCGTGGTGTGTGTGCTAGATTTCTTTTCGTTCTTTTTACGTGAAGTTTTTTTCGATAATAATCCCCCTAGTATAAATTATTTAATTGTATTATACTAAATAATATTATTTTAATTATTTTCTTAAAATTTTTTTTGAATTCTTTTGTTCACGAGTAGGCATTTTATTTTCTCCTTGGCTAGGAAAGATCAAAACTTTTGTGTTCTTGGAACTTTTTATCTCTTGAATTCATAGTATGAGAGGAATTCAAAAAGAATGCATAATTTCTTTTTATCTTGTTTATATTTTTATCTACGAATCTTTAATTAGAAATTAAACTTATTATCGATGTATTTTATAATTTTGGTAAAATGATATCACGAATTTTAAGTTATTGATATTTTCATAATTATCATAAGTTGGCAAATATTAATGTTTTCAAGGTTATTTTGATATGCTGAGTAAAAATTAATCTTTGGTGGGTTTTTCAGCAACCTTGAAAACTGCGTGATTTGAAATTGTTTTTAGCCTAAAAACTTGAGGGCTATATTTTCTTTTTATAAATAAATATTTATGAATATAATCAAATTTTTTATTTTTTTTTAGAAAATATTTTATAGACAATAACGAAAATTTTTTTCTCATAGTTACGCTAAATTTTTTTTTTTAATTTTTGGTCTCTAACGAAACGTTGCTAAAGTTTACAATTGTTTATGATTAACGATTGTAAAAAGAATATTTTTTTATTGAAAGCAATAAAATATTTTTTTGTTAATTTAGAAAATTATTTACTTTCTATAGGTATTAAATTTTTTTTTAAAATTTTATTCTACAAATTTTTGGAAATATTTAAAAAAAAGAAAAAACATTTGTTCATTTCAACGTTCAAAACTTGGAAAAAAAATGGTGATCGTTAAACGTTAATGAAGTTAACAAGGTTTATAATCAACGATTTATTTTTTAAATTTTTTACAATTTTAATTTAATTTCAATATTTTCAATAATTGGTAGAATAAAATTTTATAAAACAAATTCAACACTTACAGAAAGGAAATAATTTTCTAAATTAACGAAATAAATATTTTTGTATGTAAATAAATTTTTTTTTATAGTTTTTTGATCAATTTAAAGAAGAAAAATTTGTAAAAACAAATATTTTCTATTAAAATTAAAATTTTAACGAAATATAAAAAAAAATGTTCATTAGAAAGTTCGGATCTTTAGGTTCATGATTAGCATATTTTAAGTAGTTATTTTTAGTAGTATTCTATTCTCTATTTGTAAAATTTAAAAAATTAAAAATTTAAATTTCATTTTTGACAAAATTCTTTTACAGATACAATGGGGAACTGGGACAATGAAGGCTCAGGACGGAGTTCTTCTGGCAGAGGCCGAGGATATAACTTCAAAGATAGTGGAAGTAATGAAAAGAGCATGGTAAACTTCGATGAAACCCCCAGTAACGATGATGGATTCAAACCATTAAAAAGGTAAACTAATTGCACTACTTTTAATAAATAAAATAAAAAAAAAAAAAAAAAAAAAAAAAAAAAACGGGAAAACCCCAGGAATTTTTTTTTTCCGGGAAAAACCGGGAAACCCCCGGGAATTTTCTTTTAAATCCGGGAATTTTTTTATGAAGTACTTTATTATGTTGTTGGAAAAAATAGTTACATTTTTTCAACGCTTAACTTAATTTTTTTTCAATTTCGAATTGTATATTGATTCTCTTCGTATATTAGACAATGTTTTATTATTGTCCAATTAAGACCTAACTTATATGGGAAATGATTTTCGATGTGACAATCCAGTGGGCAAAAAACCATCATTGTTTTAAAAACGTTCCAAAAATGTTTTTAGAACGTTTCATGTCTGCCAAATAATGTTCCAAAAACGTTCCATTGCTTTTAAAACGTTTTAGAAACATATAACGTTATTGGGACGTTATTTGGCAGACATGAAACGTTCTAAAAACATTTTTGGAACGTTTTTAAAACAATGATGGTTTTTTGCCCACTGGGAAGCTTGTGCCAAATTTTTACAGTGATGCGACACCTGTTTTTGATTTTAAACATGAAATTACCGTCAAGTAAATCACAATACAATTCTTATTATAAGTTTTACAAATATTACGATTAAATTTACTGTAAAATTTTAGTTTTCAATTATCCGGGAAAATTATTTACATACCGGGAAAAAACCGGGAAAACCCCGGGAATTTTATATTTCTAAATTACTAGACACCCTGAATAATCTGATAATAAATTGAAATAATATTTAACAATATTCGTTTTCTATCAATTATTGAAGTATTATAAATTAAATTATTTTTTAAAATTGACTCTTCTTTACTAAAATTTAACAAAGAATTTAATTATTTTTATTTGAAAACCTAAAATTTTGATTTTATTTTTCAGCTCCGGAGATGATGATGACGGTTTTAAACCACTTGATAGGTATGTAGACTTTGATAGTTTTTGAATTTGAATTCTAAATTTTCAAAAAAAATAAAAGAAATCGTTTAATTCAAAAATTTTAATTTTCCATCAATTTTTCTAAAATACGGTTACTTTAGTCCAATTTAATTTTAATATTTATTTTCTCTTTTGCAGCAATGATAATGACAATGGAGGATTCAAACCCTCGTACAACCGGTAAGAAAATAAAACATTTTTATAAAATAAGAACAAAATATAAGATAAATATTAAATTATTCATTAAAAACGAGTAATTTAAGTCTATTTATAAAAAAGATGGATATTTTTATATAAAATTTATATATTTAAATAAATTTATATAAAAATAGAATATTTATTCTAAACTAGAAATTTAAAAAGTTAAAAAGCTGAATTTTGTTTCTAATAAAAAAAATTATTACAGTGATGATGACCAAGGTGACAGGAGAGGACGTGGCGGCCGAGGGGGACGAGGTGGCCGTGGAGGACGAGGAGGAGGCGGTTTTAGAAATGACGGAGATGGCGATAATGACAGAGGATTCAGATCAAATTTTGACGGAGAACGCCGCGGTCGAGGAGGACGTGGAGGAGGCCGAGGAGGCGGTGGCGGCTACAGGAATGACGACAGAAATGACGGTGGCTATGGAGGTGACAATGACGGATATAAATCCAATTACAACGGCGATCGCCAAGGAAGAGGAGGCGGCGGTGGCGACGATGACGACAATCCATTCGGCAGGTTATTAAATTCCAACCAATTTAAAAATTATATTACGAATTTTCAACTTCAAATTTATGAATACCGTACATTCCCCCCTTTTTCACTTTATTAAAAAAAAACCAAAAAATATTTTTTGCAAATAAAAAAAATGTTTAGTTGTATTGAAGAAAAAAATTTCTAGTTTATGCCAACTAAGGAAAAATTTTAGTCTTTTAACTTGAAAATCTTTTCGTATTATTTCTCAAAGTTGTATTTAAATTAGTAAAATTTAATAAAATAATAATTATTAAATCAATTAGTAAATTTACTTCTTGTATAAATTTTTACTAAGTTGAAAGTATATTTTACTTTTTTTTTTGTTGCAATTTACTTCGGATGTTATAAAATTTACTCCGGAAATAACGATTTTTAATAACAAATTTTACTTTTTTTAGAATTAATTTTTGTTTAACATTTTGTTTAATTTTCTTCCAGTATAGTACTATTTGTTATTAAAAATTACTTTTTAGAGTAAATTTTACTATTTCTGCAAGTGGATTTTTCTGATTTTTATAAACAAATAATTTTTAATAGTAAATTTACTTATTTTTGAGGAAATTTTTACTAAATCCAAAGTAAAATTTACTAATTTCGACTCATTAACTAATATTACATGTAAAAATCCACTGATCCAGAAATACCAGAAATAATAAATAATAATAATAAATACCAGAAATTTTAAAAAATTGGTGAAAACTGAAACATTATCGATTTTATATTTCGTATTAATTTGAAATTAAACATTCAATCTTTAATTTAATTTATCATTTAAAAAAATAGTCAAAGAATGCTAAAAGTAACTCCACTTTCCTTGTGTCTCTAAATATATTTTTAAAACGTTGCATTGCAAGTTTAGATTTAATTTTAAACGTTTGAAATCACTTAATTTAATAATTAATTTAATTCAACAATAAATTAAATAAATATTAAAAATAATCGAAATTTATTTTTAAAATTATTTCCATAAAGTTTTGAACGTTCATAAGAACGAAATATTTTTTTGTTTTCTAAAATTTTTAAAAATTACAAGATCGAAAAGAAAAATACTGTATATTAAACATTTTTGTAATTAAAAATAAATTCTTTCGTTTATAAAAAACAAGATTTTGTAATAAAATTCAAATTAAAGAAAATAAAATATATAGTCGTTCATTTTAACGTTCAAAATTTTACGGACGTTTTAAATAAAAATTTTATTACAATAATTTTGTGTCCGTTATAAAAAAAATAATTAAATGTCCCTCTGAAGTTTTAAAAGTTTAAATGAACGAAATTTACTTTTTCTTCAAATTAAAATTTTTTACAATAATATTGCGATACGCTTTTAAATAATAAATTTTATTGTTTCTAAATGTTAAATTTTTTTTAAAGACATTAATATTGAAAAATATTTTTATTGGCCGAAAGAATGGTTTATTTGCACTTTTAGAACTTGTGGACCATAAAATTAATTAATTGAATAATTAATTTCGAATATTGAAAATTAAACTGAATTTAATTGAAATTTAAATATTCAATCAAATATTAAAAATTGAATTAAATTTAAGGAAGAATCTAACAGACAGTCAAATTAAAATTAATTAAAGTTAAGTTAACTAAAATTAGTTCAATGTCATTATTTTGCATTTTAAAAGAAAAAGACAAATTAAATTTTTAATTCTTTTTGGTGCAAAGGCGAAGAATTTAATTTTGAACATTAAATACGATTAAAAGTTGCATTTGAATAAAAAGAACAATTTTTTCTGTCAATAAAAAACATTTGTTAAATATTAAATTATATTACTTAAATTATTTATTATTGAAATAAAATTATAATTTTTATTCAAATATAACTTGAAATTGTTCAAAAGTAGAAAATTAAATTCCTTACGTTTCTACCAACAGGAATTTAAAATTTGTCTTTTTTTTCTTAAATACAAAATCATCACTTTGGATTAATTTTTGTTCCGATTGTTTGTTGGATTCTTCATTGAATTTCAATATTTTAGATTCTTTACAGTTTTTAATTTTTATTGCAATGAGTAATTTATGAAAATAATTTAATGAAAATTCGTTCATTTGAAAAGATGAAAACTTGTGGATAATTTTGAAGGTAACTTGTATAATAAATGAGATTTCCTCTCAAATACAGAAATTTTTCAATTACTTTTTTGACTTTACCTGAAATACAGAAATTTTTCAATTACATTATTTTACTTTATCTCAAATACTGAAATTTTTCAATTACTATTTTTTACTTTACAAACTTGAGAAATGTTCAAGCCTATATTTTCTTTTTGTTCTGGATTTTTTCAGAGTATTTTCAATTTTTTCAGTGGATGTTTCACTACTTTTTTCAAATACTGAAATTTTTCAATTACTTTTTTTACTTTACAAACTTGAGAAATATTCAAGTCTATATTTTCTTTTTGTTCTGGATTTTTTCTGAGTATTTTCAATTTTTTTCAGTGGTGGCGGTGGAGGTGGTAATCGTGATGGAGACGATGACGGAGGCCGAGGTAGAGGAAGAGGTCGCGGTCGTGGCCGAGGAGGCGGACGAGGACGAGGCGACAGAGACGGAGATGATTATAACGGCGATGGTGGTGATCGCCGTGGAGGTAGACGTAATTACGACAATGATGGCGACGGTGACGGTGAGCGTCGTGGAAGACGTAATTACGACAACGACGGCGACGGTGACGGTGAACGCCGAGGTGGAGGCGGAAGACGTAATTTCGATGGTGACGGTGAAGATGGAGAGAAGAAAGAATTCATCAACAAAGAAATTTACATCCCCCCAGAACCCGAACAAGACGAAGAAAAAATGTTCGCCAACGTCATAAGTGCTGGCATTAACTTCCAGAAGCACATCAAGGACATCAAAGTCAAGGTGTCCGAGAAAGTGCCGCCACCAATTGACACGTTTGCCGACGCCCAACTGCGAACACATTTGATGGACAATATCAAGAAATGTAAATATGAATCGCCATCACCGATTCAACGCTACGGAATCCCGACCATCATGAAGGGATACGATGTGATGGCTTGCGCCCAGACTGGATCAGGAAAAACGGCAGCTTTCGTTCTGCCGATTATTCACAAATTGCTTTCGGATCCCGTAGACTTGGTGTCGGGAGAACATTGTGAGCCACAATGTTTAGTTGTAGCGCCAACGCGAGAATTGGCGATACAAATTGCTGACGAATTTCGCAAATTTGCCAATCAATCGATAATTAAAATCCAAACTGCCTATGGAGGAACTGCAGTCGGTCATCAGGCGAAGCTTCTCCAGAACGGATGTCACATAATCGTAGGAACCGAGGGAAGGTTGAACGACTTTATCAGCCGAGGTAGAATTCAACTTGGTTCGATTCGATTCTTCGTTTTAGACGAAGCAGACAGAATGCTGGACAGCGGATTCATGCCTGGAGTGGAAAAAATGATGGATCACGAGTCCATGGTGTCGAAGGATAATCGACAAACTCTGATGTTCTCCGCCACGTTCCCCGACGAGATTCAAAAACTCGCTGGCAAATTTTTAAAAGACGATTACGCATTCATTGCGGTAGGTATAATCGGAGGCGCTAATAAGGACGTTGATCAGAACTTTTACGAAGTACCCGGAAGAGATAAGAAACCAAAATTAATGGAGATTCTTAATCGTGAAAAGGAAAGTAACACATTGACTGGAACTATTGTCTTTGTCGAAACAAAGAAGACTGCGGACTTTTTGGGCGCCTATTTGTCGGAGAATAATTTCTCGACCACCACAATTCACGGCGACAGGACACAAAGTCAACGTGAAAAAGCTCTCTATGATTTTAAGCGTTCGAATATGGATGTTTTGGTTGCAACGAATGTTGCTGCGAGAGGATTGGACATCAAGGGTGTCTCTCACGTTATTCAGTACGATATCAGCCATGATATTGATTGCCACGTTCATAGGATCGGACGAACGGGACGTGTTGGAAATAAGGGCCGCGCAACGACGTTTTACAATCCTGAGAAGGATAGTAATCTGGCTGGAGCACTGGTCAAAATTTTGAAAGAAGTCGAACAACCCATTCCCGACTTCCTCGAAAATTCCGGAGGTGGTGGTGGTGACTATCAACCCAGCAGAAGTGACTTTGGAGCTCGCGATTTCCGTAATCAAGTGAGTGCAGAAAAAATACACCTAACTTTTATTTTCCAAGTTTCAAACGTTCAAATAAAGGAAAATTTTTCTATTTAAATATTTTTAAAATTACTACAATAAAATTTTAAATAAAATAAATTTAAACATTTAGAGTAATTTATAAATAATCTATAAATTTATTTATAGTAATTAATTTTCTAAATTAGCAAAAAAAAAATTTTTTAACAAAATTAAAATTTTAAAGAAATATAAAAAGTCGTTTATTTGAACGTTTGAAAAATTCGATTTTAAAACTAATTTTTCAATTTTTCTAAAAAAAATACTTCAAAATTGATTAAAAATTCGATTCTAAATTAATTAATCAATTAATTTAATTTCGTTTTACCAACGAATTTTTCTTATTCCAAGAATTGACTAAATTTGATAATTAAAAATATATTCAATACGAATAAAATATTTACAAATTAATTAAAATCAGAAAAGTAAAATAAATCAACGTTCAAAGAGTTTTTCGTAATTGAAAAATTGATTAAATTTAATTGTAGTTAAAAATATATTTAATACTAATAATATACACTGAAAAAAAATGTATTTGATTCAAATAACCGATTAATTGACTATTAATTAAATATTTAATTGAATCAAATAATATTTATTGAAGTCAATTAAATGCTATTTGTATTTGAACCAATAATTTAAGTATTTGAAGGAAATATGAATTGAACCATTTAATTGACTCCAATAAATATTATTTGATTTAGGTAAATCTTTAATTGATAATAGTCAATTAATCGGTTATTTAAATCAATTTAATTTTTTTAATATCACAATTAAATTTTTTGTTCAGTGTATTTACAAATTAGTTAAAATAAAAAGAAAAAAATATTTGAAAGTTTAAAGATTTTTTCGTAATTGAATTGATTAAATTTTGATATACAATAGTTAAAAATTGATTAAATTTTATAGTTAAAAATATATTGAATACTAATAAACAGGAATAATTTAATTAAACTCTAAAAATAATAAATAAAATCAATGTTTATGTCTCTAAAGGTTTGAACGTTCAAATGAACGACGAATTTTTTTTTAATTTGTAAGTTTTTTACAAAAAAAGAAAATTTGTAGTATTAAAAATATCAATTTTTAACGAAGTAAATTAATTTTAATTCTTTTTTTTTCATTTGGATAGTAATTTTTTAAAATATTTAAGAAGAAAGAAAAAGTCATTTATTTGAACGTTCAAAACAAAAAAATAATCAGGAAACATAATTTTCTTCGTTTTTAACGTTCAATTTTTTAAAAATTGATTGAATTTAATATTTTATTATTATTATTCTGTAATTAAATATAAAAATTAAATAAATTAAAAAATTGTTCGTAACAAATCTGTTTCACTTGAAAAAAGATAAAATTCCTTTTTTTTCTTAAATTTTAAAGAAGTTTTTTCAATTTTAAATCAAAATCCAAAAAAAAATGTACATATTCATTTTTAATCTAAATTTTATTCAAATGTCTTTTTAAATATAAATTTAAAAAATAGTTTGACTTTTTTACTCATTGCGGCTAATTTTTTCATTGTAACTAATAAGAAAATTTTTTTCCAGGGTGGAAACAGTAATTCAGCCGCTGCTGAACCAGAAGACGATTGGTAATCGTCGACAAAAAAGTGTGATCTATATATATATATATATTACATATTCAAATTTTTATGATTACCAGTATTACTTTTGTTTAAAAAATCATTTTTTAGAGAATATATATTTTTTTAATTTTCTCGTTTAAGTAATCTCACATTCACACAGACTTTATTGTTGTTTAACATAAATCTCTAATTACTATCTGCTAGAGTATATTCGGCAAATTATATATTATACAGTGTAATATTTTTTTACGCAAAAAATTATTATTAAAAGATATTGAAATTATATTTTGCCACCAAAGAAAACTGAATTGAAAGTAATATTTAGCAATAATACTGAAAAATGAACAAAAAAAAATCGCCATTTGCAATGGTGTAAAAAATTATATTTACGAAAAATAGTGTTAAGTTTTTTTTTTACCAAGTTTCTTTTGTAATAAAAAATTGAACCGTAATTTGAGTGTTTTATTGTAGTTTCATTTTTATAGAGTTAATTGAATTTAGAAATTTTATTTCATTGTTAAAGTTATTTGTTTTTAAATTAAATACTTTCAAGTTCTTTTCATTTTATTTTATTAAATCTCTTTTCAAAGAGCAAAAACGTTTGAATGTAAAATCTTTTGTTTTTAATTAAATGCTACAAGTTTTTTTTTATTTATTTTGGTTTTGGATCAAATTTTTCATCTTATGAAAGAAAGAAAATTTATGAACTATACAGGCGAAAGAATAGGAAAATTGGTTTTTCGAAAAATGTATATATTTTAATGTAACGAAATATTTTCATGTAAGAATATTTTAATTTTCTAAAAGTAAAAAATCGTGTGAGTAATTTTAAGTGAAAATGGAACTCACCGTCGTTCATGGTCATGTCCATCAGTTGAAGATCCTCATCATTGAGGAGAGATGAAAGAAATCCATCGGTGGTTTGATTGATGGCCTCAGGAGGCGTGTGATAGTACATCATGTCGTTTGGTTCTGTTTTATAAGATGCACCATTTTCCGATCCCATTGGTTCACTACTGTTTGTTAAGTTCATCGATGTCGCCACCGCTGATCCCAAGTTCGATGGTCCACCTACACAATGTGAGTAATTCAGTTCAAATACAGAAAATTCAATTCTATTTTTATTTTTACTAATTGTATTTATTTTGAGTTTGACTACTTGTCTATTTTTTGAGTAATTGTATTTAATCTAAATTTTAACTAATTGTATCTACTTAATTACCATTTTGACTAATTGTCTTGAATTTTTTGTTTCATATAAATGAGAAATGAGAAATGAACTCACCGACATTGTGGTACTGGCTTGTGGCATTGAGATCGCCAACGGGAGGTGCCAGAGTGGCATTGTGAAGTAATACACTACGTTGTGCCTCGTAATGACTGTGGTGACTGTGGTGACCTATGCCGTGTCCTGGATATCCAGGAAGTGCTGGATGTGCAAAATGGTCCGGACCTCCTGGCAATGAAAGCAGTGACGCCAAATCCTGCCATCGCTGTTCTGTGCTCATCGTACGCATGAATGGCATGCGACCCTGCGAAAAAACAATCCAGTAAGTACTTGCAATTTAATTCAGAAAATTAATTATAATCCTTAAAAATCAAAATTCAGGGTTGCCACGCAACCTGGAAAATACTGGAAATGTCAGGGAATTTTACAAACTTTAAAAAAAAACCTGGAAAAGTCAGGGAATTTTTATCGAAATCCTGGAAAATTGTTGTTTTCTAAAGTTATTGTGCTTATTCTTGAAATCTATAATTTTACTTAAATATTTCAAAATTAATTCAATCTTAAAAAAGTTGCGTTTATAATTTTCATAAGTAGATGAACTTGAAAAGATTTTGATTTTGAAATTTTGTAAACTTTCTATTTTAAATGAATTTATATAAATAGAAATTTGAAAAAAATTTTAATAACTAAAATTCTTCTGAAATTAAATTTTCTAATAAATTTAATTGATCATTAAAAATAATGGAAGAATTTTAGTTAAAAACACTAAAAAAAATTGAATTTTGATAGAAATGATTGCAGAAATTCAATTATTTTCAAAAATTTTAATAAAATTCTTGGCAAAGTTTTAATTATTTTCAAAAACTTTCCTGAATTTAATGATTTTTAATTAATATCTACTACTTTAATAAAAATTCCTCCCAAAATAATTCAATTAGTTAAAAAAAATTTTAATAAAATTCTACGCAAACATTTCAGTATTTTCCTAAATAATAAAAATTTCAGAGGAATTCAATTATTTACAAATTATTTTCACAAATTATTATTCCATTTTTTTTTGTAAATAATAACATTTTTTACTGGGATTAAATTATTTTCATAAATTATTTTCTTCGCAGAAATCCAATTATGTCCAAAAGTTTACAAAAATTATCGTAAAAATTTCAAATTATCTTTATAAATAATAAAATTTTTCTCCGAAATTCAATTGTTTTCAAAAATATTAACAAAATTCTTGGAAGAATTTTAATTATTTTTAATTCAATTTTCATCAAATTTCTCAAAAAATGAAATTATTCTTAAAAATGTGATTAAAATTTGTTAAGAGAATTCAATTATTTAAAAAATTTGTTGATAAAATTCTTTATGAAAATTCAAAATTAAGAAACATTTAATTATTTCACAAAATATTTATCTTTGTAGTTAAATAATTGAATTCTCGTAGAATTTTCTAATAAAAATTGAATTAAAAATTAATTGCAGTTAAAATTTTAGATAATCATTGAATATAAAAAACATTATTGCGTGATTTTTTAGAAAAAATTGAATTTTGAATTTAAAATCTTTGAAAATCTGAATTTGTATATTTTTAACTAACAGTTCTGTAGAATTAATTATTTTGGAAATATTTAATTTATTTTGTTTTTGAAATCATAGTCAAGTTTTTATTTTCTAAATATTTAATTGAAGAATTTCCGAATAATCGAAAGTTTACGTAAAATTGAATTGTTAACAAATAGATTTGAAAATTCTCAAGGAATTTTTGCAAAAATTATTAAAAATAATTTGATAATTGAATTCTTTCAAAGAATTTTAATAAAATTTTTTGAAAATAATCCGAAACATTTTATTATTTATATGAAAATAAATGAATTCCTTTGTAGAATTTTATTATTTATGAAAATATTTTAATTCTTGCGTAGAATTTTCTTATTTATGAAAATAATTAAATTCTTGCCGAAGATTTTACAATTCATAAAAATAATTGAATTGTTTCGAAGAATTTTATTTGAATTTTTGAAAATAGTCGAATTTTTTGAAGGAATTTTATTAAAAATTTTGAAAATAATGATTTTTTAAAAGAATTCCTCTGAAGAATTTTATTATTTATAGGAGAATAAGTGAATTCTTGCAATGAATTTTTATTACATTGTTTTCTAAATTGAAATCCTGTGGAGAATTTTATTATTCATGAACAAAAATGAATTCCGGCAACGAATTTTATTACATTTTTAAAAATAATTGAATTCTTTTGAGAAATTTTATTGAAATAGTAGATTTTGAAAATATTCGAATTTCAGCGAAGGTTTTCATTACTTTTGAAAATAATTGAATTCTTACAACAAATTATAACTAAATTATTATTATTAAAAGAAAGGTTCGAATTTGAAATTTTAGAAAATCTTAATTCCTATGGAAAAATAATAATGATTAAATATTTTTTTGAAAATGTAGTTTTTGATGTCATCGAATAATTTTACAATTAAATTAAATAAATGTAAATAAGAGAACATTTTTTTGAGTATCTAATAATTTTTAGAGTGAATCGCAGAATATTCTTTAGGGTCAGAGAAAAAGTTCAAATTTTGTCTGGAAATCAGGGGGAAAAAATTAATTTTTTGTGCCAACCTTTATAATTCTTGAAACTCAAAATCTTCAATTAAATCCATTAAATTTATCTCTATTTATATTTAAATACATAAAGTACATTTTCCCCAAATTTAAAATTAAATATTTAAAAAATCGTTTTCGATTTTATTCCGCAATAAATTTTGAGAAACCATCAATTTTGAAAAATGATTTTTAATATTCGTAGATCAACAAGCAAAGAGGGCAGAGGAGGATTATTATTGATCTTTGTGAGGGGAAAATTAATGAAGAAGAACTCATACGCTAGTTTTTAACGCCCTTCGTTGGAGGGCCAAACAACAAACAACCATCGATTATTCGTCGCCGTGGGATGAATTTTTGTTGAACCACAGACGTCAGGTGTCACACACAGACACACAGGTAGATCTGTAGATTTTAAAGATTCACAAAACCCCCCGCTGAAACCGCGTGTAGGTGTCATTGAAAGATATACAAGATGGCAACGAATATTATTAATCGAAGATTATTTCTTGTCAGGATAATAAGACGAACGTCAATCGTGTACTACCTATTATTAATTTATTATGACACTCGCTCCAATAAAAAAAATTAAAAGAATTACGACTAATTCTTTTTTAGAGTACGAGCAATTCTTTTTTAAAATGCAAGCAAAATTAATCTTTTTTATACATGTTCGTCAAATGATATTTTTCTCATTATTCAAAAAAAAGGTAGTAATAATACGATTTTTTTTATTATTTTTCAATCGAAGTAAATTTTATTTTTCACTAAAAATGTGGTATTTTGTTGCAATATTTGGATGAAAAGTCGAAAAGGTCATAATATTCGAGTTGAAAATAATATTTGGAAGGAAAGTCGGAAAAAATCGCATTTTTTGAAAAGAGTTGGAAAAAATCGTAATATCCGAGACCTGTAATTATAATAATTGATTTTCTTCTGAAAGTAATTGTTTTTTTTGTTTCAATTTCAGTAGGCGTGAAAATTACGAGAGCCAGGTGACGACGTGGACGTTTTTTCCTCTCTTGATTTTATTTTCACCTTTGCGGATGAAGCTGTGGATCTTGAAACTTGGCGTAAACGCGGTAGTTGGCGTATGGACCATGAAAGCCTAATGCTTATGGCATTGGCTCTAATGTGCCAAGAGAAAAGAAGAAGATGAATAGAGAGAAGCCAACGTGTACACGGATTGCTGTCTGGGTGCATCAATCAGTCGTTAGTGCAATCTGTTGAGCACGACGCTTTCAATGTAATTCTTGCTTGTCAGCGCATCTGCCGTCTTTTCGCCGCAAAACTCTTTGAATCCGCACAACGTTCTTTCGTTTCACTCGAGGTAAATATGAATCTTTTTTTGTTTTTCAAAAAAACAAAAAAAAAATATCTCTTTTTGCGAATATAAGTAATGATTTTACAAGTTTTCTGCAAAAATTCATAGAAATTGGAAATTTTAAACCTACATTCAATTATTTTCATAAAAAATAAATAAATATTTCAGATGATTTCAATTATTTTGAATATAAAAGTAATAAAATTCTTTGCGAAAAATTCAATTATTTTATTTTAAAAAATCCTTCAAAACAATTCAATTATTTTTATAAAAAATAAAATTCTTTTCAAAAATTCAATTATTCTCTAAAATTTTAATGAATTTTCAAAATAATTTAATTATTTTCTAAAATTTTACTAAATCTTTCGAAACAATTCAATTTTTTTTAAATAGTAAACTTTTTGAAAAAATTCAATTATTTTTAAAAATTTTAATGAATCTTTCGAAACAATTCAATTATTTTTTATTTTTAATAAAATTTTCGAAATAATTCAATTATTTTTTAAATTTTTAAGAAAGTCTTCGAAACAATTTAATTTTGTTTTTAAGTATTAAAATTTTTGCAAAAATTCAATTATTTACCAATTTTATATAAATTTCTTCGCAATAATTCAATTACTTTCATAAATAATAAACTTTTTTTACAGGAATTCAATTTTTTTTAGTAATTCAATAATTTTTAGTTATTCAATTATTTTTATACAATAATAAAACTCATCGCAGCATGAACTTTTAGAAATAATTGAATTTTGAAAAGGTTTCAAATTAAAATCTAAAATTTGAATTTTTCATACTTTTATCTTACAATTATTCTGTAGAATTAATTTTTTTGGAAAAGTTTAATTGAATTTTTTTATAAATATTTCCTATAATTGAATTGTAAAGAAATATATAAGGATTTTATCACTGGATCATCTTTGATTATTTATAAAACATGAATGTTTTACAATAAATATTCTTATAAGTTCTTGAATTTCAAAAAGTCAAATTTTTTATCTAGAAATCAAGGAAAAGTTAAGGCAAAACAAAATTAAATTTTTCTTGCAACTCTGAACACTAAATAAAGAAAATAAATTTTATTAAATAAATTCATGTATTAAAATTAATTTTTCTTATTCGCTCAAAAAATATTTTATTCGCCATACAGAAAATTTATGACTTCGAGTTATATAAAAAAAAAAATTCAAGGGACAATTAAAAAGAACGAATTTAAATTGCAAAGCGAAACAACAAAACAAAAAAAAAAAAAAAAAAAATGCTTTTGTTAATGAAAAATATTATTCAGAATGATGTATGAAAACGAAACTTGATTGCGCAGATGCTATCGTGATTAATGTTTATATTGTCGATCGAATTTCTGTGAGCAACGA